AGACACAGCTGTCAGCCACAACGTTCAAGACATGCTCGGGCATTTTGAGGCGTCAAGCTCGAGCACAGAATCGAGAGATCCGTTTTCATGGAGGTGCACCAGCACCATTGAGACAAGGCTCCACGTGGGCAGGGAGATGGTGTGGGGTGGCCACCCTTTCTGACACACCCACTTCCAAATTGGATATTCCTTGGCCTGCTGAGCATTGGAATAGTAGCAGAGTCCTGCTCACAAGGCATTGGATTCAAGCTTTACCAATAACGGTGGGTACATTTTATGGCTATGCACAGGGGCCAACATGGCCAAAAGCCCATCAATTGAGTGATCAGTTGCTGGAAACCTACACCACTGAACTTGTCCTGGGGATGTCCGGAGTGCGTATGATCATGGGCGATTTCAATCAAGAACCTGGTCAATTGACGCAGCACCGAATATGGATGCAGCATGGCTGGAAAAACGCCCAAAATGCAGCAGCAGAGATGTTTGGGCATCACATCGCCCCCACATGCAAAGGTAGCAATGAAAGAGACCAGATATGGCTTTCGCCCGAGGCATTGCAGCTCCTGCGAGGCCTGTGGTTAGAAGATGTCTTTGTAGACCACTCTACCTTGGCTGTGCAACTCATGGTTCCAACCCGAAGTATGGTGGTGCACAAGTGGCCCAGGCCAGCACGACTGCCTTGGTCGGATATAGACCAGCAGAACTGGAACCCCACATGTTCTGTGCAGTTCAATGCTGGCAATGACCCCACCAAGTTTTTGCAATGTTGGGCCATGGACTTTGAGAATGCGGTTTTTCAACATGCTGCTGAAGTTTCAGACCAAGCTCTACCACCACGATGTCGGGGGAGGGCACAGAGATTGAAGCCACTTCGCCAAGAGCTTTGCACACCAACCAGCAAACCTAGCCGTGAAGGTGAAGTACGGGCTCAAAACTCAGCAGCTGGCACAGCTACCAGAATCTGGTTTCGACAGCTTCGCAGGTTACAAAGCCTGAAGCATGCAGTGCAGGCAGCTAGCCAAACACCCTCAGCCATCACCTACAGACTTGAGCTGTGGGAGGCGATCAAGCGCTCTTCGGGCTTTTGCCCCAACTTCTCACAATGGTGGGGTGAACAACAACATGAGGTCCATGGAGTACCAGAGATTTTGCCGGTCACTGTTCCTGAAGAATCGGCCATTGCCACAGCCATCTATGACAGCTTCCTTCTTCACTTCCGAGCTTTTGAGGCATGGCACCTCAATGAGCGTTCCCAGTGCTTGAAGTTGAAGTATGCGGGCTCACTGGAAGCAGTCTACATGGATATGCGCAAAGACCCAAGACCGGGCATTGAGAACATCTGGAAAGAGAATGTCTACACCATTTTGGATGTGGATTATCAGGGCCTTCAAATTCATTTAGACAAACCTGTACAGACCAATTTTGATCATGTCTGGTATCATGGCCAACATGCTTTTGCCATCACTGCAGTTTCTGGAGATGTTTGCACAGTTTTATCTACGGAGAACATTGCACCAGGTGATGAGCTTGTACAACGTGTTTTCTTGACGGATACCAATGACATCCTTCAAGCTTTTTCTGAGCACTGGAAACCTAGATGGAGCAATTTAGCCAGCATTTCTGAAGGTGATTGGCACCGTATCATGCAGTTCGTTCAGCACTACATGCCTTCTCATGCCTTCACATGTGAACCTTTGCAAATTACAACTTGGCAGCAAGTAGTCAAGAAGTTCAAACAGAAGGCGGCACGAGGGCCTGATGGTTTTTCCAAAGATGATCTGAAGAACATGCCGGAAAGCCACACCTCCTCTTTGTTGGCGCTGCTCCACTCCATTGAAACCACTGACACACCATGGCCACAGCAACTTGCGTTTGGTACAGTGATTGGTCTTAGCAAGGTGGAAAATGCACATGAGGAGAACCAATTTAGACCAATCACATTGTTTTCCACTATTTATCGTACCTGGTCACGTTTGAGAACCAGGGAGCTGATCAGACAGCTTGCTGAAGTCATGCCACCAGAAGCACTTGGCTTCCTACCACATCGAGAAACAACAGAGATATGGCTGGTGCTCCAGGCTCATATCGAGCTCATGTTGCAACTGCGTCAAGACTATGCAGGGCTCTCTACAGACTTGAAGAAAGCCTTCAATCACATTGGTAGAAGCCAGGTATTCATGACTGCGGAGCATCTTGGACTCCCTCTTCAGCTTTTACAACCATGGCGAAAATTTTTGGGGCAATTTGTCCGGAGATTTGATATTCATGGATGTCTCGGAGAAGAGATGTCATCAACCTCAGGATTTCCTGAGGGATGTCCGCTTTCAATTGTGGCTATGCTCCAAGTTAACTGGTGTTATCATGTCTACATGAGAGCTTTCTGTCCAAAAGTCAACGCATACTCTTTCGTTGACAACCTGACCTTGGCGACCAAAGAAGCCGTTTTACTGGTACAAGCCTATTTTGCTTTGCGTGCAGTTTGCCTTTTGTTTGGCCTTGAGACTGATGATGAGAAAACCTTCGTTTGGGCCCTAACAAAGACTATGCGCGCAAGCCTTTCTCTTTTAGGTTTCCCATGTCTGAGTGATGCCAGTGAACTTGGGGGTGCCATGACTTTTGGGATTTCACGAAGAACTCGAATCCTCAAACAACGTGGTCATGTTTTGGTGACACGCTGGCAGAAGCTGAAGCGATCCTTCGCTCCTGGGCCACAAAAACTCTCCATGTTGCCAAAGATTTTCTGGCCGCAAGCTTGGCATGCTCGGCGATCTGTTTGGTTGCTGACAGCTACGCACAAGAACTTCGGCGAGAAGCAGTTAAGGCTTTACGGCTGAATGGGGCTGGGTCCAACCCCTTACTGCGACTTTCTTTGGCAGATGACATGCAGGCTGATCCTGGCTTTTATCAAGTCCATGTTTGTTTGGCGACTTTTCGAAGAATGCTCCACAAATGCCCAGACCTACTGCCGATGTGGCAAACTTGGATGGATGGATATCAGGGACGTTTGATTCCGGGGCCTTTCTCACGGCTCATTCAATGTCTTGCCTTGGTGGGTTGGGCGGTGGACATGCCACCTTTTTTCCGAGATCATGAAGGTCATTGCTGGAACCTCAAGATGGTGGATAACAAAACTTTGAAACTTCTTTTGGAAGATGCATGGCTTCAATACGTTGCTTCTCAGGTGCGACACCGCACAATGAAGGGGCTTGTTGGCCTTGAGGGCTTCTTAACCAAACTGGATTGCAAAACTATGACTGCCTTGGACAGAGCACGTATTTCAGCACTTCATTCTGGGGCCTTCATGACCAACTTTGAGCATGCGAAGTTTGACATTGAGAAGTCTCCGATGTGTGCACTGTGTCATTGCGAAGATGATCGTGAACACTGGCTTAGATGTCCCAGATACCAGGCACTTCGCAATGACATCCCAGATTGGTGCCCAGATAACTTGGAATTGCCATCTTGCACTTTGCACCATCTGCTAGTGCCCAGACAGGAGATTTTGGTGAAATGGCGTCAGATTTTGCTTGACACCACCAAACATGGCCATGTTTTTAGTTTTCTTCCCCCGAAGTTTGGGTACCACCACCTTTTTCTTGACGGGTCCTGTTTCAATGATGAATACCCAATGTTGAATTTGGCAGCATGGGGGGTGATCAACGCCACGATGGGCGACATTGTCACGGCTGCTCCTCTGGCGGGTCTGGCACAATCCATTGACAGGGCAGAGCTGATGGCCGTGGTGGCCAGTCTCCAATGGGCTGCGGGCACAGAGCTTGGCCTTTGCCTCTGGTCGGACTCACTTTCCACCGTCAACACGATGGAGTATGTGCTGCAACATGGGGCTCTTCCAGATGGGATAGAAAATTTGGATCTGTGGCAGCAAGTTTTTGCTCTACTACATGATCGAGCAGGGCTGAACACCGACGTTAGATGGATTCCTTCACATCTCTCGAAGGAGCTGTGCGAAGATCCTTATGAAGAGTGGGTTGCTCACTGGAATGATGAGGTGGACAAATTGGCAGTTTACACCAACAGAAACCGACCCAAGGCATTGTGGAAATGCTATGATGCTGCAAGCTCGGCTCTGAATGGATGGGCGAAGCGACTTCGACAGCTTCGAGCATTCTACTTCAAAGTGGCAGAAATGGAAGTTCCAAACACAGCAGACTTGGAGGAGTGCGAGAGCATCAAGTCATCAGACGATGATGAGATGTTGTGGCTATCATGGGAAGACCATCTACCGGTTTCCTGGCAAGTTCAGTGTCTACATGGACATTTCAAAGTTCCCGGTGCTTTTTTGACAGAGATCATTCACTGGATCTGCGCTGCAGAACGTCTCGATGGCGCAGTGAGGGTAGTGAGCGACTTAGAATTAGTTTTTGCACTGCTCCTAGACAAGGAGGTTTCATTTCCTTTTTCAGTGGATGGTACGTTGGCTTTACACATGCGCAGACCTGATGACATGTTCCAACGACACACAGTAGCTATGATGCTAAGGCCCTTGCAACATGCAATGCATAGTATTCATAGGCTTTTTTCTTTCGTGATCAGAACTCCAGCGCTCCCCAATCCTGAACTTGGGGTGTACATGAAATATGAAGGCACACGATTGCGAGTGCCAACTGAGCTCTGGGGTCTTTTGAGATCACGTGTGCAGCTTTTCACATCCAAGAGGGCTGTGAGGAAATCCCAGGACCTGGCGCGGCCTGCGCCATGATGACAGGACTGTTGCTGCCGCACTGCTTTGCCGTGTGCAGCAACTGCAAACCGTCCGAGCTATATATATATATATTATCCCATGAAATCCCTATGCACGTTGCTTAAAACCAACTGTTGACCATGCCGCCAAAAGACTTGCTATAAAGTATCATATCAGATTCATCATAGTCACATATTCCCATCTAACTTTTGACTAGAGTTGGTGATGTATATCATGAACTATCATGAAACATCCCCATTCATACACCCATTAAAACATAAAACGGTCCTTTCCTGGCCTGGAAGGGTGCGATGAAGCCGCCGGAAGCTGCGTCCACGTGGATGCCAACCTTGGTTTTTTTTAGCAGTGGTGGTCGATTAACACTGATCTAATGACGTACTGGTTGGTGGTTTTAACATGTTTTAACCATCTTGAAAAATATTAGTCAATGGGAAGGATTATCCCATATATAGTATGGAGAATAAACAATGTTTGAAACCACCAGCCAGATATTGTTAATACCAGTATTACTTGTTCATAATCACCCGTGTTTGTAATATTGTTAATACCAGGCGATTACTAACTAATATTATTGCTACATAATCAGTAATATAGCCGATATAGGTATGAATTAATGGTTCATTAACCAGTACAAATATCATTGATGGCAATGATGATCTAATGATAGCAATAACTGAATTCAAACTGATCTAGTGGTGGTTCATTAGCCAGTATAATACTGGTCGATCCTTGTTTATTAATTTATATCGTTAATTAATGTTTAATAATGGCAATTAATGGCAATTAGTGGCAAATACTGGATGATGCATAGTGGTATAACCATGGAGAATTAACAATTAGCTGTTAAAGCCTGGGTGATTCATGGATAATAATTGATGATTAATCTGATTAATGATGATTAAGGCATAGTTCCCGATGTAAACCCAACAATAAAGAAAATCCCACAAACCAACCATGCGGGGGATCATGTTGCATCATTTCAAATAGGGGTATACCAGTATACCCAATCATAACAAGTAACTCTAAGTAAAAGGAATTATCATCCCACTCTGGATTACATAAGTAATTTGATTACTAAACAATACTTAACATGGTTGAGATTAGTTGAGAGTAATGAGTACCAAACAATATAGTAACTGGATTACTATGAAAGTAAGTAACATATGAGTATTGCTAGTACTCACTAGTTTATATATATATATATGTATGTATATATATATTATATTATGATGGTAACATATTAGATTAGACTATCGTCCCACTCATTTCCAGTCATGTTGGTACACTTTGCTATAGTATAAACGGCCCATTTAGTGTGATGATTTACCAACTAAACATTGCGATTTTTCATGGCTATATTATATTAAAATACCAAGGGTTAAGAGGAATTCAAAAATTATTTTGGGGGATATAGCTAAGAGGAATGAACAACTTGGTGGTTACAGTGATCAATCGTCCCGTATGTTTCTGCCGTGGGCAGACCGTCGCCCAAATTTTCAGTGGGCCATGATGATTGCATAGAAAACGAATCCGAATTGTATGTTTGTCCCGAATTGATTTGTATCATCTGAGTTTTGTTGGTGAAATACCACTTGCTTGTTGTTGACATGCTGCTGTTTCGTGTGAAATTGTCCATATGTTTCAGGAACAATCCAAGTTCGGCTGGTTGTTTTCATTCCAATGTACATGGTTTATAGATGTTTTAACTCATATATTGGAAGATACACGGTATATAAATGACAAACTACTGCAATTAGTTACTAAACATCATTAATATAGATGAACATATCACATATATTCACATATCGTATATTGGAACATATCACTAACTCAGGAAAAATCTTGGAACATCACTAATCAAATCACATCAAATGTTTATGGAGCTAAAATGGGGAATTCATCGAAAAAAAAAAACTGATTTATGATGGGGATGTTCCAGCAATCCCAATCCCTATGGAAATCCCCGGGCCCCACCATCCCCGGTTTTTTTACTTCTTGGCCGCCCCCATGGTATGGTCTTCGTTAAGGGCCATGAATTCATGGCAGAAATATCACGACATCCACCCCAACAAAAACATGTTGGTTTAGTTGATCCCTATTAAAAGATGGACTAGCTTGACTAGTTCAGATCCAACTAGTGAATAAATCGAAGCCCCTAGAATGGCTGAAAGCCAAAAAAGGGGTAGCCTGTCAGGCCGGTCACTGAACATAGCCTAATCATGGCCCAGTTAGGATGATGCTATTCAACATGGATAAACCATGATAAACCCTATCCACTTCGCACACACATCTGACCATGTTGGGATCCAGTGCGGGTCGCCACTGCCTTAGCAACCCCCTTAAACCACAGCAGCGACAGCACAGCTGGACAACCGGCCTCAAGTCCTTTCTCCGCGTTGAGTTTTTCCAAGACCGCATCAACCTGGTCCACTGGGATTTGGATAACAAGAACTGATGTTCCATGATTTTCCTATCATTCCCCAGTGGTGTAATAGATGTGATAGTTATTAGTAGCATGTTACATGTTATATACCAAACTTATGACTAGTAATTAGTAGCATTTTATAACATGGTGTTGTCCAATGATCTGGAGGATCATCCGTCCCGTGCCATGTCCAGAAGTCCGGCACCTCCCACACAGGATCATACCTCAGCATGCTCGCCACGCTGAAAACGTGCATGCTGATGATCGTCAATGGGGATCACCATCTCATTTTGAACTCATCAGGATGGCAAATGAAACAGACTCCAAACCCAAAACCAGTAAAATCGTAAAATCATCATTCCATTTGTCGGAATGACAACTCAATGAAAAAACATAGTTCAAACCAGCGACATTCAGTGTTCCACATGAAGTGTCCAATTCAGGGGTATTTCTTGACCCACATCCCCTTACCAACGAAGGCATGCCACCAGAGTTATCCCGAAATATCCAAAATCAAACAAGGACGGAAGGAGTAAAACCACCAACACTGCCATATATATATATATGTGTTTCATATGATTTTATATATATATACTGTATATACGTATATTCATTATATCTGATTGCAATGCTATTTAACATCTATGGTCTATGGTTCACCAAAATTGTTGTTTTCATGTCCTGAAATACCTACTGTACCTGATCCAAGGCCATTGGTTGGTCGGCCTTTTTCGGCCGCTATGTCGCTACATCTCCGGTCCCCCGGGGGTGCAGGTACGTTTTGACCCACCCCCATATCGTGGTTCATCTTAGACCCCCTGCCCGATATATGGTTTATTTTTTTGCCACGGTACGTGTATCAACTATCCCACCTTGTATGTCACGCAAGAGCAGGAGTTGACAAGGTGGTGCCCTCATTTTATAAATTGGCCTATAGTCTATTCTAGAAACATCCTCCATAAATGCTATATTTAGTGTATAGTATAGTTGTATAACTATGTGACACCACCCAAGTGGATTTTGTTGGTTATGTAAATCTATCCCATGATATCCCCAATATCCGCTGGTTAATCGCCCCAGCAGCTGGCCGCCGTAGTGGTTGCCCATGATGCACACCTGGGAAGATGTGATTTATAGGCTTAATATAGCAAGAAAACTGATCTACCTATATCCGGCGACCCCGCTTGCAGAGGGAGCGCGTCAGAGGAGAAATTACAAGCAGCAAGGAGCAAGAAGCAAGAAGTGAGGAATACAAGCAGTACAAGCAGTTAGGCACCCTGGGCCGCCGCCAACGTTTTTGGAGGCTTGACGGCTGCAATTTGGAACTAGTTTCTTGTCGGTTCAGAAGGCTCCGTGACATGGTGTTTCGCTGTGGCGAAACCAAGGTTTTGGAGAAAGCGACGTTAGGCAAATATGCGGGATATGGATCATATCGGCGGGATTGGGAATTTGGGCGCTCAAAACATAATTGACATACATGGAGAGTCTCGACTGCGCACACAACATGAGAGTTACACTTGTCAAATCTCGAGTTTAGCTGACAAATCTTGATCAGAGTCAGAGTTCATAAACCCATGATGGAAACAGAGACATTGCTGGAGCAAATAATATGTCGAAAAAAAGCCTGCACCAGTTCATATGTGGTTTATCCCATTATTTAAGGGCTTTCTCCAATCCTTTTCGTGGTGCAGGATTTCGCAACCATCCACCGTATGTCGAGTTCTGCGGCTTCACGCGCATTCTAATACAGGTAAATTAGCGTTGATTTAGAGAATGCGCGGGAACAATAAGGCCAAGAATATCTTTATTATATACATATATAGATATATATATATATATGTTGATAATGTAGATATATATATATATTATATTTCGGTTGTGTAAAGATTATATATATATATACAGATATATTAAAGTATATAAAATCCTGGTCTGATCACTGGGCATAGTCGAATCAGGTGCACCCATTTTGGGCAGGATCTCTTCCAGAGGCATCATTCAACGTCACGACGTGGTCACTATACATACCCTCTGGTAATTTGTTACATAGCTATTGAAAATGGCCCATTTATAGTTGATTTTCCCATTAAAAATGATGATTTTCCATAGTTATGTTAGTTTACCAGAGGGTAAAAAAGTGAAACCAACCATTTCGGGTGTCCTAAAATAGGGGCTACCCCCAAATCATCCATTTATCAATGGTTTTGCCAAAAAAACAACCATTTGGGGGGAGTACTATACCCCCATTTTCGGAAACCTAGCATTTGGGAATGGTGTTTCGCACTCCCTACCCTCTGGTAATTTAACATAGCTATTGAAATTCACCATTTTTAGTGGGTAAATCAACTATAAATGGCCATTTTCAATAGTTATGTTAGTTTACCAGAGGGTAGGAATATCTTGGGCATCGCAACCGCGGTTCCAAACAGGGCTAGGCTGACGCACGACTCCGATGGTCTTCTCATCAATGAACTCCTGGGGAATTTTTTTTTGGACCCCGCCTGTGGGATGATAGTCAAGGGATTTAGAACAATTTATAACCAATAATATATAATAATAGATAATAATGTATAATAATATGAAATAATATATAATAATATAATAATATATAATGTATAATGATATATGATGATATATAATAAGATATAAGAAGATCTAGTAATATATATATATATAATAATAATAATATGATACATAGGTTTGTCCACACATGGGTGTAATAATAATAATAATATATCATAATATATATATATATAACCATAGGTTCCCCAAAAACAATGACAATTGTCATAGAAAAACCATGGGTCGAGTAAGTCAAACCCGGGGGCCAAGGTCACGGAGATTTTTTTTCTCTAGCAGCTCTAGCAGTGACCAGTCTGGCTGTTGAATCGGTTTTTTGTCTGCCCCCTTCCAACCTGCAAACATATATTTGTATATATATAATATGATATAATATATGATATACCCTCTGGTAATTTAACATAGCTATTGAAAATCACCATTTATAGTGGATTTTCCCATTAAAAATGGTGATTTTCAATAGCTATGTTAAATTACCAGAGGGTATACATTATCATATCTAAGAATTCGACATACTCACCAGCATGACCCTCATTCTCAAACAGTTTCCTTGACACCTTGACTTCGTTGAAGCCTCAGCCTGATACCGATACCTGTTCCACCCCTAAGTGGGATCTAGGGATGTTCATCCCGCCCAAGTTATGGTTCATTGGTGTTTCACCCATTCTCATTATCTCCATTTATGTATAATTTGTGGCAAACATTGTGGCAAACATTGTGGCAAACATTGTGGCAAACACTGTGGCAAACATTGTGGCAAACATTGTGGCAAACATTGTGGCAAACATTGTGGCAAACATTGTGGCAAACATTGTGGCAAACATTGTGGCAAACATTGTGGCAAACATTGTGGCAAACATTGTGGCAAACATTGTGGCAAACATTGTGGCAAACATTGTGGCAAATATTGTGGCAAATATTATCTCTATGTATATATATATATATATATTATACATATATATAACCATACATAACCATACATAACCATATATAACCATATATACTGTAACCATATATAACCATATATAACCCATGAAATCCACGCACAGTTTACCAGTTTACCACCCCGCTAAAACCACAAACAATTCGGCGCCTTGATCTTGGTGGGGTCCAAGGTAAAGGTCTTGTAGCTGGGCTTTACAAATCGCGGCTGGATGTCCATGTACTTGAACCTCAAGAGCTGGTGGATTGATCATCGAAATTGATCTTTTAGGTGGTTTATCAATGGGGGATCCCATTGAAGCTGGTTAGATGTTGGTTTATACGGGAAAATCTGATCTATAAATGGATGATTTAGGGCTAGCATTTTAGGAAACCTCCATATGTTGATGGTTTTTCATAAATGGTAGCCCCTTTTTAGGAAACCTCCAGATCTTAATGGTATGATGAAGGGAGATATTCATGAAAAAAACCAAGCAAACATAAGGAGAAACCAAAAAGATGCTGGAGCAACCCCGACCTGGAAATCTGGAAATATGGTTTTGCTCCAAAATGGTGGTTACATGTGGATACATACCCCCGAGCTATTTTTTGTTTGGCAAAATGTAGCATTTAAGGATTGAATCTGGTGACAAATGATGGGCTATGGACTGTATAAGAAGATGAACATATCAATCAACAATCAAATGGGAAACAATAGTATACAAAGGGGTAGGGAAAGGGAACATAACCAACAAAAAACATACAATTGTATTCACGAACAAAAAGAGAGACATAGAGATCTAACATAATCTAACAACAATTACACTATTAGTATAACCAACAAATTGGGAAATGAACTAACCATCATAGGACTCTGAAAACTTTTCACCATGGCCACTATTTCACCATGGTGAACTCTTCATCCTTTGGGGAGTTGGAGGCTTACAATGCTGCGACATTTTCGGGTAGCTGTCCTCACTAAAAAATATCAACATTATCCCCATGTGTTCCACATACGGTATAGTTTATCTACACATGAAAGTCATGTGGGTTTGACTGAAAATAAGGTCCCGCTAGATTCTTAGATGTTTGATCATTATGTTCTCCATCAAAATTGATACGCGAGGGGTACGAGTACCTCATTCCAATCCATTTCAGGTGCTACTATTTCTGGTCTCATATGCCATGCAAACAAGACAACTTTTTAGCTGGTCGGTAAATAGTGTGATTCAGCAAAAAAACCTTAAGTATATACCAACATGTTGAATCCAGGTAGTGTCCAACCATATCCCATTAATATCCCCCAAACCATTTTTGATTTATATACCCATCCTCTATCGCCATAATATTAGGATTCAATGGATTGGTTTAAGGGAAAATTTACAGGAAAACCCCATATTTAATGGGAAAATTGATGGTTTCCTGTAGATTTTCCCTTAAACCAATCCATTGAAGGATATACTGCTTGATATTAAAGTATATTAAATTCATCAATACTATGTCATCTCCATGAATCATGATAAATCCCCATTACCTTTACTCCTCGTTCGTGTCCTCATCCATATTCACTAGTATCTATCCACCAATATGTATCCATTGTATAACTATTGCACCATACGTCTTCTTTATCTAAAGTTGGATACAACTATAATATAAATATATACATATATAACTATTGGATTCTACAACTATATACATAGCTATCATAGCTATTGGACCGTATTTCGACTATAACTTTATGGATATTTTTGTTGTGCGTAGCTGAGTCTCCTGGCAGCTTCTCCCAGGCTGCCTGAAACATCGTCGAAATCACCTCATGGAGGTGTTGCAGGCAGATGACATTTAACCGAGAAAAAGCCCTTGGGTTTTTCCGGTTGTGACATCGTTTCACCATGAAAAAAAACTGATATAGGATGATATAGGTGTATATGGGTGTATATGGCATCATGAAGATTTGGGTAGTAAGAGGGGTTTAACCGTACAAAGCAAGCCAGTTGGATTAGTGCCTCAGTTAGATCCACAACTAGGCGTATTGGTACTGATTGGGTCCCACACTTGAAGGGGGTATACAAAAAAGAAAGCGTGAAATATAAAAGCTGTTAATTGCAGATCTAAGCACCATACAGTACAGAGCTCATGTTTGACAACCAATGACTATCTGATATTGATAGGGAGCTAGCCATATGGTCATCGGTTCATCGGTCCCTTCAGCACGACCACCACCTCTATGATAACCCAGGATACAATCAAGATACCACCATCACACCACCATTCGTAGTTCCTAGGAAAAACATATCCTAACTTACCGGAAAGAATCTAAGATTTGGCTGAGTCTAGCAAACATCCAATTTTGGGCGAGGATCACTTTGAAAGAGGCAGCCATATCACCAAAAGACATGTCCAGCGAGCCGAGCATGACGTCACCCAGCGGATTGGGGGAGTCAGCAACTCATGATTCGAGTGAATGATATTTCTCTCCATGTTCGCAGGGTGTGTGTCCAGTCATGTTGCCCAAAATATGCAACAGAAAGAAAAAATGATAAGTGATATACTATGATATAATGTATATAATATATATATATTCATATGTATATATATATATATATATTCATATGTATATATATATATATACATATCAACCAGGACCATTCCATCTTTTAGCTCTCCTGAAATTAACTCACTGAACTCCTAAACGCCAAGGTGCCAAGTTGGGATAAACGCCTCTGACTTCGTCTTCGCTCTTGTTGAACTTCTTGGCCTCGGGTCGGTTAAGGCACCATCCAATTTTTATCGACCAGGAAATGACTTATCCCAACTGTCCCAACATGGAAATGCCGGGGAGATTGTAATCCATTTGTCAGTTGAGAATGACAATTATAGGAAAATTGACAAATGGATCACAATTATTGTCAGTTCAATTATTACAATTGTTATTGAGAATGTCCTGAAGAAGAAAAATAACAATTATAGGAAATTAACTGGGCAGTTTTTGAAACCATGGCCGGCAAACATGGGTGTATGAATGGATGTGGACGGATATGGGTCACAACCCTACGGTACACGGGTAAACAGCAAAGTAGCTTGTAAATGGGATTTTCGTCCAAACAAATCCTGTGGGTTTAGAGCTGGTCAACTTGAATTCAAGTACAGCGATGCAAAGTACAAACATGAATACCTCCAAAACTACAGTAATAATCCTTTCCCCCTGTAGCATTATATACACACCAACCAATCGAACGCCTAGTAAAATGTATCTGATTATTCATGAGTTGGGGTCCCATATTGGAGTACTTAGTGTCGTCATCTTCCCATCTGTCTAGGTGTGAGCTCCCAATCGAACGCCCCGGCAAACCGATTCGACAACATGTTCAGTGCCACTAGACAATGATCAGGAGGTTTCCAACCCAGCAGGAACTACAACTGTGCAAGTGAGGAGAAAGACCCCACTTCGACCAGAGTTGGAATCTGCAATCCCCTGTTTAAAAAAGGGTTCCCTGGGTCCCTGGTCGCCACTTTTTTCTCCCCTGCAGTCGCTGACTGACAAGTTAGATCCCCAGGCTCTGCGGCCCCTGTCCATCTGATACCATCTGATCATTCTTGCTGCGAACCCATGAAAGCCATGATGTTGAACATGGATCTGGCAATCTGGGGATCTGGATTCACATTCCGATAGGACATATATGGATTTATATATATATATGCATATGCATCACGGGTGCCAAATTTTGCACGCCCCAATATGTTTTGTTCGCCATATTCTCAGGCCCCAAGGCTACAAAGACCAGACAGTCAATCGAAGTATTCAATGTGTTTTTTTCACTTTTATTTTTTATCCAAAACACATAAAATTGAAGGCTCTGTTTAGCAATTTTAGTGTAGAAGTTAATGAATCCAACTTTTTAGCAGTCAATGGGATGGCATTCGCCAAAAGTTTTTAAACTACGCTTCGCCCAAGGTTTTTTTCCTGTGAGCCCAACATCAGTTATCACTGTTCTCTCCAGATATGGACTGAGGAGCACGGTCATCCTCAGCAATCTATGTAAAAATAAATAAGTTCCTGCAGAAAAAAACGGAGAAGACCATCCAAAATTACCTTAAAGAAAAGACCTAAATCCACATCCGTCGCCTTGGACAGGAACTTAAAAAATGTCGAAAAAGGATCCATGGTCCATTTAGACATGAACTTTCCAAGCTCCACCTTGGGGCGTCGGGTTTCCCTCGATGAATGAATGTTCGTTCAGCCACTCCAAGATTTGATGTTCTTTGGAAGAGAATGTTGAGAAAACATGCATCAATCTGAAAGAATGTGGGCAAATGAAGGGATGTACCCTCTGGTAAAAACTGTTACAGTTTGCTATTGAAAATGGCCATAGAAATAGTTGATTTACCCATTAAGCATGGTGGATCTTTCCATAGTTATGTAAACGTTTACCAGAGGGTAAACCAGGAAACAGACAAAACCAGGGTAATTCCCGCCCATCCCATCCATCCTGAGATCAGGACGTGGGGTCTCGGTCAACAAACACGACTAATGGGGATGATCACCACGACTCATCATTGAATGGTGATGTCGTGGTGAAGTTTTTTCATGTTTTTTCCTTTTCTAAATTCCTTTTCCCGGAATATCTCTAAAATGACCTTTGCTGCGTACAGGACTCCGCCTTTATAGCTGCTGGAGCTACTGGAAACACTCACCCTGCATGGTTCCTTTGTTTAACAGCACAGACTCCATGGCCCATATCCCAGCTGCTACCAGCTGGAAGCAAACAGTGCTCTTGCGTTTTCAAATATTTCACGGCACAAGTATTTATGTCCTTCGGATTTAAAAGTTCCTTATAAACATTTTTTTTGCGGATCTCATATGTATATTAATATTGAAGTCGCCCAGACTTTTTTTCAGTGATGTATCTTAAGGTATTTTTTCTTACTCACCCATACGTGAACCATTAACACAAGTTCGTATACAGTACTCTGCACGACACGGATTTCTGACAGGTGCCGAGAAGAGCTCCCAGAATCAAAAAAGGCTCCCAGCCTCCGTTCTGAGACCCAGACCTACAGTTTCTATGTGATTTTCACAGTTCCCAAAGGGATCAAAATTTGGTGCTTCAGTTTCTGAAACCTGGCTGGCCCCTTTGTCTGTCCAAATCTCGAAAAAGTTCAGAGACTTTCAATTTTGACCCCTACCCACTGTTCTACAGATTGACTTTTTGCACACGGCACTAGGACACGAGGTCCCGCATCTGTATCAATCAGCAGCATTCGAGTGGCAAGGACTTTCAACACAGTTGCATCTGATTCTCCCCAAAAAACAAGAGCAATCAACTCATGATATCGTCTAAAAGGTCAACCTCCATCGAATAAGAAATCATATAAACAATTCTATGCTATGTTCCACGAGTGTTAAACTCAATGTTTTGCACAACTTTGCTGATCCCCATGTTCTTCATGCTTAAACCACACGTTTGCACATGGCTATGGGTCCAGCGTCATGGTCCATCCAACTGGTTGATAATAGACATGAATAGGTTCCAGGCACAGTACAAGATTCATTATATACAAGTGGATACAAGTGGTATGTAAGCAGTATATATATATATAAGCCTCTGGTAACTATGAAAAATAACATAGCTATGGATAAATCATCATGGGAATATAAATCACCATAAATCATCCATTTCTATGCACCAGTTTCCATATTTTAAGTAACCAGGGGGTATATAAGCATATATAAACTATATAGAAACCAAGGAATTACATCAGTGGAGAACAAACCAGTTTTACCCCTCATGAAGCGATATCATGTTGCCACCAGGGCTACCAAGAGGCCATTAGGTCGCGCGCAGCCTTTAGATCCGCCTCCCGTGTGTTGGTCACGCAGAGCTTGCGCGAGTCGCGCCAGGCTTTGGGGAAGCGCTGTTCCAGGTGCGCACACATCTTGGCCTAGAAACGTAGGCTGCGCGGTGGGGAAAACATGGGAAACTGTAGGGTGTGGTGGGGAAAACATGGGAAAACTTAGGGAAAACGTATGGGAGAAAGGTCAGTTGTAGGATAAAATGCACCGATTTGTGCGTGGAAGAGGCGAAGGTACCAGGTTTTTGGTCCATGGCCATGGGGTTTCCCGGCCAGCAAGAGATCTAAAAACTACAAAAAACAACAATCATTTTGGTCTACAAAGCCGAAAAACAAAGAAAAAAACATGGAGATGAAGTTGAATTCGAGGATTCCCATAGGTATCCCATGGGTATCTCATGGGTATCCCATGGGTATCCCATGGGTATCCCATGGGTATATGGCTTTGGGTCGACTCGTCTGGTCCTGTGACATGCAGAAAATGCTCAAAAAACTAAAGAAAGACGTTAAATCACGTTCAAACAGCACTAACTGGATAGATCTGGATAGTATATATATATATATCTATCTATCTATCTATCTATCTATCTATCTATCTATCTATCTATCTATCTATCTATCTATCTATCTATCTATCTATCTACACGCGTGTGAAGGATATATGCATATGCACAGCACAACATCTCCGCAGGAAACTGACCCCGTTATCGGTCCAGGACACATATCGTCCCCCAGCATCGTCCACCACCAGGCGGTTCTCCTTGATGCCAACCTGCTAGGAGATACGTGCCATTAGTCAAGTTGCATGGGATATTTATATATATATATGTATGTGTATATATATATATGTATATTTGAATATATATATATATATATACATATGTATATGTAAACAAATATATACAAATATATGTTTGTGTGTGTGTTACAGTGAATATTATTAAGTATATTTATACATGCCTAAATATATGTTTATATTCAATGCCATTAGATGGATTATTAGATATGTTATGATATGTTTAAATAGTATTAACGCCACCTCAAAGTGAATTTGGCAATTCTGAAAGGCGATAACATCGACCATCCAATGGGTGATTTTCTCCCAGGAGTTTCAACTCTAGCGACGACAGTACCATGATGCCTCAACCAACATGACCAACCCCCTAACTCCGCTTGAGTCAGCATGGGATGATTGTCCGGTCAAGTCTGACTTCCATAGATGTGAATACCCCGTTTCTATATATATATATCATACATATGTATGGGCGGTATAGGTTATTACCGTTTGCTTAAACAAAAACCGTCTATATGCTCCATTAAAATCCCATTATTATGCCATGATTCTCCCATTGATAAACCATTATTCTAGCATGATATTTCTATCATTTGCACTGGTAAACTTACAAAACTATGGAAAAATAAAACACTTCAAAAAAAGGTAAATCATGGTAAATCATCTATAAATGGTCCATTTTCCATGGCAAAATATTAAATCATCAAAGGCATCAAAGGGTAAATCCCCAAATCCGATCCCATTAAATCCTATGAAAAAATCTATGACATCACCATTACATTCGAAAGTTACTTTTCTCAATCTGCCTCCAGCTCAAGGGTACGCGTCTCCCTCAAGAAAACTGGTGTTGCCTCAGATTGACCATAATTTTACGGTTGGGGTTATAATGTATACAGCTGGTATACAGTATACATATGTAAAGACTGCCAGTCTTCTATTTTACTCATATGGTGCCAGAATTAATCAATAATTTGATTTGTTGGAACTGCAAAGGCTGCATCGGAAAATCCATCGGTCCTGTACAGTACAGATTCACCATTTCCTCGTTGCTGGCTCAGTGCCACGTAGCTGGCTCAATGCCTCGTTGCTGGCTCAGCGCCTTGTAGCTGGCTCAATTTTTTTGAACAAAAAAAAAGGAAAAAACAACGCGAAAAAATTGAGCCAGCTACATGCCCTTGAGCCAGCTCGGTGTGCCGTCATCATCCCGGGCCAATACATATTTATGTTGTATTCGTTTTTAAGCTTTCACATTCGTTCGCCAGCTCAACGTGACGTAGCTGGCTCACTTTTTTGGAGTTTGTGTTTTTTTTTCGTCTTTTTCGTTCAAAAAAATTGAGCCAGCTCGATGCCATCGAGCTAGAGCGATGTGTTTGAGCTAGCACGGTGTTGCTGAGGTAGCTCGTTCCACTTGAGCGAGCCTGCAACTTTTTCCCAATGTGTTCAATTGCCAGGTTCAGTCCCAAATGATTCGTTTAATAGAGATGGTACCCCTGTTGCAGCCCAGAAATTTAGGAGCCACGTTTTGGGCCAAATCTGCTTAGACAAACAAATGACCCCTTCTGAAATTGAGCCAGCTACATGTTTTGAGCTAACTCGAAAATGAGGAAGATTGTGGATTGCTACATTCAATACATCCCATTAAATCATCATTAAGTCACCACTAAATCCCATGAAATCACCATGAAAATCCCATTGTTTTTGCACCTTGGCCGCCCCCGGTCCCAGGTCGCAGGCACCATGACTTGTAGCTGCATCTCACGACCCGACAGCAAGAGCTCTTGCACCGGAGCCAGCTTTCCCACCTCTGAAAATCGCTCGGCGATATATGGAGATACTAAATATAACTATATATATATATATCTAATAACATATATATATATATCTAATAACATATATATATATATATATTTATATAACATATGTGTATTTATATATATATATATATAAATATGGAAGTTGGTCTTCGCAATCACAATTCTTCACAAGGAACTCTTGGACGTTAGAAAACTCCATGTATGTACATAAATACTCTGCGTTTATTCATATATGTATATATATATGATTTATATCTGTTTGGTGGTGTCAACTGGCTGTTGGGCACCTCCCAGCCCTGGGCCACATATCCCATGCACTTTATATTCTTGTATATCCGCATTAGATATCACTATATATCCATTAAATATAATATCATAAAACATATAATAGAGTATAATGTAATGTATTATATTTTACATATATTTACATATATATATATTAAGTATCTCCCCATGAAATATGTTGGTCAATATCCCATGATTCCATACATTGCTGCTGAAATCCCCAACTTTCAGAAAGTAGCGGCGTAGCGCCTGCCGCACATCATCCAAGTCGTGCCAAAGGAAGTCCGCCACGCGACCCGCCAAAGTAGGCACGTTCTGCGAGAACGGGAAGATTTCATGGGTTATATACATATTGGTTGGTGGTTGACCTACCATTGTGGTTAATATATGGTTATAATATGGTTAATGATGGTTAATAATAAGCTGGTTGGTGGTTGACCTACCCCTCTGAAAATATGACTTCGTCAGTTGGGATGATGACATTCCCAACTGAATGGAAAGTCATAAAAGCCATGTTCCAAACCACCAACCAGATATGGTTATATGGAGGTTTCCTAAGTCATGGGGGTACCCCAAGCTCGCTGGATGGTTTATGTCTTGGAAAATCCATCTATCTATAAATGGATGATACCTAGGGGTACCCAGGTGTGGAACGTTCCATCAGGGAAATGGCTACTGGAAAATGTTCCTCATGATTATTGATATTTATTGGCATAATTTTCGAATTTATCATGGAATTTCCGAAGTCCCTGATTTTTGGGGAATTTTGTCCATGATTCGTCAAACCAATAAGCCTCCATGGCGGTGCAACATCCATGGCCTGTTGCATCTCCATCAGCAATGCCTTCGTCGATTCCTGCGCCGTTTCACTCTTGGGCCGCGGCCGCGGCTGCTTGGGCGGCGTCTCCAGCGCCTGCAATGGTGGAAATCACCGGAACATGATGGAGAATCCGCTCGGACGATGTAAAATGATGGACAATTGATGGAAAAACAAAAACAAAAAGAAGGTAAATCCAGAGACATTGAGAATCTGAAAAATATCAAGTGGAATTGGGAAAAGATATGACTAGATCTCAGAACATATGGATGGTGAATGGGGAATTTCAAAAGATTTGCAAGAGGAACGTGATCACCGCTCAGTTTGTCGGGGTTCCACATGGCATTTCTTGGGATGTTCTTCTTTGACCACGCAAGCTGGAATCTGACATAGAAACTGGTCTGTCTGAAAAAAAGGTTATGACACACTTCAATGATATGGTTCATCATAAGTTTTCTCATCTACAAGTATATATATATATATTATAGAATTAGCATTTTTTGGTGGTACACACATGAAGAAAGTGTGGATCTTCCCTGCAGGTCGGATGGCTTTCAATAGATATCTACATGTCTTGCTGTGGTCTTCAAACACTTTCGTTTTGCATCAGAAAAAAAACATCGATTTAAAAACTGTGATTAACCATTTGGACCAGTTCAATAAGATTATATATCTATACATAATTCATTAAGGTGTCTGAGAATGCAGTATACCGGTATACCCCAAAAAGTGCAAGTTTGATGGGAACAATGACCATAAAACACCGGAACAATGTCCATGTATACAACCCCACCTCCGCCCGATCAAGTTGATCAAGGCTTCGCTTGGCCATGGAGATTTGGCTTGGCTTGGCTTCTGTATTGGAAAGTATAGAGGGGCCAGGTTGCTGTATGTTGGTGTACAATTCGTCATCATGTGCCCTCCGGTAAAAACTAACATAACTATGGAAAATCACCATTGTTGATGGGAAATTCAACTATAAATGGCTATTTTCAATAGCTATGTTAAATTACCAGAGGGTAGCTGTCACAGATTGTCACAGTATCGAACATGGAGGATACTCCCAGAGTAGCCCTTTCATGCCCTTTCCTTCTTTCATCTTTTGCGACCGAAAAGTCTGGGAATGGAATTCTGGAACTCCATTTTGTTGAGACTGGTAGGAATACTTCATACTTCAAGAAAATTCACTCGAGGGAACCAACTGTGCTGGCGCCTCCAATGAGGTCATGACATGAATCTTGGACTGGGCCAGAGACATCTGAACCATCGTTGACGGAGAAAATAACTCACAAAGTCCAAAATGTCCAAAGCAAGCGACCCAAAACTGCCAGATCTGCCAGTGTCTCAAAAATAAGGCTGGCCCCTATATTAATTGAATTCATGGTGTATTACATATCATTACACATTTCATCATCTATAATCATTCTTCCCCAATGGGAATCACAATCATCAATAGATTCGATGGGAAATGGAAATTCATGGTATCTTCACCCCCACTGGCTATCCCCCAGGCCCCCCGAAAAATGGGCCCAGGCATACCACTTCCGCCATCGGAACTTCAGGGCCAAGCCCGCCAGCAAACACGCCTGGCGTCATGGAGCTGATGAGCTGGTCACCGGCTTGAGGGGGGCACCACCCATATGGGGATGGGTCAAAACCCTGGTACCCCTGGTGAACATCAAAATAGCTGGTAAATGGATGTTCATCCCACTAAAAATGGTATTAATAGGTATTGATCCATAGCCATATGTATTTCAATGTGTTCCAGTGTTTCCAGGATAGTGAAAATATGTTATCCTAAGCCCATCATTTCCAACTTTTGGGAATCTATGGCTGTGGGATGCTGAAACTTGATGACGGGGAGATTTTTAGATGGCTTGATTCACCCAAACAAAAACACAGGCGTTCTGAAAATCGAAGCCCTGTCGTTTCACTAGCTAAATCCCAAGTTGTTGCTGTGAAGGGGTCTCAATTCTCACTGCTTCCAACATTTTTCTTGATCACACCCTTATGTCTTGCTGCCTAAAGACAGATTTCTTTCCGGGCCAAACTATTCCCGGTCCCGTTTCCGCTAGTACATGATTGCTCATGCTGTACATATTGTATTCATATATATATATATATAGGTTTCCTCAAATAGTGGTACCCCAAATCATCCATTTATAGATTGAATTTCCATTATAAACAATCCATTTTGGGGTTCCCATATTTATGGAAACCCTCATATATGTATATATATATATATATTATTCCTATCTCTGTCACTTAAGCCACCTTTTTTTCCAGCCCTTTTCGCCAAAATCATCACAAGGACCATGGCATCAAGTTGCCCATCCCTACCATACATCCCCATGTAAAATCGTAAGAAAAAAATACGTTCAACATATAAAAGCCAACAAAAAATAAGAAGAGCCATCTAAAATGCCATTAATCATTAGCCATTTTGAACACATCTAACCATTAGCAATCCATTCACAGTTAATGATAAATGATGATAACTGATGATAAATGATGATGAATGATGATAGATGATGATTGACATGTCTTTAAACTTTAAACATGACAAATAAGTTGATGTTGAACCGTCCGGGCTGTGGCTCTAAGAAAACTCGTGACATCAAAACTTCACCTAAAGGATATCCCCGGATCCGAGGTGTCATCACATGGCTGGAAAATCAGGATTGAGTTCCTGGATGTTTTGCAAACCCAGCTATAAACCTCCATGTTTCACCATTTTTCACAATGTTTTCTCCATGTTTCACCATTTTTCACCATTTTTCTCCATTTTTTCTCCATTTTTCACCCTTTTTCAGGCCATCAAATCCACCACTTTTCACGGGGAAAGCACCACCCCTCCGACAAAAATAGGGCCTCTGTGGAGCCCACTGTCCCGGCGCCCGCATAGCAGCCGTACTCCTCGAAGTCGTCGGGCTTGGGGCAATGCCAGGCTTTGGCGATCCTCGGATGGGTGAAGTTATGGTGATTTTCATGAGAGATTGATGGAGCGGGATTTTCATGGTGATTTCATGGTGACTTCATGGGTGATTTATGGATGTTTTGTCGAATTTCATGGTGGTTTCATGTGGCAGCTTGGTCGAATGATCGAATGTGATGGACAATGATACGACTTGAATCGATTTAGATGCCTCCAACATGTCCAACATGGTGAGTGAAGGATGAAACATGGTGGTTTCACTATCAAAAATTCAAATGTTGAATATAATATAAATCACTATCAAACATGTTGAATATAATATAATATAATATAATATACCATAATATATCAATTTAATTCAATTTAGTCATCAATCAATCCGAAATCGATCAAAATCATTGGAACAGGGGATTTCACCTTCCGGTGTCCTGGCCATGGCCAAGGCGCATGTTGAGGGTGTCATTGTGCATGCGGAAGGACTCTGGGTACACGGTCTGATCCGCTAGATTCACCTCCACCAGGTCTGGGGGGATCAGCATCACTGAAACATTCACCAGAAACCAACCAGTGGTGTGAATTCATCCAATAAACCAACCATCACCAGAATCACCAGAATTGTTAATGGGAATTGAATGGTGTTTGAATTCCAATAAATCAACTGCAGAAAGCCATAATTTTTCATGGTTGCCATTCTTTGAAACCACTGGAGACATGGGATTATCATATCATATATATATATATATATAATCTTGGAGGTTGCAATGGATTATGCTTGCCGTTTCCAAAGCTTCTGAAGAGGCGTACTTAAATCCAATTTCTTTTAAGATCCAATCCTCATTGTTGGTGAGTAAACGCTACATTCCTCATTTCGGCATATTCTTGCACTGATCTGGTCCTCCAAAACTCATCAATCACCCTTCAAACTCGACCATGAAAATTGCCTAACATTGCAACGAGCTCCAAACGTAACAAATTGCAATGTCAATTATCCAATGTCAATTGACAATTGTCGGAAATATTATGAAATATTAACATCAGTTTTCAAAGTTAACTGCCATTGACCTTTAAGGATGGCTTTGGTGAAACTTCTACCAGGCCCCAGTTGGCTACCCCAGTTCTCCCAGTGTTTCACCAGCACCTTCAACCCCATCAGCGCGACCTTCTCTTCTTCCTGCGACCCGCGGCGCGATCCGCGGCGAGCCCGGTGAATGGTGAAATCTTCGATTTTTTAAACGAGAACATCCATGTAGGATTCATTTATTCATGGAACAGAACTTAGTAACTATGGTAAATAAACTATTTTTATGGCCAGTTTTCAACCATTTATTTAGATGGATAAAAACTATCTGCTTGGTGGTTTTAACATAACCATCTTGAAAAATGATGGACAACGCATTGGGATGATGACATGAACCATATATGTTCCAAAGCACCAACCAGATTATGTATAAATATGGAGGTTTCCTAAGTCATAGGGTTACCATAGCTGGATGGTTTATGTCATGGTTTTAATCCATCTATAACTGGATGATTCATGAAATTACAAAAACAATCTCACAGTTTTAAGCAATGTGCTTAATTTTATGACGATGTCATTGAATGTCCATGAATGCATGGTATAGTATGGCGTATTTTGCCCTATCCGATTAAATTATCCCTTCTCCGGCAGCATCAGGAAGAGAATCTATAAGAATTTTGTACGGACAGCCATCCTACACTGTTCTATATCATACTACAGTATATATATATATATTATATATGACCATATATATATATTATTATATATTATTATATATTATATCTGTCTGTACTCTATAGGAAAAATATGTGTTTGACACACCGAACGTCAAAAGCAGTGAAACCTCTAAAACAACATGTAAACTGCATGGGACGCCGCCCATTCGGGCAGTCAGTGCAGCTAATGCAAAATGTTGCAAAACACCATGTGGAAGCTACATTTAGCAGTGCTATTTGACGCATTAAAGGTATGTGTTTGGCTCCTTAAAATGTGCAAAACACTATGTGGATGCATGTGTCAAAGTCATTCGGAAAATAGATTGCTTCTTAGGATATCATACGCAAAACACAATGGGGCGCACATGCAAAGTGCAGAAGTAAAACTTACATAAATCAGGTCAATTTCATCACAATTCTCTTGTAATTGATGTTGGTTCTTGATGACGATCTTGCAAAAGTAGAATATCGGGTTGTGCTTGAAATTAGCAGGCGCTAGTTTTGCCTGATTTTGAAACCTTTTGACATCACCTGCCACACTGCAGCCACATATTTTTGCACTGTGGGTTCAAATCTGCACATAAAACACATCTTGAAAGGACCTTGTGGGGTTGGGGCGAGATCTGGGGCGAGATCAAAGAAGGACATCATGGTTTCTTGTGGGCCATGTCACATGCCCATGCCACATGCCACGGTAGCTTCTGCACATCTTTTAATGAGAATGTTTGCCGATTTGAACCGCTTACAACTAGTTCGATCACTTTTGCACTTAAAATTGACTTCAATAATTATTTTTGTTCGCTGGTCTTGCACGTATTATTTACGATTGTTTTTACCGAACAACTCTACACGATTTAATCAAAATAACAAACATATGTTCATTCACCTCAGATTTGATACCAATGTGTAATGAGCGGATACATCCTCCATACCAGAGGCACTGGGGCAATCTGCTTGGCAAACAAGGGAACATTTCTGCTTATCAGGTGTCCCTGACAAAAACACCAATCAATAAGATCTATGTGTACAGTATGTATCAGCTGCAAAATGTCACAATAAAAAAAACAAAACAGAACATACAAAACACAAACTGGACGCAACTTCGCATCGACTTCCAGAATTGATCTCCCCCACCTAGTACGCATCAAGAAGGTTTCGACTTTTGAACTGGTGAGTACACAATCCATCTCAAACATGTGAACGTCAGCAGCAGCACCATAGGTCCTGATCATAAACAACAAATATACAATTAAGTGAAACCACATTTTGCCACTGTTCTTGCATATTCCCTCTTTTTAGATCTTTTTAGCAGATCAAGCTATCTCATGCACAGCAACATTGCACTTTAGGTTTCACTTTAGGTTACCAAGCTCAGGAACAACAGAAGTCCCCAAGCAGTTACCATCGTTGGGAAAATAAGTTGCTTCACCTCTGACAATCTCCATGTCATATAAAACTTCAAGTATTTCATGTGGGTAAAACAATGCCATGTTTACCATCCCCCAGGAAAATCCACCATAAATATATAGGTGGTATGTTTACTTACCATTCCCAGGAAAATGGGTGGTAAATTAATGGCATTGTTTTATACTCACATCATTTAGATATCTGTTCCACACTGGCCCGGTTAAAACGCCACCGTGTGGCTGGCTCAAAGACCACATTGACGTAGCTGCTGGTGTTCAAGCGTTCCGAGAAGTCTAAGAGGTGGTAGTCCTAGGCAATCAGCGATGGAATCAGGATATGCCATCAGGATATGCAATGGGAATTTAAATTTATCATCTATATGTATATATATATATACCCTCTGGTTAATCATAGCCATGGAAAATCACCATTTTTAATAGGTAAACCCAGGTAAACCATCTATAAATGGGCCATCTATACCATGGCAAACTGTTAAATAACCAGAGGGTATATACATATATATATATAATATTATATACGTGTATGTCGTACATCACGGGATCTATAGCCAACAAATACCAACAATATGCATCTAATTTTGGGATACGTAATTCTCGGATGTTTTTTCCGTACAGTGGTGGATTTCCCCCATAGAAAAAAGTGCTATTTCAGGGTGATCTCTGAGGGGTCATCCTTTTGGAAATATCATGGGAATAAGATTCGAAGAAGGGAATATCATATGGCAGTGTGTCAAAACCCTGGTACCCCTGGTGAACATCAAAATAGCTGGTAAATGGATGTTCATCCCACTAAAAATGGTATGTATAGGTATTGATCCATAGCCATATGATTTCATGGATAAACTAGACGATGGTTGGATGCATTACTTTAAATATCAACATTGGATGTTTACTGTTCTGCATCTGTTGGAAGTTCACCGACACTGTCGCTACCTACATCTTCAATCTTCATGTCCTTTTTTCTGCAACCATAAGATGTCAACCTTACCCATAAAGAACACAACTGTAGCCTGCTAGCATGACAGGATGATTTTTGTCCCCTCGGTCGGTTTGCTGTAGATTCCCCAGTGGATTTCCATTTGGAAAGTATCCAGATTCATAGCTGAAAGACATGTTTCAACCTACCGGTGGTGACAACAATCCCAGCAACAAAAAGGAACAGCGAAGCTGTATGCAATGCACATGTTGACTGCTACATGTTGAAACCATCAACATTACTTTCACACAAGTTCACATATTTTGACAGCTACCCTTTTGTACCCTCTGATAATCTAAGATAGCTATGGAAAATCATAGTAGTTTTCATGTTTCACAAATCATCGTATGATCGTAAAGAAATAGTTGTTACCGCGCCTTAAATTCGGGTCATATTGATTCCAAGCAGGTTTCAGGTGTTGAAGTTTCCATGCAATTTGGAGACGAAGACCATGGAAAATCCAATCAAAACCCAATGATATTGCCATAAAATGGAGTAAGTGTTGCAATATACCCATTTCTTATACTATTACAGTATAGTCTAGTAATAACTATATCATCATACAAAAATAATACAATAATGCACCAAGTACTTACATCCCAATGATATCGCAGTTATATCCCAATAATATCCCAACTATATCCCCCAGAACTTCAAAGGACACCAAAAACTCACCCAGTCACAATTAGTGATAACGGACTTAGTAACCAATCCTTTGGAAGCATTGGGTCCCCTTAGAATGGATTAAATGTGGATGTAATTCAGAACATCTGCTCAAAAATGAACGCAAAATGGATTGTAGATACCAATTACCCTCCAGTAACCAAACATGGCAATCAAAAATTCACTATAATGTGGGTAAAACAATGCCATAAACCACCCATGACTGGGAATGGTAAGTTTATACCACCTATAAAAATGGTGATGACTGGGGGATGGTTTTTTGTTTTACCCATCAGGCCCCGCAGGCCCCGCCTCGACCACACGCACGCAGTGCCTTGCATCGCAGCCCTCGTCTGGCACCGCCATATCACTTTCGCGGCTGCTGCGGGCGTTGGGCGACGCGTAGTACGGCCTTGGGAGCCACTGGAACTTTGAGAGGATTTAATGGGATTTAATGGTGATTTGATGGTGATTTGATGGTGATTTGATGGTGATTTAATGGTGATTTAATGGTGATTTAATGGTGATTTGATGGTGACATACCCTCCAGTCAAACGTGGCTGGCTGGAAAATCCCCGAACTAAATGGAGGTTTCTGGCTGGGAAAATCATCTATAAATGCTGGAACTTCCATTGCCAGGTTTTATTGCCTGAGGGTACACCGACCAAGAAAATAACATGGAACCAAAAATTGTATGTCCAACAGTCAAATAATCCCTTCCCCCGTTCATATTAAACACCCCCCACATACGAAACCATGTTTTTTTCTTGGGAATTTCCACATCATTGGGACCATAGAAATGGATAGGGTCATGGCTCATGGGGTGTTTAATATTAGGGCCATGGGATTCATCTTCCAAAAGCCATGTTTGGGATGCATCTGAAAAACTTTCGGGTGGTGTATGTCCACCATATTTTTGCTCCGCTTGAGCCTGAGTATTTCACGTCGAAATACTAACCAGATCCATGGAGGGGATTGTCTGAAAATAGGCTACCCAAAAATCGATGGTTTACGTCGTCCCATAATTTATATGTTCTCATTAGATTTGATGTTTATTGGGCCAATATACTATAGACACCCCGCAAAGATCAAACATGTCTATCATAAATATTCATAAATCAGATGAAATATCCCCGATAATACATCATACGAATCTTATGTTTGTTCACCCGGGGAAAAAAAGCGTTCACTTATGTTTACCTATTATTGTTGTGGGTACTTGCAAGTTGTTTGGGACCAAGTTGTGAACAAGGGTGCCAGGGCAGGTCATTGTTTCAGTTTCCATTAGCTCCCAATGTCAAGGCACTGGGGGATGGTTTACTGTCCGGGATCCAGGGATCCCCTGACCCATCCCCATCCCATCAGATTTCGCCAGGGAGCCCGTGGTAGCCGCCATGGTACGGATTGTTCGAGGGCGACGCCATGGGCAACGGGGCGACCAACGGCCTCAACTGCGATGGTCGTGAGCAAAAAAGCTACGGTGCCATGGCACAATGTCCCAAGAAAAAGAGACAAAACTTAATGGTTCAGAATTTCATCATTCCAATATATTCCAGAAATTCTTGGTGTTTCTGCTCCATGCAGAAACAAATTGCTAGCCACCGTGGGGTAGTTCGCTGCATTCCAAACCCCCAATCTCTGGGAGCGTCAATGTTTGAGGGGTGTTGCCCCTGAATCATCTCAGTCCATTGAATGTTACGGACCACCATCATCCATGATTTGGGCACCAATTTGGGCTATTCTGACTATTCTGGATGTTTGGGCTATTGTACTTGGATGATTCTGAGTGTGAATTCCAGCTCTGCAAAAAGCTGGTCGACTATCCAGCGTTGCAACATGCAACCCTGGGGTCCATCACGAATCTTAGCGCAGAGAAAGAGCTTGCCGTCCATTTCGAAGTTGCTGGTCCGAATAGTAGCAATAGTAATGATAGGAAGAAGAGGAATATGAAGAACAAAACAACGATCATCAAATAACATATATAACATGTGTTAAACTACGTAGTCATCGTCTTTATAATACTTATGTATAACTTATAACATTCTGACATATTCTGAACATATTTAAACATTATCGTAGTGAGTTGGAAAAACTGCCACCATGACCAGCATCCCGGGAGGAAGCGAACTACCCGTGGGGCCACGTTTGATCGACAGAAATGACTAGGCCATTGGGGACTTGTCTAACCATGTGTGAACAAGAAAATGTGGATCTAATAACTACAACATGTGTTTTTTTGGGATTTCTGGTGAATAATCTACACTTGAACATGTAAAACTGAAACCAACTATAACATAATGGCAGCTCCACTTTGTACCAGTATCTGTTGGATACAGGTGAGTCATATCCCCATGTGTGACCACCAACCAGTTATGGGACCCATCACCATAGCTTTTTCTTTGCCACAATCAGCTCACACCAATCATAGGGCTCCCAACTACCTGAAAGTAGTTATCACCCAACTTGGAATTTGAAAGAAACTTTAAAGTTCCTGGGGTGCATGCTGCTTTATAACCCCAGAAAATAGAGGGTCATTGGTTACCCTTTCTTGCCGGTTGGGAGTCCCATGAAGCACTACTGCCAACGGAATTCCTTTGCTCCGTTCCTGTTCTGCGACAAAAATCTTGGTCAGCAACTTTCTCTGTCCGCTGCGACAGTTGCAGCCAGCAATTTCCAGGCTGAGGTTGACGTCCTAACGATCATCGTTGTCTTTCCGAGCGAAAATTTATTGGGGGGTTCCATAAATGGAGGTACCCTTAAATGGATGCTTCATATGGAAAAACCCATCAATGGATGATAACTAGGGGTACCCCCATTTCAGGAAACCTCCATAGGCTTCAAACATGCTCAATGGATCTCCAGGGGTACAAACCTCGCCTGTCAGTCATTGGTCCATGTGGCGATATCCATGGAGACGGTCGGTCCATCCCTCAGCAAGGCCACCAAGCGTCCCACGTTGCCTCGAAACGGAAATCGCAACGACTGCTTTGACTTCACTGAAGCACTGAAGTGGTTATCTACATAAATCATAAGATTATGATATATATATATATATTCTATTATATATATATATATAATAATACATATAATTATATATATATATATGTATATTCTATTATATATATATATATAATAATACATATATAATTATACATATATATGTATATATCATCACTAATTATCTCAAAAAAAAAACCTAAGGGAAAGGATGGGAAACCGCAGTGCCACTTGATGACGTCATGGGGATATGTTATGGGGGCCCCTCTCATGGCCACCAAAGGATCCATGAAGCGTTGCCTTTGAGACCCCCAAAAAATGGTGATAAGCATTGGGAGCCGTGACACAACTGGAGATATAGATGGTGGTTGATGAATTGGAAGAAACTCAATTTATCTTATACAGTAACTTCTACATCATTATCCCAAAAAAGATTCAAATATATTGATGAAATGATATGAAATGGACATTCGTCTTATGATTGTTCTTGGTTAGAAATTCCATCTCCAACCACATTTGGGCTGGTTTGCATAACAATTTCATGTCCTGTACGTTCCTGTACCATTGTGGACAAGAACGGGTTTACTGGATTGCCGCCCGGCCTTACACCATCCAACGAGTGATAGGACATCGCTAGTGAAGGGATGCGTCATCAGGTGTTGAATGGAACCACTGAAGCCTGGATGCCAATCAGGTCTACCGTTCCCATCCCATTTCTCGAGTTTTTTCAAGGCACCAACATGTATCAGTTGATATTTGTGGTTCAACACCATGTATATACCATGTATATACCATATTTATATACCATTTATATACCCAACACTGGCCATTTCCGTGCAGCTAAGATACTGCTGAAGGTGCACACGCAAAGCGTGGCCTGTGGAGGACACTCTGTGGTCAAAGATGGACTAAAATCCTTGGATGAACAGTAAAAATACATGACAAAACCACCAACCAAATATGGATATAGTATGACTTAACAACTATATATATATATATATACATAGTTTATATAATTAGATAATTATACATCACTTCAACTAGAACCGCTCATTTTCCCAACAGAACAAAGAACACCACCGTGATGTTCCGTTGTATCCCTCACCCGTAAAAAAACATCCACCATGTTGGACCACCAGACGTGCCGTGGGGCCTTCCGCAGCACTTCCACATCGGCCAAGAACTCGTGGGTCATTGCCACACGTTGCTTGGCTGACAAGGCGTTGTAGTCTGCCTGGAGCGGACTTCGAGGACGGTTCTGGGGGACTTGGAGCGATGGCTGCTGAAAAAACCAAGGGCCATGTAATTCTCGAGAATATCTGAAATGAATATTATATAATATGATATTATTGCGATATGAATGGGATATATGACATTATATAACCAACGAATATGATGAAAAATCATATATCTAATCCCATCATATCCCATCCAATATTAAACACAGCCGATGTCTGGTCCCAAAATACGTGTATATTCCCTACCAAACCATGGTTTCACCAGGGTGTGCAGTATTAGGGGAATGGGAACATTCCATCTTGATATCATTGTTATTCGGAAAAAAAAAGCATCAAAATGTGTTAGGAATATGACATGGCTAGATAGTATAAACTTAATTATTATAAACTATGATGTACCTAGAGAATCCGATACTAAGCTTACTAAACCCATTTCTTATAGGTTTTCACGTTTAGCAGGACTTGTACTGTCAGCTGTCCCAGGAAAACAATCGAATGACTTCAGAAATCTGAGGACCAGCGAAGTTCAAACCATCTGAATACACTCTGAAAATCCAACCATCTCTGGAACTTGACTTTCAAAAACCTCTTCTTTAAATGCATGCCCAAAATCCATTCAAATCCAAGGTGGAAACCAGTCCAGTTCCCCGTTGGCACCTGCCAATGGCCATTCCTCAGGTTCTCGGGAACATCTTGACGCTTTCGCCAGCGCACCTGCATCCCAAGGGTGACATCGTTTCATGGATATGGTGGTTCCTAAGCCATGGTGGTACCTCAAGTCATGGATTTCAATACCCATGGTCGAAAAATTGGGATGATGGGGGGGACCCCATGACTTAGGAAACTCTTCATGGTGGCTCAAAGCTTCCTAACACTATCTCCATTGCTATGGTTATCCCTCTACCCTTACATCCCATTCTATCCCTTCAGATTCATTGATATGGCCCAATTAAAAGGTTGGACCATGTCAAACCCCAATTCTACACCCATCTTGAACTCCCAAACCGGTTGGATTTACATAAAATGATTCGAATCACCCTCTGGTAAACTAACATATCTATGGAATATTGCCAATGTTCTGTTGTCCATTTACTATCTTAGATGGTGATTTTCCACTTTTCCCAGTGCCACGGATCCAAAAAAGATCGGTAGATCATGTCTCACTGGGCCATCCATACCAAACTTTAAGAATTTACCAGAGAGGAACCATATTTTCTATAATCTGGAAATATGGGAATATCTTATTTAAGTATCGTCTATATTCTATATTGTCGGTTTTTTTGTTTGTGTTACCGTGTTACCGTGTATTATCTATATGTTACTCTCCTATATCTAGATTATCAGAAACATATCCCCATAATTCACCCATGATACCACCATGTTGGTGAAATCCCAATTGTTTGATGCTGAAAAAAAACATAAAAATAGCACTATCTATCCGGAACAATCGAACAATCTCCCCATAATACCACCATTCTGCCACCATGTTTCGTGTTTTACTGTAATATGTTTTAATCACCATACTTTGATGTATATATCTCACCAAAAATCCCATCAAATCCCATTAAATCACCAATAAATCCCACTAAATCACCATCAAATCCCATTAAGTCACCATGAAATTCCCCTAAATTTCACCTAAAGTTCCCAATAAAACTCCCACTAGACATCACCAAATCATCTGATGGATCACCAATAAAATCGCTGACTTCATCCCGGGGTCCTCCGCTCGGCGCCCCACGGCATTGCCCAACTCCTCCGCCGCCGAGCGATCATCGCTGCCTGCCAGGAAAAGTGGGGTTCTGAGCAGGTCGTGAAGAAAGCCTAGATCACTTAGATACTGAAATGGTTGACACATAGTTGGAAAATGTTGGAAACTTCTGGAATTCTGTGGAATTCGGAAACCATCCATTTCTGGTTCTTTCAAAATTCCAAGTCAACCAGGTACAAATGAAAACGATCCGTTGATATTGGAAAATAGCTGTCCGAGAATATCCAAATTGGAATCAACAATCTTACCAATGTGGATATCACCTTGCCAATTCAATGGAAGAGAATGGGAATGGGATATCACCATATATCACGAGCATGGGAGTGGGCATGGGTGGACTAAGGTGAGAAATCCATGCACAGAGTTCATCGAAAACCCCGAAGCTTGAGGTAAGCATCGAGCATCGACTTGTTCCGACAAAATAAAAACGGTATCCGTTTTTTTTCGCAATGAAGACTGGTTTGAACAAATCCTCTGTAAAGATCTGTGATAGTTATGATAGTTCAAAATTGTCAAAAATTGCTATATCCAATAGTTCTGATAGAGGATTTTTTCTATATATAGATTCTATAGATCACAAATCCTCTAATGTTGTGATAGTAGAAAATGTGCTATCCATTTCTCCCAAATTCCTCACCCTGCCAGGCCCAATGGCCCAGCTAGCCAAGCTGCATGCGATGATGACCGTGGGCCCTCCAGGACTGACGTGTTTCAACGCTTCTTGAGCAAAGTCTCGTCCTGTTGGCGATTAGACCCAGATCTGGCTTCAAAAATCTGGCGATTTTTTGGGAACTATATATATATAATAGTTGGGGGAACTATATATATATATATACCTGATTTGGGGGAACTATACATTCAAACTATATACCTGATTTGGGGGAACTATATATATATATACCTGATGATATTTTGCTGTTTTCAAAGAAAATAGACCTCAAACAAAAATAAGTTTGTTTTTGGGGGAGGGCGCTTCATATTGTCTAAAACACATATTTCTAAACAGAGGCGTTACCAGAGTGAGGTAAGCAGCAACCCAGGCGAACAACACAATCTGTCTTAATTCGTTTGTAGATTCTGAGGCAGTTTTTTGGGAGGATGATGTTTGTTGGCGACATCATCGTTTGTTTAGATTACCCTCCGGTAAACTAACATAACTATGGAAAATTGTCCATTTATAGTGGATTTACCCATTGAAAATGGTGATTTTCCATAGTTATGTTAGTTTACCAGAGGGTATTGAATCCCATGTGTGGTGATGTATGCCAACACATCTTATGTTTGGTGGCTGCTACCCTCAGGCAATCAATCCTGTCAATGGAACATCCTCCTTTGATGAAATTCTTTGAATCGTCCATGACATTGCATGGATATAATGTAATAATATATATATATGTGTGTTTGTTGGCAGATCAAGCCAGGGCCTATACAATATACCAATGAATGCCATCAACCAATGGTTCAACAAATATCCTATTTATATATAATATATAACCTATATATATAATGTAATATATATAATATAATAAAATATAATATAATATAATATAATATAAACTATATATATATAGTATATATATACTATATTATATCATGTCATATTATATTAAATTATATTATGTCATATTATGTCATATTATATTATATTATGTCATATCATATTATATTATATTATATCATATTATATCATATCATATTATATTATATTATATCGTATTATATTATATTATATCATATTATATTATATCATATCATATTATATTATGTTATATTATATGATATTATATTATATCATATTATATTATATTATATTATTTGATATTATAATATATTATATCATATTATATTATATTATATCATATTATTTTATATTATATCATATCATATTATATTATATCATATTATATTATATTATATTATGTCATATCATATTATATTATATTATATTATATTATGTCATATTATGTCATATTATATTATATTATGTCATATTATGTCATATTATATTATATTATGTCATATCATATTATATTATATTATATCATATTATATTATATCATATTATATTATATCATATTATATTATATCATATTTTATTATATTATATTATATTATATCATATTATATTATATTATATCATATTATATTATATTATATCATATTATATCATATCATATTGTATTATATTATATCATATTATATTATATCATAGTATATTATATTATATCAAATCATATTATGTTATATTATATTATATTATATCATATTATATTATATTATATCATATTATATCATATTATATCATATTATATTATATTATATCATATTATATTATATTATATCATATTATATTATATCATATTATATCATATTATTTTATATTATATCATATCATATTATATCATATTATATCATATTATATTATATTATATCATATTATATTATATCATATTATATTATATTATATTATATTATTATATCAAATTATATTATATTATATCATATTATATTATATTATATCATATTATATTATATTATATTATATCATATTATTTTATATTATATCATATCATATTATATTATATCATATTATATTATATTATATTATATCATATTATATTATTTGATATTATAATATATTATATCATATTATATTATATTATATCATATTATTTTATATTATATCATATCATATTATATTATATCATATTATATTATATTATATTATGTCATATCATATTATATTATATTATATTATATTATGTCATATTATGTCATATTATATTATATTATATTATGTCATATTATGTCATATTATATTATATTATGTCATATCATATTATATTATATTATATCATATTATATTATATCATATTATATTATATCATATTATATTATATCATATTTTATTATATTATATTATATTATATCATATTATATTATATTATATCATATTATATTATATTATATTATTATATCAAATTATATTATATTATATCATATTATTTGATATTATATTATATTATATCATATTATATTATATTATATTATATTATATTATATTATATTATATTATATATATCGTATACATTCTACAGAACAATTCCCACATGTCATTACCTCGCCTGTCATCTCGACGCTCTCCTGACGCAAGGGATCGGCTGGTCATGAGTCGATGCTTTTTAAGGTACATCTTAGTAGCTAAGGAACTATTTTCATCGGCTATTTATGGGTGTTAGACTATTTATGGTATTTATGAAGTAATAATGGGGACCCAACTGAAGATTATGGGTATTTATGGGTATTTCTGTTAGTATTTGACTTAGACTATTTAACGATCTGTTTTCAGATGTGAAATTTGAAACAATTTTGAGCCATTCTCAGAGTAGTCTACTGCAGAAGATGTGAATTGTTGAGGTAGCCTCCTGAGTCGGAAACTCAGATGCACCATCATTTTTCGTGTCAACTGTGTTTTACCCATGTTTTACCCATGTTTTACCACATTTACTCAGCCGTTGGTAACCATTCCCCCTGCATCCAACATTCCCGGATTTTTCTGCTCATCCGGTGCACCTTGCGGTTGCCTGCGACCTTGTCGCCGCGGCGAATCTGCACCGCAATGTACTTCTCAGGCAGATTCAGTTCTTCATTCAGCCTGGAGATCCATGGGATCCATGGGATCCATGGAGACCGGGAAGAACTTTTGCTGCGATTTGAAGCCAAATTTGGATCCTGATATTTCATCCACAAACATCACATCTAGACAAGGTCACCAGGTAATTATATACATGTAATTACCAAATCTCATGAAATACCAGTATCTAATGATGTAACCAACACAAAGTCGTGTCAACAAAAACAACCCAAGGAGGGTTGGCTTTCATGGGAAGTACGTTGAAACACGTTGAAACCACCCAGCGCCCAGCTTGACCTGCCCTGTGCACCTTGGAAGTAGATGATTAATCCAAGTGTGTTAGGGATTTGTATGTATATGTATATATATATATATTGTATTATATTGTAATTGTATAGAATTAATATATATATATATTATAGTGAAAACAATGGAAGAATGATAAGTTTCATACAGTTTCATATGTTTACCCATGTTTATTGGGCCAAGTCAGGATCAAGGTCCCCATCCCTGCGGCCTGTCGATCCGTTTCTGTGTCTCATTGGTATAGCGCCAGATTCGTCGCATATACTTTGACCTTCCAACGACGCTCGGCGGCCAAGTTGATGGCTGCGCACCAGTCACAGTTCGGCCAGTTCGGATTGGTTGGGAATCAACAGCACTAGGGTTTGGATAAAGAGTGGTTCATGATGTTTGATGTGAACATTAGTCATCAACATTAATGTTATTACATTCATCAATTCGTGGCGATGTTCAATCAAATGTTCTTCGTGAATAGGGGATGAGATTAAGAAGTATTCAGATTCATCGCCCTGCAAAATCCTTCCACACTTTACCCATGATCTGTGGAAGCCACATCTCTGGATCATATTTCATGATTTTCACAGTTGTTCAGGCGCTTTCAAACATGATACACACCCAATTCCCACAATGACCAAACGTGATGAAATCAATGAAATGCCAGTGTTTTCCAAGCCTGACCCATTCAGAACTGTTGTATCCTTGGCCACCAACGAAAGTGGGAACCCTGACCCCCACCATCTCCGGGTGAACTTTTAACCGCAGCCAGTGGCTACACCGAGGGACTTCCGAGCAAAGGACACGTTGCTGGCGTGCTTGCACACGGCAAACCAGCCTGGATCCAGGTCGATACATTGCGTTCTTTTGTTTGAATCCTCCATCAGTAGTGTCAAATGGATTGGTTTAGGGGAAAATTTACAGGAAAGCCCCATATTTCATGGGAAAATCGATGGTTTCCGGTTTCGATTTTCCCTTAAACCAATCCATTGATAGCGGGATTAATCACAATGAATATGTTATTTAAAATAAAATATGTACACATATGAGGTCGCTATAACTTACCCAAAGCCATAACAAATCCGTCCCATGGTATTCTCTCCTGAAATGCGGTATGTATACCCAAGAGATGCCATTTGCAAATGGTCAAGGATTGGAATTGGGGGGTGTCAATCATTGGCAAACCCATTTTACGGTAGGTGCCCCAAGAGTAACATGGTTTACACATGCTTACAGCTGAAAAGTCCAGATCATCTGTATTCCCATACCTTAGGTCCCCTGGATATCCCATTGATTTGCTAAACTGCTAAACCAATGGATGCCCTGGTATTAGGCCCGGTATCCAGTGGCGTGCCATCATCTGTTGCATTCGAATTGCCATAGATTTGGGATAATGTGGGTATCCCCCAGTTGTGTCTAGCCCAAATGACATATGCTTATAGTAAGATACCCTTTTCAATCTAATATAATTATGATATTCCTAACAGATCCTGGTGGTTTCCCATTATCTTCTATTGTCGCTACTGGTAAATCCCTCCTTAATTTAATGGTTTGTAATATATGTCCAAATCCAAGAGTACATGTATATATATATACATGTGTTTGAGACTGTTTAAGTCTCCATGTGTAGCATGACTATTCCCAAATCTGTAGATGTGGCAAAGTCCCAATATTTAAATGTGCGTTGCTAGCCTAAACAATCCCAGAGATAAGGAAACACATATATATATATATATATAGGAAAAAAAACTATATAACCTATATATATATATATCCCTGATTTTGCTGTCCTTATTGGTTTTTGATGTCTGGCTGAATTATACATAAATTTAACCGCCTGAATTCACAGTTATCCTTGGCCATGCCAAATCCCACTAGAGGATTCCCAAGACATATCAAACATGGCCCTGGATTTTGTGTGAAAATGGTGCACTTCCAAATCCACTGGCTTATTTGAAATGTTTCATTAAAATCTTAGGTCATTTCAGGAAAAAAACGCAATTTTTCCTATCCAATTTTCGGTGATCATGTTTCCTATTGAAATACTGTATTAGGTAATGAATCATGATATAAAACACCATTTTCAGACACACAAAAAATATCCTATTGTTGGTTCCAATCCCCTAAATTTGAAACATCCATGTGGCATATCCCAATTCTATCCCTATTTGATTTGTTAAACACCATATCTCACGACCTCTCATGTTCGTTGTTTATTTATCATATTGCGGGTTATATTCCGGTATATTCCATAGACAACCCAATGTTTGATACTTAAACCCAATGTTTGATACTTAAGTTCCAATGTTTGATACTTAAACCCCATTTTTTTGACACTTAAACCCCAATGTTTGATACTTATAAACTTTTAAACCTCAATGTTTGCTAGTTAAACATAGTGTTTTTTACATAGTTAAGTCATAGTTAAACATAGTTAAACCATAGTTAAACCAACTGTTTCATGATCCTTACAATCCACCCCACCTTAAAAAGGCCACCCGGGCACCGCACCTGGGGTCGCCACGCGCCGGTCCCGACGCACTTCGCAGGGCCGGCAGAGTTGCTTGGGGCAACGGCGTAGGATCAAAGGTTCAGCCTACGCGGCCGGGGGATGGGAATGGGGATATACCCTCTGGTAATTTAACAGTTTGCTATTGAAAATTGCCATTTATAGTGGATTTACCAATGAAAAATGGTGATGTTCCATAGTTATGTTAGTTTACCAGAGGGTACAGGATATACATCCTAATGTTTAACATAAAATATACAGTATATAAAGTTAACTTACAACATATACCAACAGATAAAATGTTTGAACAATAGGATGTTGGCGATTTTATATATGTTTTTTCATAAGATGTTGTTAAACATAACTGGTTGGTTGACCTACCCCTCTGAAAAATATGAAAGTCAAATGGGATGATTGTTCCCAATACATGAAAAAATAAAATTCATGTTCCAAACCACCAACCAAATAAATGTTAAATAATGTTAAATATATCCATGTGGTTACTTGGAGGATCATCCCACGAATCGTCACTGGCTAACCCTGGGGAAACTAAGCCCATTTACCAACCACGAAATCTAAGTGGGATGATCCTCCAAGTAGCCAGCAAAAAAAAGGGAATTCATTGGGATCTACTCGGATTTATTGGGATGCATATGATTGTTCTACTTGTATGGGGCTGTAAATGGGGATGAGTTCCCAACTAAATCACCGGAAAATTCATGGTGGATCTTTGGTTCGGTTTTCTTGAGGAGATACTATATCCCAAAGATTCCCAAAGTGTTTGATATTCATCCCTTCCCTCTAATATTAGAAACCACCCAGAAACCATGACATCATGGTTGAGTACTGGGAAATACTGGGACTTCTTCGCACCCCATCGCGGGATCACCGGCGGGAGTCCCCGTGGAACCCGCCTGGAGGTAGGTGTGCAAACGTCCAGAGTTCCACACCTCAGTGAGATATGGAAGCGCCTACCATCCATAAGGTCATGGGGGATCCTACCATGGATGGTTTACAATGGATTCGGAATTCGGGGGTATCCCTATGCGACTGGAAACCTCCATATCAATACCTGTAGGATTGGAATCACCTGATTCTGCCATCTGACATATGCCGTTGGTTTGTGAGGATTCATATGGATTTTTTAATGGGACTTCATGGTGATGTTTCATAGGAGTCAGTGGTGATTTTTCATGGTGCTGAAGGTATTGATATGGTGATTTGATGGGGATATACTCTCCGGTTTCATCAAACGAGGCTGGCGGGGAAATCCCCGAACTGTTCCAGGCTGGGAGGTTTCTCTAGCGAAAATCATCGAAGTAGACGGCTCATATTTTCCAAGCAAATCGAAACATGCCCATACCCGCTATATCCATATATGGTTAATAATTGTTAATAGTGGTTAATAATGGTTAATAGTGGTTAATAATGGTTAATAGTGGTTAATAATGGTTAATAGTGGTTAATAATGGTTAATAGTAAGTGGTTAATAATGGTTAATAGTAAGTGGTTAATAATGGTTAATAGTGGTTAATAATGGTTAATAGTGGTTAATAATGGTTAATAGTGGTTAATAATGGTTAATAGTGGTTAATAATGGTTAATAGTGGTTAATAATGGTTAATAGTGGTTAATAATGGTTAATAGTGGTTAATAATGGTTTATAGTGATTAATAATGGTTAATAGTGGTTAATAATGGCTAATAGTGGTTAATAATGGTTAATAATGGTTAATAATGGTTAATAGTGGTTAATGATGGTTAATAGTGGTTAATAATGGTCCATTTTTTACTGTATTGGTTTGTCTGAAAAACATGGTATCCCCCCATGGAAAAATGGGTTAAAACCGAAAAAAAAAAACACATCATGAAATGATGGCAATTTGCGTGTGTGCATCCCCCTATTTTCAGACAAACCCATATCCTAATTATCCTAATTAAATCGCCCTTAAATCACCATTCCATCACCATTCTTGACCATTTTTGTCCAGTCACGGTTGGTAGGGGGGTCTGTAAAGCTGATCGATGGGATTTTCAAATCTCAATGATCTCAATATCTGAGAATGTATTTTGAAACTCAAAATATTTGAAACTTATCTGAAAATATGTCAGATGCTTCCTACTGTACACGTGACTGTATGCTGTTCCCACCCGACTTGTCCCAACCTCGTCTTCCACCACACACGCAATTCCATGTTCCTGGCATCGCTTCCAGAGAATGTGTTTTAGTGGAATCTACGTTCCAACTGGCATAACAAAAGCATGTCAAGATGTATCTAATAATATATGTATATGTATTTATACATTTAAAAATACAATATAATATATAATACAGTGTAGTTATGTGTACATATATACACATATATAGAGAGGGAGTACATGAGTGTATACGTAATATATAGCTTGTGTATGCATACGTATATATATATATACATATATATATGTATGTATGTGTATTAAATATATATATATATTATTATTATTATTATTAATATATAATTATATTATATATATGTATATGTATATACTTTCCGTATGCGTATAGATGTGTATTTTATGTGGTGTTCCTTTTTTCTTCCACACATGTGACACAGCCAAAGTCTTCAAGATGATGTGTTTTGTTTGCAGCACGCATCGATAAAAGAAAATACCCTCTGGTAATTTAACATAGCTATAGAAAATCACCATTTTCAATGGGAAAATCCACTATAAATGGTCATTTTCAATAGCTATGTTAGTTTACCAGAGGGTAAACAACCAATTCAACACCAACCCAGTCTTCACGATTGCCATTTTGGGGTGTACCCAGTGCTCTCTCCAACCGGTTCAATAAAATTAAATCTGTACTCCCCCGGTGTCCCAAACCAGTTTTCATCATTTTATGTTATGATGTGTTCCAAATGTATGTTAACTTTATCAACAATTAAATGTCACTTAAACTCCCGAAAAAAAAACATTTATCATCATCTTCCGATAACGTATGCTGGTCCGGTCCCTTGAAAATCCACTGGTGAATGGATCTACTGGTGCGTTAAACACGTAGGGTTGCTGGATGGGTTGGAATGTGGGTTGCTGGGATGACATGAAACGAATGTGATGACATGGATCATTCCCGAAAATTCCCTGCGTAATCTACGCACTTTAGTAAGATTATTTTCTGCTTCTGAAAAAAGAATCCAACTGTTCATGGTGGCTGGTTGTCTTACAATCTTCCACGAGGTCCATCTCTGATATCTCAAACTAATACCCTCTGGTTATGTCAAAATAGCTATTGAAAATGGCCATAGAAATAGTGGATTTTCCCATGAAAAATGGTGATTTTCAATAGCTATGTTAAATTACCAGAGGGTATCCCATATTTTTTATTACCGAGACTCATGTTAGATTCCCATCACATCCAATCTTGAATCCCCACATTTGTTGGTTATTCATGGGCATCGAAGCCACGTATTTTCACCATGGAACATTAATATACTCCAACTGTTGATGAAACACTTGGTGAAATAAACCAGCAATGAAATCCCGATGAATAACATTCATATTCCAGTTCTTGACCAAATGGTACAGCTCCATATTTCACAACATGTTTGATGGTCAAACCACCATGTTTGCTGCCTAAACCATCTCGCCTAGATGGTGATTTTCCGCTAAATGACCAGTACCAGAGGGTACAATTATTCCATTACATCCCATTAAATCCCGTTAATTAAATCCCATTAGTATGGTACCCTGCTAAATCTTAACATAGCTGGGATGTTTATCCCCAAAAAATTGGTGATACCCTGCAGTAAACTAACAGTTCGCTATGGAAGGTCACAAGTTTTACAGCTAATTCATTTACAGAAACTAAATGGCCACAATGGCCATTAGTTTGAAATGATTTCCATATCTATCATCTGACATCATCTGACTAACCTGCAATTTTCCATAAACTATATTTTCATAACCATATGATACATATGTATAATATTGTTTCCATAGCTATATCTATAAAACTAGTGAATTCAATCATTGTCAACCAATGTTAACCATCAATCGCCATTAAATTCCCTGATAAATTACCATTAATTACCATGAATAACCATTATATACAATATATACATTCAATTATCAACCAATATTCACCATTGTCAACCATATGAACCATTAATCACCATGAAATTCATAAATACACATGTTGATAATGGTTAATGATGACTAACAGTTGATAATGATTAATGGTGATTAAAATTCCCTAATAAAGCACCATTAATCACCATCCATCGCATCGACATCGACATCGAAAAGTTGGCTCCTCACATGCGATGGCCGCCGAGACCAAGTTATTCACTTCCGAGCCGAAGCCGCGGTCCTAACGCAGCGGCGAAGGGACAACTGAACGGGGGACTTGTTACGATAACTTCATAGGTTGAGGTTGAGGAAACCATGGCCTTAATGGTGATTAATAGGAATTTCATCAGAATTGAATGGTGATGAGTGCTTCGCCATAACAATTAAAGTTAAATCTCGACAAACCATGATTTTACTGCAAAATATGATGAAATGTAGGTGTCTCCTGCAGATTTTGCCTGGCCCCATCCAATAAAGGATTCAAAAAGCATTAATCGCTCATTAATCATCATTGTAGTTCAATCTTAATCAAAAATAGTAACATCGAAAGGTTATAATTTATAATATACTATAATAATTGTGACTGAAAACAAACATCGGTAGCTATTCAAACATATTCTAACGATGTCTATATATATACATACATATAAATACTTGTATATATTGCCAGTGGATGAATAGAGTCGCTCTTAATATGTTACTATCACTAATCACTATTGACGATGAACAGTTTCATCCAATAATTTTCTAAACAGCCTGCTAAAGGTTTTTAAAGGCTGACAAAGGTGATACTATAGTCATATAACATGATATAGGTATAAGAGATATGTATATATTATGTATTTGTAGATGCTGCTCTAAAAGCTACGCAACTATGCATGTCATGGAATATCAACCCAGAATGATCCACTGCTTGATGGGCAAGAGCCATCCATCAAATGGGAGTGAACAGAGTGGCTGTTTGTGGATTCATCAATAAGAAGTGCAATATATAAATATATGTACACATCATATCTAGAAGAAGCCATGCCAAGGGAAGCGGTGTTCACAGTTCACAAGGAAGTGATATGCAAAGAATCTATGATGTACTTGACCATATATGCTTTGGTGAGTATCGAGTTGCACCATCATCATCATCATCATCATCATCATCATCATCATCATCTTCACCCAGTTGTAAGGATGAAAACCCTGAACATCTTGAAAAAAAGGGAAGCAAAAGCACCCGAGGACATATGTAATCTATGTGAGACAAAAAATTAAGGGCATCTATGAACATCTACAATCTAACGGGATCATGTCTCACGTTCTAAGGATCAAAATACCTGAATTGATTCATTTCGTCAATTAGAACAGTAACCAGAACTTCTTCAATTGGAATATGGACACAATATGAACTTCAGACATGGCGTCTGAAAATGGAGATACTGCAACAGGATGAACTGCACCATGGAATTCGCCAGATCCTCTGTCTGGGGATGGATAAAAATTAAGCAACAAGTGGCACACCATGTGGAGGAATTGCATCATGAAGATCCTGAAAAATCCCAGTTTCCTTAAATGGTGTGTTGCCAGAGTTTTGACCATTTTTGACCACAGAATATTATACTAATATAATTGGTACACATGATACATGATACATGACTTACAGAATGTCAAGAATATTCTAGCATTAATACCCACAGTTATACATTAATATACTTAAATGATCATTAATTAATGCTAGACATGGAGATTTCACCAATCTCATATTGTCTCAAACTTATCGATGCTAAGTTAACACCATCCCCAAAAGAACATCAAAAAAGACAAAAAAAAACCCATTGCTAGGCTTATAGATATCCATCCTGTATTGGGAATCCGTATATATCATGGCTATATCATAGTATATATCATGGGTATACGGTATACGGTATATCATAGTTACTTATTGGAACATATCCCAATAAATCACCATCTTTGCTAGTGACGTCACCATTTCTGGGTTGAAGAAGCGCATCTTTTATTTACCGCCTGAAAAAAAAAAAAAACATGCTCCGCCACCGCTGCACCACTGCCGTCCTCGATCCAAAAATGCACACAGCTGAAAGCGCTGAAGTCCACGTCCGCAGCCTCTCTCCGGCGAACCATCCATTGATCCATGGAAAAAATGGGAAACAAAATCGATCAAGGGAAACTCTCAACGGAAAATCATCCGTACACTGAACAATGACTGAAAAAAATTGGATGTTCCATGCTGCTCCATACCTCAAGTTTTCCGGAAAATGACATGGAATGATGACGAACGACAAGAATAATTCATTAAGTTAAGTATATAAATGTCGAAAAAATTGGTAACGTTCACATTTCCAAAGCGTATTTGGCCAAGAAATTGAGGGAAACCCTGCCAGCCCGCCACATTTGTCCAAGCTGACAATCCGCCACTGGAAAATAATGGTCCGTCCCATGATTGCCAAAGGGTGTTGCAAATCCAAGACAATGGCTACCCTCTGGTAAATTAACAGTTGGACCCTGAAAATGACCAATTTATAGTGGAAACTAGTCTTCCAACCCCTATCTGCCAGGGTCTATGTTAATATACCAGAGGGTAATACACGTTACGGATGAACAATGGTTGATAATGCTGATTAATGGTGATTACTGAAATTTCATGAAACTTCCCTCTGGTAATTTCAAATAGCTATGGAAGCCATGACCTATTTAGACTGATGATTTACTGTACCTACTAAAAATGATGACTTTCCATAGCTATGTTAAAGTACCAGATGGTGACATAATCCATCAAAGGGGTAGTTCCAGTCACAGGACATGTCATGCCATCTGTGAATAACAGTCTTGCGGTTTCCGCATCATCACCATTGTTGCCGTCATGCAGCTTCATTTTGCAAAAGCTTTGTTATGTGTATGTATATAATATATATGTAATATACATTATATATATATATATGGATCTCTATATAGATTACATTCTATGTATATATATATATACGTGGATCTGTATATAGATGTAATGATGTATGTAAAGCAAGACGGTCAAATCTCTATTGGCGGCCGTGTTTTCGGGATGAACCGGGTGAACCAGCGACCCGTGAGGCCTCAAACCCCAATAAAAACAGAAGCGGAACCAAGATTTCCTATATCAACATGGCTAACCAGTGATTGTGTCACACCTATTCAAATGCTTGGAGACCAGTGATCATATGATATCACTATGTATCACTATGTATCACTATATCATTTCCATTCATTTCCTATATCAACCAGTGATAATCAAAATCAAGGAACAATCAGAAGGGCCTCCACACGCTTCCCCACCTTCTCCCGCAACATGGCCTGTCGGGAATGGGGAAGATCATGTCATGTGGAAACATAAAAAATGACATCATGTACATATGATAATATATGACTTTAATATACTTTAATTATATCTGATATAACCGTATAAAATAGTATAAACATACATAATTGAATAAGACTTGAATAAGAATACGCAACAACAACAACAACAACAGCAGCAGCAACAACAATAACAACAACCACAACAACCTCCACAACCACAAGCACAACAACCACAACGACCACCACCGCCACCGCAACAACCACAACCACAACAACCACCACAACCACAACAGCAACAACAACCACAACAACCACCACAACCACAACAACCACCACAACAACAACAACAACCACAACAACCACAACAACCACCACAACGACAACAGCAACAACAACCACAACGACCACAACAACCACCACAACAACAACAAAGACAACAACCACAACAACCACAACAAAGACAACAAAGACAACAACCACAACAACCACAACAACCACAACAACCACAACAACTACAACAAAGACAACAACCACAACAACTACAACAAAGACAACAACCACAACAACAACAGCAGCAACAACATGATGGTATATATTTATATTATATGATAATGCAACGATTAAAATACGATGATAGTATAACTATAGCCGTAACTATAGTACACTTCAATTTATACGACACTGATGATAATGATGATATAAACACATCATAAAATAATGTTGATGTACTGATACAAGAGTATTGATAATAGACATAACAATACTGTAAGAAGAATAATACTAATACTAATATGATAAAGAAAGTGAAATATGTGCTTTCAGATCATATAATTCATATACCATATATATATATATACATATTATATGATAGTTGTATACATCTGGCCCAGAATCGGGCTGAATCACGGCCTCAGGGATGACGTGATGACGGTTCAGATCTCTTTCAGGTGCGAAGGGACATTTATCCCAGATAAATACGAAGTAAAATTGACGTCAAATGTCACAAATGTCCAAACACCTAGAGTAAAAAAAAATACCTGCAACTCGCAGAAAGATAGAACAGAAGATTCGGAGACTAAAATAGTAATAGAATTCACCTTGTCTGCATGATTTAAGGGGTTGCTATAATATCATCTTAACATATTTTAACATATCTTAACATATCTTAACCCCCAGTGGCCCGCCCCCAAGGAGTTTCCGAACGCCAGCCCTGGACATTCCAGCGCTCGCGCACCTTGTGAAGCATGAAGCGTTGGTCCTGGAGGAGATCCATCTTACTCTGTTTGGTTCAACCCATGGGTTTTTCTGGGATAATCATCCACTAATCATACCATCTGGTTGGTGGTTGACCTACCATTGTGGTTAATATTAATGGTTATTATATGGTTAATGATGGTTAATAATCATAACTGGTTGATGGTTGACCTACAAACCCCTCCGAAAAATGATGGAGTTCATCAGTTGGGATGATTTTCCATTCCCAACTGTTTCTGGAAAAATAAAACATGTTCCAAACCACCAACCAGATCCAACCAGTACTAATGTGGAGGCTTCCTACAATGGGGGTACATTAAAGTGGCCTGCCAAAAGTACAGCTTCTCAGCTTCTCATTTTTTTGGGGTATGGATCAATCATGATATAGATCAGATCCCATAGAGATCTATGGATGTGCCCTTTATCGGGGCTAGGGATCGCCTGTGTCCAGGGATGTCCATGGTGAACGCGATTTCCATCGACAGCAGTGCTTTGGGAAACATCCAGTGATAAAATTGGAACCCTAATATACTGTAGATACGCAACGTAATGTAGTGCAATGTAGTGTAACGTAGTGTCATGTAACGTAATGCAATGAAATGGTTTTATCTTATATGTTTCTTATATTATTCACATATATATAGTATAGAATTGTACATATACTAGTCTCCAGTCACCATGCCATATGGAAACAGCAGATGAAACAACAATAAGAGGATCCGCAACGTTTTGCTTCTCAGGGTCTCTAGGGCTCTCGATATTCGAGGCCGCCTCCCCCAATAGCTGGATGGTTTACCCCCCATCAACGGAATAAGCGTTGACACCTCGGACAAGGTCATGCTGAAGCGTTCCAAATGTGCCTTACAGTGCAGAAGAACCAAGTGGGGACCAGAAAATCTGTCGCATGGTTCATGATTTCTCTCTATGTACTGAGCATTATAGAGAAATTTGGTGATTTTGTTCCTAGAAATAGATATACTAGGAACCATTACATTCCAATACTTCTGACACATTTAATGTTGATTGCCATTAATCACCATGTTGACCATCATAAATATCATTCTTAATCATTATTAATCATTACACCATACCATCTGGTTGGTGGTTGACCTACTCCTCCGAAAAATCATGGAGTTCGTCAGTTGGGATGATTTTGCATTCCCAACTGTTTCTGGAAAGTTATAAAATTACATGGTGCCAAACCGCCACCAACCAGCCATTCTTCAAGCATCTGATGTCTGGTGCTCCATGCCCATTCCCTATCCAAATCTCTGGTGCTCCCGGCGGTCAACTTTTCAACCTCCTGGGCCGATGATCTGAAGATATCTGAAGTCTTCCAGGTCATGGTCTCGGAAAATCACAGCAGAAAAAAAAAACCTTTGAGCCTGATACCAGTTACATATAGAGTGGTGATCTTTTGAAGAAGATCGACTGGTGAAAAATTGTCCTGGATTGTAACCATCGATGTTGAATCAAATGTTGGACGCATCAAAAGGTGGATGGCAATGCACTTTTGTATGAATGGTGGGTTTGGTACAGTACTGACGTGTGACATTTTTTCTCAGAGAAGATTTGTTCAGGATGATTTTGCTGATATGTGGTTCTATGCATCTCAAAAGCAACCTTTGACATTGTTTCTTATAGCTAACTTAGCACCACTGCCAAATAACATCAAATAACCCTTGGAATACCAAGGTTTCCGAAAGAATCAATTCCTCTGTTATCCTCAAGATAAAAACCAACACCCAAGAAATTGTTCAGTTGGGACTATCCCATGAACCACCCAAATACTGAATAGTGGGAATGTTGGATCGTCAAGTGTCAAGGACCTTCTTGGGCCGGGTCCTTTCTCAGTAAATCCGAACTGCCACAACTCCTTTACGAATGAGCTGTTGTGTCTAAATTCATTGTGAGCCCAACGGAGGAAAATGGATTCAAAGCAGATTCAACTGATTTAAAGCCCTTAATTAGATTCTTGACTTTTCCCCCAGAGCATGTCATTGGCATGAATTCTCAGTACCCTGAAATGTTGCGGTAGCGGAAGTCTACACTCACCAGCATCCAACACTACCATTGTGTTGTTGTTGTTGTTGTTGTTGTTTTTTAACGGCAATCGCAAAAGCTGAACATATATTAAAATATAAATATATGAATATATATATATATATAAATATCACAATCTTACTAAACTAATTAGAGCTAACATGCGTTGCATCTTTGGCGGTGACTACACCTCAAATTATGGCCATTGATGTCAACCCCAAATTAATAAACCTTGGCTGATTAAAATCAGGTGGTTCCCACCCCAAAAAGTGTTTTAAAATTATCCTTAAAATTGGGATACACCATGATACACCCATATTAACAAACTGTTTGAGTGCAAAATTCTGGGTTAACATGCACTGTTAATCCAATGCTAGATGCTTAGTAAAACCTGAAAAAGACCCTCAATGAGCCTGTTTATTGATATAGTCCGGCGCATTCCATTTCATTATAGCCCCATCATGCCAGCAGAAAAACACCATATTCTACCACCATTCTTGTTGCTTAAGTCACCATGGCGTTTTTCTGGCTCCCGTCCTATGTTTTTTCCCATCATCCCCACCTGGTTTCGGCTGCACATGTCCACCAAAGACCAAACCTGGCAGGGATTCCATTGGATTTCATAAGCCACGATAAAGAATGATTCGTCCCAAAAAAAAGCAGTCCAATCAACAAACAAAATGTCCATAGAACGAATCGAAACTTGGAGAAAAACCACATTTTGTACCCTCTGGTAAACTAACATAGCAATGGAAAATCACCATTTTTAATGGGAAAATCCAATATAAATGGCCATTTTCAATAGCTATTTTGACATAACCAGAGGGTAACAATCTCAAAACATGTTTTTTCACCTCTGGGCTTGATGAGTCATTAGGGACCTCCAACACTCATCCCGTCAGTACCGAAAAACCAGGCATCAAACACTGAGAACGTGATCCTTATCCACGGCATGGGGGGTTTTATAATATTTTATAGTTAGCTAATTTGGTTATGATACTTATAATAACAGTTAGTATGATACTTATAATTATATATATAGACGGGATATGATGGGATTATACACCAACCAACAGGGGGCACCATCCTGCACTGGCTAAAAAGATCGAAGTAGTTTTTTTTGTTATAAATCACGGAACTTTCAACCCTTAGGTGTTTTGTTTATTCGAAAAAAGAGGGGTCTTTAAAGTTGGACGCCGCAGAGTTCTTCGATAATTCTGATCATCCCCGGGGGTTCAAGGAACCAACCGAGGCTGAACCACCGGGTTAACCCCACGTCATCTCTGGGACACCAAGAAAATGTATGAAAATGTCACAAAAACCATGGCCAATCTCTGACGTTTACACCCTGAAAAAATACGAAAGATCTTAGCTATCAAAGTACCCCTCTGCTTGTTGAAGATTGACTCGAAACTATCAACCCCTCTGCTGAACAACAGCACCCCTTTCTTTTTCTGTCCTCGCGACACGCGAACGTCTGATCTGACTGGCCCAACGTGCTGCTGGGTCAACCAGGTTTCAACAAAGGAGGCCCAGGATATAGTTCAACATGTTATAACAGTTCCAGACATAGGCAATGATTCAATGATGTGCTTTCTGGCCAAAATACAGAGGGCAGTTTGGTATACCACCTAGCGTCCTTTACCTATTTGCTTGGGAATCATGAAAAATCCCTTCTTGCTTCCAGTGGCTTTAAGCCACTCCAAGGCCAAGACGTGGAATCCACACTTCACCATACAATATGTAGGATATGTTTTGTGTTTTTTCACCAGTATATGCATGTCAGTACTAATATAATTATAATATATATATATATATGTATATATATATATATGTATATATATATATATGTATACATATATGTATATATATATATATATATATATACGTACGTACATATGTATAAAGATACCTTTATAATGTAAATATACAAAGTTCATATAGTCATACAGTGGTGTCAACTACTCTTCACCCAAATATCACCTACAATCAGTTGAAACCTGAGGTTTTTTTCAGCGCATCACAGCGCAGGCTTGGCTGTGTAGAGGTTCACTGCACCATAGGCGAAGCCTTGGCTGGGCACGGGTGTTGTTTTCTTCTCCGGGGCTGGCCCAATAACCTCCGAAATCAGGGTGGAAAATGTCCAAGTCTGTTGGACTTGGATTATCTTACGGATTCTTTGAAATTACATTCCTGTCAGAGCTTAATGGATTGGTTGAAGGGAAAATCTACAGGAAACCATGGATTTTCCTAGGAAAATAATGAAAATATGGGGGGTTCCGGTGACTCAGGATGGATCATCGACTGCATGGCCAATCTTAAATACCGGGCCCCCAAAAAAGGCTGGGCATTGAAATTGTATTCCCCATCCTAAACTCATCCAGTTGGTTCGTTAAAGACCTGGGCAAACATGAACTTTACTTGGCGGATTGAAACAGTGGTTACCACATGTTACCATCAGCAATTCCTGTCAATTACTCATAGTCCCACCCCAAATACATGGACTTGGATGGGCAATTCCTATGAACAATTGGCTGTAAATCCTACAAATACTTGACAAAATCCGACATATGAATGTTAATCCACATCTATCAGCACATGTGGGCCCGCTTAAGTAAATTGTTGTTTATTTTATAACAAAGCCAACTGTTGGGTTGAAACAAGGAGATATATACTTGGAAACATACCAACTTACGACTGGGGTTGGGGCACTTTGTATACAGAGTATGGTTTGTGTAAACAATAAATCCGTTTGTATAACCCCCCAACTTTTCATCAACCATCATTTGCCAAGTACATCATTGCCTTTTTTTCATGGGATGGCGATTGTTGTTACCCATATATCCCCAGGAGATATCAATTATATCATCATAATCCATCAGAGTATCTCCCATAGTATAAGCTATCTCCAATTATATCCCCACAATGTCTCCCATGAGGATACTTGTTATACATCATTATACCTATTATCTACAGTGATATACTCCACCAGTTTTGTTACCCATCTCCATAGTCAATGATTATACATTATCTTATACCCATTATATAGAGTACATACCTGCATTTATAATGTCATAGATGGTTGGTAGAAACCATGCCCGAATGGTAGGTTTATGCAATTGGGTTTCCCACACTAAATTCACATTGGTAACCATTCTCACTAATCATTATCATTGACCATCATCAATCGCGTGTAACCATAAATAGTGATAATTAATCATAATTAACCATATAATTAACCATTATAATTAACCACAATTAACCATGAGTACAATGGGGTTATTTATTGACCATAATTAACCATTAATTTAACCATAAATAGTGATTGATAATGGTTCATAGACCCTAAGAGGTTGATCCAACAAATCATTATCTTTCATGGCCAACACATAGTTCAATCACTATTATAAACCATGATTGACCATAAATCACTGTAAATACCATTAAAAGCCATTATATACATATATATATGTATATATATATATATACAATTATTAAGCATAAATCACTGTAAATACCATCATAAACCATTGTTAACTATAAATCACTATTAACTATTAACCATTTTACTAATCATTACTAACCATTACTAACCATTACTAAGCATTACTAACCATTACTAACCATTACTAACCATTAAACAGCACTATTGATCATCATTAACCCCATGGTTATTAGTCATTACGTTCGGACGAGAAGCTCGTGATCGTCTCTACAGGGAGACCCGCAGCAGCCAGCTCCGCTGCGAAGTCCATCGGTTTCCTCAGTTTTTTCGCGTCGTAAAGAGCCGGGGACCCAAAGCAACCATTGGTTGGTAATATACTGTTAATATATGGTTAATATTAATGGTTATTATATGGTTAATGATGGTTAATAATCATAACTGGTTGGTGGTTGCTGCTAACCCCTCTGAAAAATGATGGAGTGAGCGTCAGTTGGGATGATAACATTCCCAACTGAATGGAAAAATACAAAATGTTCCAAAACACCATCCAGGTAAATTATAGATACTAACCTGAATTCACGATATATGGAGGTTTCCAGTCATGGGGGTACCCCTAAATCCTCCATTTATCTGGGTAAATTACAATAGTTCACTAACCTGAAAAGTTCGGCCGGAATTGAGATGATTTCCCGAATCCTGACCGTGATTCCAGTGAGGTCACAGTGAGGCAACTATAATTTACCCTGATCACTGATCAATGGATTTACCCGCTGAAAATAGGACAATGTAATATTAAATGTGTTGATATGTGTTGATCGTAAAACAAAATGTTGAATGTATGTCTTCTATTGAAATTGCTAAATGAGTGTCTAAAAATGTATCAACTTGGAAGAATAGTGGCTATAGGTCAAAAAAGGACTATGCTGCAACCAATGATGCATGCCCTATACTTGTCAAGTATTGTGGAACAAAACTCTATGATTTGCACTGTATTTGCAATTTTTTGAATCTAACATTTGTCTGTACCGGATCTCTTCTTGTTTCTTATTTTCTTGCTGTTTGTCTCCTTATTGTTGTTGGCGGTCCTGGTGACGTTGTTGTTGCTGGTGGCGGTGACCGGCATTTGTCGGAATATCTATGTTTGATCCATATGTATATATATATATATTAACCAACTTCCAATAAAGGGATGAAGAGGGATGTAACTGGCTCGAAATCCTCGAATAGAATATATAATGGGGTTCGACAATTTTAGATTTTCAACCCACTATTCAACAATTCTTCTGGTGAATTTACCAACAGCAAATGGAACAATCAATGGAAAAACCATAATCATACCGGTGTGTCTAAAAATGGGGGTATGCCCAAAGTTTGTCGCCAGTTACAAAGGACTATAATCAGAGTGAACCAAGAAAAATGGACCCCATTTAGCCAAAGATCAAAATCAGTAAGTGTGATTAGATTATCCTCAAATTTATCCCAAAAAAAATATCCCCAATTAGTATTGGTTAGATTTGGTTAGTAAAATCCATGATAATCCCCTACATTCCCCTGCAATCAATTGGGGTTGTTCCACCAATTTGGGACGGCTCCAACCCAGTGCAACCCGGGCGGCGGAAAGCGTAGGATGGAGCGTTCCTGAGTTTGCCACACTGTTCCCCAAGTCTCAGACGCCTGCGAGTTTTATTGGGGTGCCATCAAAATGGAGAAATCCTGCTAAAATTACGGGGTTGCTGTAGGTGAGCTAAGAAATATCTTCTGCATTATCCTGCATGTTTGTCTTTTTTATGTGTTTTTTCCTATGTTTTTGGAGGTTGTTATATGAGGGTGACTTCGATGTTTGCGCCAGCTAAACCTTTATGTATTGCTGATCCCTATTTATGTCCATTGATCATCATTTTCCCCATTAAACCTCTGAAGACTCACCAGAAATTGAGGCTAGAAATGCTAGGAACATCCATTTTGAGACGATCCTGAAATATCTAAACCTGTCTGGGACCTTCATCTCACACCACATGCTTGATGCTTTTGGAGTGTAAAATCACCATGCAAATCAACAAAGCGTTGCTTCATTTCAGTACCATTTTGCAATGTCAACGAAGCAGCATGGCTTCAGCAGCGCTCACCAAACCACGCAACGAGACACCAAATACTCGTACTCCTCTCCGCCAGATCCCATGGTGGCGACCCAACCAATGAAGGGAACCTCGGCTCCACGGATCGGGGGTATGAATGACCCTGAGTAAGTCCCAATTCAGTGGCTTATCTCATCTATAAATGGATTATGACTATGGTTATTTGATAACTATTAACCATTTAAAAAGATTTAAACAGTTATTTATGGTTATTTGATAACTATTAACCATTTAAAAAGTGGGAATCTTCCAAGTAAGACTTTGTAAGGAGTTCCCTTACCGTGCTACAATCCAGTGATTTATTTGGATTTCCTGATAAGGGGGCCATACAAAGTAAACATCTTGCCAACAAGCTCCCCATGTGATATTTGATGGATTAAAACATAAAAATGTGGTTTTCCGCAAATCCGGGTTTACGGAGTATTGATGGAATCCCAAACCACCAGTGCCACAAACCATGACATTTTTGCCACCCAAAAAGATAGAAAGGTACAATTCCAAGATTGTACTGATAAATTCATAATATTCATATAGATTCATAACTTTTTCATGGCCAATCTTAGATTATATATATAGATGCAAAAAAATGCTGGCTAGAATGTAATGATCCTCATTGAAAAAGGTCGACTCTCGCACTCGTCGACAAAAACTGACCCAGAAACAGGTGGTTGGAGCCACGTACTACCGTGAAACCTGTGGGAACGAAACGAATCTAGGCAAGAAAATAGTAACAAAACAAAGTACAGAACCATGAAAATCACCATGAAATCAACCATGATCAATCATTAATCGGTATTAACCATTATCATAAACCCATTTCATTCACATCCCCATGTTTCTTGGATAAAGCATAAATCCCATAAGCACCATGAAATGCCATGATATCCCTATTAGGAAAATTGGTCGGGCTGCCACTTCAGTGATGAACTTTCGGGCCAACTTAGAGAGGAAGGTGTCTCCCGTGGGCAGCGACAACTCCAAAATGCCTCGGTGGCCAGGTATTGAAAGCTATGTAAATGGGGATTTTAGCAACAACACTGGGAAAATCATGGGAATATGTCACAAATATACAGTGTATCCAGGATTTATGTAGGATACATATGATATCCGGCTGAATTACAATCATAATAACACTTGGGGACGATCAATGTGTATGGTTTGACCTTTATATATATATATATATGATACATAAACATATGTGTACACGCATATCTATATACACATATATCTATATACACACATATATCTATATATTAATTTAGATATACTTAGATATATTATATATATATGTATATATACATATATATAATATCACTTGCAAACTGGGAAGCACATCCTTTTGTTTGGACAGTGATCACCATGGGTGAAACCACCATCCATTTCTGATGAAATCCACATGAGCTGCTGGCTCCCAATTCATTGCTGGAGAAGTCCCGTTTTCTGTTGGCAAGCCAACACTTTTCTGGTTGGTGGTTTCAACCCCTCTGAAAAATATGAAAGTCAGCTGGAACAATAAAAAATGTTCCAAACCACCAACCAGCCAATGCTGTTGCTTAAGACAAACACAACTTGTGAGGGTAAAGTCCCTGTGTTTTGCCTTGTTCAACCGCGTATGCTACTCGGGAAATCAAAGCTTGCATTTGCTTAAAGCATCCCACCATGTTTGATTGGTGAAACCCCAACGTTTGTTCTGAAAAACTCGTATTTCTGTGGGTGAACCCTGCATTTTTACTGGTGAACATGGCTGAACCCTCAATCTTTAACTGCAGCCCAAGCAGCACACACGACTCTGCTCTGAGGGCCGCAGCACACGGCGCATCTCAGAGAGTGCCTGGCGTTTTAGAAAGCAACTGGAGCAGCGGAACTAAAAATATAAACGCGGTTTGATAATTTAATCGTTGACAAAATGATGATAGTAAAAAAAAATGGTATACTATATAACTATATATATATATATATGTACAATCTAGAATATAATTTGTGGGAATATTGCAAACTTCATCCATTTTATGGGCATATCATTTTTTTGGCTATGAGGCACTCAAAAATACTCCCTGTGACCAACCCCTCCTTGGAGCGATCCGGGACATTGCGAATCCCAAAGGACATACCTCAGTTACTCATCCCGAAGGGCATAGCAACTTCTCTTTTCGTAACCCAAAAAACAGATAGCGGTATCAACGTTAAACATCTGGAAATATCAAGTAAGATATGGTAAAATCTAGGGGTGTCCTGAAAAAATAAAGCTAAAATAGGGCTACCCCTAGGTATCCATGAAAATTTATAGATAGATTTTCCATGAAATTCACCATCCCAGCTGCTCGCTTGGGGTAGCCCCATTTATAGCTTGGGGTGAAGATCATCCCGTTGGTGGTTTTTCGCCCTACCATTGTGGTTAATAATAATATGGTTAATATATGGTTAATGATGGTTCATAATCTGGTTGGTGGTTTTGAGCCCTACCCCTCAGAAAATCATGGAGTGAACGTCAGTTGGGATGACATTCCATTCCCAACTGTTTCTGGAAAGTCAATCCAGATTCCATGGTCCCAGTCACCACCAACCAGCATTGATATATGGGATAAGCCACGAATCGGGGATAAACTCACACCAGAGTCACGAAGCACTCCGATTTTTGGGATGATCCTCCAAGTTTTGTTTTTTTTGCAACTACGCTATATCTACCTTAAAATACCCCAATATGACGATCGAAATCGAGACCAGCTCAGCATAGAATCCAAATCCGGGGTACCCGGGGTACCAGGTTATGCTGACCTTAGGGAGGCCATGTTATGCTGGGCAAATGTCTGCCCTGGGCAAATGTCTTTGGGTCAAGTCATTGGTAAAACCCACTCATCCAACGGGGCTCATCAAAAGGCGCTCTGAGGAAAGAAAAAAAGGATCTTAAACCATCCATGCTTGAGAAATAATATATATATATATTATAAGTTATATAAGCATGGATTGAAATTTTATTAAAATTCCAACCCATGCAGAAACTATGACTATTTGCAAACCAACTACCGCCTGTTGAGGGTGACTCTGGAAATATCGTACCCCAAAATCCATTGGTTGATCAATTCCCCATGAAACGATTTTTCTCCATTAAAAACATATAATAAACGTGGGCTAATTGTATATATAGTTAAATAATGTTACATATTATCCATTTGTAGACGAACCCCATTTATTTAAGTTAACCCTATGAATTCGTTTAAAGATCCCACTGATTTCCCCATGTTTGATGGTTAAAAAAAATGTTGATGCGTAAATTAACATTTTTAGATGGTTACCCTCCGGTAAACGTTTACAGTTTGCTATTGAAAATTGCCCATTTATAGATGGTTTACCTCTTAAAAATGGTGATGTTCTATAGCTATGTAAACGTTTACCAGAGGGTAACTCCCCAAACAACATTTTATGGTTCCAACCATCGTTTTCCGCCGTGACCCAGGCGCTGATCTTGTCCACCGACGCTTCTCGGCTACCTGACCCGTGCATATCAACGGAGTGATATTTTTTTTCTGTCTGAAAATGGGGGGTATGATATGATCTGGGTAAATTATAATAATTCACTAACCTGAATTAAGGCCCTTTCCTTTCCCTGGGAGCCCCACTCCGGCAGCTGCTGAGGTGAGGCCCGATGTCAGAGCTCAACTTCCCTGCAATTGCGGGGAGAACACTAGAAAACTACGATACGCACTCGCTTTGCAAGTGGAGATTGAAACCCCAAAGGCACCTCCTTCAACGTCGTTCTTTGGCGATTCGATTTCGATACTTGAGGCGATTTCTCCGCTCTTCCCAGCAATGATCTTCCAAAACCGAAATCCTCGGATCAAGCCAGTTGGCATCAAAAGTACCGTCATAGCAAGTCTTGTTGGCAAGTCGTTCTTTGAGATACGTTGCAATTTCTCTTTGATATTCAAACTTCCGCCGCAAAGACAACCCAGATGTACTGCTTCATACCCTGAATATAAAGAGACGGCTGAAGCCCTTTTTGACATTGCGGAAAAGCTGTAGTTGGAAGCAAAGACTGACTCTGCGCCCACATGCGCTGAAAAGTGGCAGCGACATCTTGAAGAGTTACGGAGTGGTGAACCAAGTCTTGTTCATCCTCAATCATCAATAGTCTCGTTTTGTTCTCAGAGTTATTTCGCAGAATCGGCAAGGCTTTTCTTAGAAACATGGAAAAGGACAAACCCAGCTCTAACCACGAAATTCCCATCTCTTTAGCAAAAGGACCTTGAGGTTGAGACGGCCAAACCAAAAGTTGCATCCATATGTATAACTGTTCTGCAAGCGTAGGACCCCACGCAAACCAACGAAACCAATCACGACTGTCTGGAAACACGAGCTCCTGGACTTCGGTCGGCATCCATGTTTGTATGGCTGGCAAAATGGGATCTACACTAGCTTTTGCAGGCTCTGGGACAACTTCAGACTCTTGTCTGTGACGTTGTTCATCAAGCTTGGCACGGGCAATCGCAAGGGCATTGTGTAAACCAAACACATCCGCAAGAACATCTCTTTCCATTTGTATCTGCTTATGGTGGGCAACAAGGTCATCATACCATGGCTTATCAAGGGAAGTACAGGCGGACTTGGCCGCTTCGTCAGCAGTTTCATTACCAAGCAAGTGATAAAGTTCCAGCAAGCAAGAGACCGTACGCAAGTCCTGGTGTGCTTTAATCTTACAGACCCTGCGGGGACATAGACGGATGTCTTGCAGGTCATGCAAAAGGTCAGCATTGGACTGAGCAAACAGCCGGATCGCATTGGACGCGATTTCATGTACCTTGGTGATGGCATAAGCACTATCTGAATGGATAAAACCATATGGCAGGGCAGCTGCAGTGACAATGGCGGACAATTCTGCTCTGTTTATGTTTTGTTCCCCATGAACACGGGATGCAAAAAGAGGAATCAGGGTGGACGGCATGGTTCCTGTGGCCAAAAAAACGGTTGGCCTCTTCGCACCGTTGTTCATCTGTCAAGGCTATATCAAGAATGCCAGCAAAGGCTGCAATTCTAGTTGTGGGGGAATGTGGGAATTGGCAACTACCATCAACATAAATGTGGAAAGGTGTGTTTGTTGCAAGTCGGTCTTGGGCAAAGGCGTGAAAAGATTCATGCACAACAGGCTTTGGCACTTGGAACTGTAAAAGTGTGTGGAAGTGGGTTTCAGGGTGCACGGTGACAACTGGGCAGAGTGGAAATTCCAAACCCATTTCATCCATTTTTCGAATGGCGTCTTGAAAAGGTTCTCGGTCTTCTGCAAAGGTAGGGCATTCCAAAAGGCGATGCTGGCGACTGTCTTCCATCATGCAAAAGCAACATGTTCCATCTGCATCTGGAGCCCAATGGGCTTTTTGAGTCTCGAGTTGATAAGCTCCTGCAATCTCTCGCAAGAGCTGTTTGCGCTGAGCATCTGGAAATTGCTTCAAGATGGCAACAGTATCTGTTCTGGAGATGTCTGGCAAGCTATACAAACTATTCCCCTACAACAAGACAATACGTTGAACAGATGAGAAAAAAAATGATCTTGAGTCGGATTGAGTCGTGATTGAAATTTGCAACTCGTCGACCCCACAATGCAATACGTTCAATGTATGAAGACAGTTGACATGTGGAGTCCTTTTTTGAAATTTATCCCCCCTGGACCCAACCAAGCAATATCTACATTCTGGCCCCTACAAAACACTACATTCAACATCGTTCAGCATGAACAAACCATCTCGAGCCATGTTTAACATCAAATTCATCAATGAACAAACAAACATCCTGAGGCGATGGCCAAGCAGCCCATACACAAAGCCCACCAACCAATATAATGGTTGGAGGATTGTGCCCGGCACGTCGCAGCACCGGGGCATGCTTGGATTTCACCCTTGCCGATGATTGAATAAACCAACTGTTGATGATTGAATTACCTTCCAGATTGGCATCATGACCGCCCAGTAACTGATCAAGAAGCACTAGTTGAGTTATTATATAGAATAGCAAAGTTAACTCCTGAATTAAGGCCACTTGGGGATGATTTCCCTTATTAACCATGAATTCCAGTGAGGTCGCAGTGAGGTCGTTATAATTTACCCAGATATGATACAATAAGTATCTGGTTGGTGGTTTCAACATGTTTCAACCCCTCTGAAAAATTAGTCAGTTGGGGTTACTATTCCCCATATATGGAAAAATAAAAAATGTTCCAAACCACCCACCAGGTATTTAATGGGGATATACTGGGATATATATCCAAACATATTGATATATGGATGTGTCTGTAAATGGGTGTTACAATGCTTTATTACACTCCAAATTATAAGACCATCACATAATGGGGTGGACAAATAATGGTAAATGATGAGAAACCGCTGGAAGGTTTATGTGCTACGCGATGTTCTGACATGGCAGTGGTTCCTAATCTGCCAGTGCTTTCAATACCCTAAAACTGTCCTATAGGTATACGGTATACTGTAATGTCTTACGAGATTTTGCATTGGCTCCCATTGCTGTATTTGTACATAGTATATCCCAATACTGGCCCTTCCCATCGTAGCCAGTAGGCAGAACAAATGTTGATCGTTGAACTCGTCCATGTTTTCGGGATTGATAGCAAAACAAATTGTAAATTATCAAAAAATAAAAACATGTGTGTAAACATGTGTATATATATATATGTGATAGATAATATAATTAATAATTGCATAATTAAAATATGCCCGTTCTCACAGGTGATATCCCAATTTTGTTGGCAAAAAAATGATGTTATCTTGCTTTCCTAGACACTAAATGTGCCCAATGTCAAAAGTATTCCGTTTTCGCAGCGTAATGCCAGTCTTAGTGGCGAAATTTGGCGTCTACAGTTTCATTTCGACTGGTTAAAATATCCAAACAAAATTTTAAACGGGACCAAAACAAACCAAAAATGTATCAAATGAAACCATAGAAACCCAATTTACAAAATTTAAGGGGATTACATTTAGGGTAAACTGTTATATCCTGATATCCCCAGCTTCGGTTTCATCGCTTTCAGAATATTAAATACCCTCCTTGAAACCAAAGTTTAGTACGGGGTCGATTCATGACTTGGGGTCCCTTATTGGTGGTATCTTGTATCTTGTATCTTGTATTGTTTGTTGCCACCATTTCAACATTGAAAAACCATTGAAACAATAATTAACATTGAAAACCACCATGATCCAACATTTTCTTGTTGAACACCATTGGTTATTGTCTAATGATCCAACATGATTAAACCATTGAAAACCACCATGCGTATCCCGGCCTGGGGACTTGTCTCCCAAGGTCCCCTCTGCGTCTATGACCTGCACCTCTCTCAGGTCCTACGATCCGAAACGTCGCTGTGAGCATCGGATGTCATTTTTCTGGATTTTACACCACAAATGGGATATCTTGTCAAATAATTGGTATATGTCCTGGGATATATCATGATATATATAGAGATATATCTGATATATATATATATATGTATGTATGTATGTAATGTATGTATGTATGTATGTAATGTATGTATGTATGTATGTATGTATGTATGTATGTATGTATGTATGTATGTATGTATGTATGTATGTATGTATGTATGTATGTATGTATGTATGTATGTAATATAGTATGTATATATATATACATGTAGTATGTATGTATGTATGTATGTATGTATGTATGTATGTATGTATGTATGTATGTATGTATGTATGTATGTATGTATGTATGTATGTATGTATGTATGTATGTATGTATGTAGTATGTATGTATGTATGTATGTATGTATGTATGTATGTATGTATGTATGTATGTATGTATGTATGTATGTATGTATGTATGTATGTATGTATGTATGTATGATGTATGTATGTATGTATGTATGTATGTATGTATGTATGTATGTATGTATGTATGTATGTATGTATGTATGTATGGCTGTATGTATGAATGAATGAATGAATGAATGAATGAATGCATGCATGCATGCATGCATGCATGTATGTATAACGGGATACAATGTGATATAATAGGACATGTATCGGGATATGTAATGGAATATTTAAAGGAATGTGTGATGGATTGGGCCTACTTCAAGCTTGACATGGCACAAAATATAGTGACTCAAAACAGCCCACAACTAAATAGGGCGCTTAGGTTTCATCCCACAGCAGGAGTAGATGCTTGCTTTTCGGGACCTGTGAGCAAATACGTGTACGGACTGTATGTCTACAGGTTCAAACTCAGATATGGGAGTAATCCTCTTTAGAAACATAGATGGGCTCATGTTGGTGCGGATCTTGGATTTGAATCAAGAAGTTCTAGCTGTACCAACAGAGTTCACTCAAAGGTTTGGAATGTCAGTCGTGCGCCATGTCAACACATCACCGAACGAATGGCCCTCGGGCGGAGTCAAAGCTCTGCGAAATAGAAAACATGTCACATTCCCGACGCCAAGGACATTGTTTCTCTGCAGCTCGTTCCACGCAAACGTTTCTGCACCGACGGTCTCACATTCCAGCTGAGCATTAATCATTAATGATCAAAACATATAGAAACACAGACACACAGGTAGATAGGCAAAAAGATATGTGATATATATATATATATATGTGTGTGCGTGTCCAAGCGGCTGATAGCAGCCCTCAAGTTTCGGGTTATAATCTTCCCAAGTGCTAGTGCACAAAACTCCGTGATCTAAAATCTAAACAACTCAGGAGGCATTGGAAAATTTATGATGTCAGTCTATAGGATTAAAACCCATGTCTCCCAGAATGAGCCTTGTCAAGACAACTGGAGCACTAAGTACCAAGAAAGACATGTTACAGGCGATGCCAGGACTGATCTCAAAGCAAAAAGTTCGATTGATGCAAAGCCCTGTTCATTTCACAACTTAGTCTTGTAAAGTTGCAGATCAACCTTTCCCCTGGTTACTAGCTGCGATAGGGAAACAAGACTACAGCCCTTTTAGGGAACTTGTCTCGCAAATTTGCCAAGCAAATGAAGCAGCATTCATCCCGCTTTAGCGGGTAAAGGCTCGCGATATCATACCGTGGAAGTAGCTCCGCGTGGCCGCAATGGCTGCTCTTTCATCCCGGCCAAGAAGCGTGGCACTGTTGTCAAACCAATTAAAAACAAACACCGCTGCAAACGCAAGCTTTCCGAAGCTATGCCACAACAGATGCAGCAATCATTTTCTTGCTTAACTGCCCAAAAAAAAAAATCCGAAGATCGTTGAACTCACCCTTTCCCAAATTGCAGTGATCAATTTTACGGTAGCATATGACAAACTCAGCGCATTGCTGGAGGTGAGAAACTTCCAGTGTGTTAGGAACGAATGTATGGTAATGAAATACCGTGAACAGACATACGTATACATAGATGTATGAGTATATATACAGTGCACTCAACAAAAGACGTAATATTAAACACATCGCATTTTTTGAATCGTATTTTGTGTCATGTATATTATAAGGTGTTATTTTTATCAAGCATACGGGAAAGAAAGAAAAACAACATATATTAGTTCTTGTTTTTTGGTAGTTTGCAAAAAAAACAAGAGTATATGTTATAGGTTGGCAGATATCAGTTTCCCAAATCTTTGGAGGCCGGCCGGGGATTTGACGAAGAGTTGCTGAAACAGGAGAGAATGAAGCAAAAAAAAAGAACAGCAGAGAGACAGTAAAGAAAGGAAGCGAGCAGAGAAGCAAAGGAAGAGTAGAAGTAGAAAGGCGCAGAAGAACAAAAGCCGAAAAGCAAAGAAGCAGGGAAAGCACAAAAGCAGAGAAGCAGAGAAGCAGGGAAAGCAAAAAGCAGAAAAGCAGAGAAGCAGAAAAGCAGAGAAGCGGAGAAGCAGGAAAAGCAATGAGAAGCAGTGAGAAGCAGGAAAGCAAAAAGTTTTTAAGCAGAAAAGCCGAGAAGCAAAAAGCATAAAAGCAGAGAAGCAATCAAAGTAGAGAAGCAGAAAGCAGAGAAGCAGGAAAAGCAAAAAGCAAAGAAGCAGGGAAAGCAGAGAAGCAGGGAAAGCAGAGAAGCAGGGAAAGCAAAAAGCAGAAAAGCAGAAAAGCAGAAAAGCAGAGAAGCAGAAAAGCAGAGAAGCAGAGAAGCAGAGAAGCAGGAAAGCAAAAAGCAGAAAAACACAAAAAGCAGACAAGCAGTAGAAGCAGAAAAGCAGAGAAGCAGGAAAGGCAAAAAGCAGAAAAGTCGAAAAGCAAAAGGCATAAAAGAAGAGAAGCAGTGAAAGCAGAGAAGCAGAGAAGCAGGAAAGGCAAAAAGCAGAGAAGCAGAAAAACAGAGAGGCAGGAAGGCAAAAAGCAGGAAAAGCAAAAAGCAGAAAATCATAGAAGCAGAGAAGCAGGGAAGCAGAAAAGCAGAGAAGCACGAAAAGCAAAAAGCAGAGAAGCAGCAAGCAGGACAGCATAGAACCAGGGACCCAAAAGCAAAACCTTCCGCACAAAAATACAAATAAATAAATAAATAGCCCTCGAATAAAAAATTGGGATATACCGTGGGATGTATAATGGGATATAATGGGATATAATGGATATAATGGGATATACCATGGGATATGTAATGGGATATTTACTGGAATTTGCAATGAGAAATATGATGGAATATATAATATAATGGGATTTAAAAAGAAAGGTATGTTGGGATATATAATGGGATATAATGGGATATATAATGGCACATAGAATGGGATATATAACAGGATACGTCATGGCTTTGATATGTTTTAACCCAACAATGTGGGATTCACCCAATGCCATAAAGCTACCATTTGGGGATGACATTTACAACCATCTATACTGGTTGGTGGTTTCAAACCCTCTGAAAAATATTATTAGTCAGTTAGGATGATTATTCCCAATATATGGCAAAATAAAAAATGTTCCAAACCACCATCTATGGTAATATTGCGGATAACTTTTGACTCGTGAAAACTGGGGGAGCCCAGCCGTACCTGGGCATCGCCCTTCACCAAACGCACCACATGTTCCAGATGCTGGTCTTGCACCTGCGGGAGGGGCTATCAAACCCTAAGACGTCAACAGCCCATTCAATGGTGTATAAGACACCTAAGAAATATGCGGAACAGTATTTCCAGGATGGTATAGATGATGTGTGCCCTACATTTTTCGAAATATCCAACTACTCTATCTATGCAAACAGTTCATAATTTGTAAAATAAATTGCTAACATCTTATAATCCCTTCATCCTATTACTAAACCCCCGAAATACTAAAAACTAAAACTCGCGTTAAATTTTGGGAAATGTCCGACTGGCCAATTTGACTTTAATTGATTCCCTTTAGAAACAATTAAAAAATGAAGGGCCCATTTGTGGGTTTCACCCCCAATAATAAAAACTAGTCAACCCGGGGTTGTTTTTTATTAGGGCCCGTCTTTCAAGATTGAAACATATAAATTCATATAAACATATATTTTTTTAATTTGACATTAGGGAAAAGCATCGAACTCCAATTTTTGGCAATAGTTTAATTAGGTTTTAAAAGGAAATCTAATCGATATTGAAATAGACAATTTTAGGTCTTTATATTAAGGTTTTTAATTTAATTAGGGGAAGCTTCGAAATCCATTTTTTTGGCAATATGTCGATTAAGTTTTAAAAAAGGAAATCTAATCGATCTTAAAAAAGAAAAGTTTAGTTTTTTATATAAAAGGTTTTTCCCGAGAGCGTCTGAGCGAAGGGTTCTTCTAATAGTGGGGGTCTGTCAAACATTTTCAAATCTTCACATCTTCACATCACATCTTCAATTCTCACATCTTCTCATCCTCACATCCTCACATCTTCACATCTTCTCATCTTCACATCTTCTCATCTTCACATCTTCACATCCTCACATCCTCACATCTTCACATCCTCACATCTTCACATCTTCTCATCTTCACATCTTCTCATCTTCACATCACATCTTCACATCTGCTCATATTCACATCTTCTCATCTTCACATCTTCATTCAGCACATCTTCTCATCTTCAGGTCTTCACATCCTCACATCCTCGCATTTTCGCATCCTCACATCTTCACATCTTCACATCTTCTCATCTTCAAACCTTCTCATCTTCACATCCATCTTCACATCTTCTCATCTTCACATCCCATCTTCACATCTTCTCATCTTCACATCTTCACATCCTCACATCTTCACACCTTCACATCTTCACATTCTCTCTTGCCCTCTTGCTCTCTTGCCCTCTTGCTCTCTTGCCCTCTTCTTTTTCCTTATTTTCTATTTCTCTCTTAAGGCGCGGGGCAGTGCCAACGAGACGGCACGAAACGCAACCTTTTCGCACGAAACGAGGTTCGATCGCCAAAAACTGAGGTGAAATTGCGTTTTCGAGTGTGCCGCGACAACCTTTTCGCACGAAATGATATTCGATCGACAAAAACTGGGGTAAAATTGCGATTTTGAAGTGTGGGTTGCAACCCTTTCGCACGAAATGAGGTTCGATCGCCAAAAACTAAAATAATTTTCCGATTTCGAGTGTGCGGCGACAGCCCTTTCGCACGAAATGAGGTTTGATCATCGAAAACTGAGGTAAAATGGGACTTCTGTGTGTAAAAAGTGTCTGTGTGTAAAAGCGTCTGTGTGTAAAAGCGTCTGTGTGTAAAAGCGTCTGTGTGTAAAAGCGTCTGTGTGTAAAAGCTCCTGTGTGTAAAAGCTTCTGTGTGCAAAAGCTTCTGTGTGTAAAAGCTTCTTTGTGCAAAAGCTCCTATGTGTAAAAGCTTTTGTGTGCAAAAGCGTCTGCGTGTAAAAAGCTTCTGTGTGTAAAAGGTTCTGTGTGTAAAAGCTTGCTGTGCGTCAAAGCTTCTATGTGTAAAAGCTTCTGTGTGCAAAAGCTTCTGTATGTAAAAGCTTCTGTGTGTAAAAGCTTCTGTGTGTAGAATCTTCTGTGGGTAAAAGTGTCTGTGTGTAAAAGTGTCTGTGTGTAAAAAGCTTCTGTGTGTAAATAGCTTCTGCGTGTAAAAGTTTCTGTGTGTAATAGCTTCTGTATGTAAAAGCTTCTGTGTGTAAAAGGTTCTGCAGTGTAAGGCGTCTGTGTGTAAAAGCTTCTGTGTGTAAAAGCTTCTGTGTGTAAAAGTGTCTGTGTGTACAAGCTTCTGTGTGCACAAGCGTCTGTGTGTCAAAGCTTCTGTGTGTAAAAGCGTCTGTGTGTAAAAGCGTCTGTATGTAAAAGCGTCTGTGTGTAAAAGCGTCTGTGTGTAATAACTCGTGTGTAAAAGTGTCTGTGTGTAAAAGCTTCTGTGTGTAAAAGCGTCTGTGTGTAATAACTTGTGTGTGTAAAAGTGTCTGTGTGTAAAAGTGTCTGCATGTAAAAGCGCCTGTTTGTAAATGTGTCTGATTGTAAAAGCTTCTGTGTGTAAAAGCGTCTGTGTGTAAAAGCTTCTGTGTGTAAAAGCTTGCTGTGTGTAATAACTTGTGTGTGTAAAACTGTCTGTGTGTAAAAGCGCCTGTGTGTAAAAAGCTTCTGTGCGTAAAAGCTTCAGTGTGTAAAAAGCTTCTGTGTAAGGCGTCTGTGTGTAAAGCGTCTGTGTAAATGTTTCTGTGTGTAAAAGCGTCTGTGTGTAAAAGCTTCTGTGTAAGGCGTCTGTGTGTAAAGCGTCTGTGTGAAAAAGCTTGTGTGTAAAAGCTTCTGTGTGTAAAAGCTTCTGTGTGTAAGTGTAAAAGTGTCTGTGTGTAAAAGTGTCTGTGTGTAAAAAGCTTCTGCGTGCAAAAGCGTCTGTGTGTCAAAGTGTCTGTGTGTCAAAGCGTCTGTGTGTAAAAGCTTCTGTGTGTAAAAGCTTGCTGTGTGTCAAATTTTCTGTCTGTAAAAGCGTCTGTGTGTAAAAGTGTCTGAGTGTATGGGAAAAATAGTCTGTGCGTAAAAGCTTGTGTGTGTAAAAGCTTCTATATGTAAAAGCTTCTGTGTGTAAAAGCTTCTGTGTGTAAAAGCTTCTGTGTGTAAAAGTGTTTGTGTGTAAAAGCTCCTGTGTGTAAAAGTTTTTGTGTGTACAGGCTTCTGTGTGTAAAAGTGTGGGTTTGTGTGTGTGTCTGTGTGTATATATGTGTAAACATGTTTCTCTGCGTGTGTCTGTGTTTGAGAGCCTATCAGCATATCTGTATGTTCGTATTTTTCACATCTTCATTAACCTTCTATACAGCATACCTTGTCTGTCACTTGCACCTAAAACCCTGACATCTTCACATCTTCTTATCTTGACATCTACACATAATGAACATATTCACATGATCTCAAGTAACATTCTCATGAACATATTCATGCAAGTCTTTGGCGTCTGCAAATCATACAACTACATAACACATCTGCGTACCTATACACCTACTCGCTCTCGGGCCAACCATCGTCTAGTTAATTTAATTAGGGGAAAGCTTCGAAATCCAATTTTTGGCAATATGCTGGTTCGGTTTAAAAGGAAAATTAATCGATGTTGAAATAGACAATTTTGGTCTTTGGTACCAAGGCTTTTATTTTAATGTTAGGGGAAAGCTTCGCACCCTAATACTAAATACCCCCTAATACAAAAAACCACTGCACGTGTTAATTATTCAGGGGGGGCGCGTTTAGTATTAGGATGAAGGGATTAACACCTTATGTATACATATACATACCCATTATTTGCATCCCGTTATAAACCCATTACATCCCATCATTTACCAGTTATAAAACCCATGCCATATTTCTGCCACCCCACTTTGCTATCATCAGAAAACAAATATAATTAATTCAACGATGTTTTCCATATGTTTGCTCCTAAAAATCAATCCAAAAATCAATCCACAACTCACAATTCCATACAATTCATGATTCAACAAAAAATCACGGAACATATTGGAACATTCCCATTTTTTGATATTTTTTGATGGTGAAAAGCCCTTAAATCCCCACCGTGGGCCCCACCGCGGTTCGATAAATCGTTCGGCGCCCCGCCTTGACCACACCGCGGCGAAGCATCTCGTTGCTGGGATCCACGCCAAGCACCGCGTTGGTGCCACGCGCGCCCAGCTGTCTGGCGGAGATTTTCTTTTGGAAATGGCTCACGATTGGAGGATGATAGTAATCTAACTAGTAATAACTATATTTATAATTAACCGGTTATTACCATAGTCTAAGTTCTTGTTCTAACATTTATGAAGTAATTTATTAATGTGGGTGAAACAATGCCATGTTTACCATCCCCCAGTCATCAACATTTGTATAGGTGGTATGGTTATCATTCCCAGTCATAGGTGGTTTATGGCATAGTTTTACCCACATTAATGACTATGAAATGTTTTTCCAGTCAGAATGAATGTAATTTGATAGTCAAAATGGGTCTAGTTTTACTTGACTGTTTTTACTATCAAAGGGAATGGGTCAAAATTGAAGACCGGACCACAGATCGTAATGTCTATGTTTCGTGGAAACATCATCTAAGTATTGGGGTATCCAATTATACATATATATATATAGGGCGAAAGCTGGGGGTTCCCCGGAAACCAATTGCAATTTAATTGTATGGATATGGAAAATGTTGATTTTATACTGTGTTTTACAGTGTTTTTTGCCTTCCCTTGCAAGTGTTCCATCAGTGAAAGTGTCAATGTCGGCGCGGATAAATTCGGAGTTTGTCCGCGCAGAAAAATGATAAATTTACATCTTCCATGGATGGCCAAAAATGCGTTCAACATTTTTCCCATTGGAATTGCGGTTTCATACATTTTTCAGTTTTTGTTGATAAGTACAAAATGTCATAATCCACTGGAGAACCATGGGCGAAATGAACATCACATATTTTTCATCTTCGCTTTCCCAAACCCTTTTTTTGGCATGGCGATGGAACATGTTGTTTTTGCACTGTGTTTTACAGTATTTTATGTTTTTCTCTGAAATGGTTTGATCAATCGAACTTCCATTTTCATCGCGGAAGAACTTGACGTTTGTCCGTGCTGAAACAGGAACATTTTACATCTCCCATGGATGAATAAAGATGTGTGGAACATGCTAACCATTTGAAGTGCGGTTTCTTTTATTTTGGTCGTTCTGTTCAGAAGTAGAACATGTGATAATGCACTGGAGAACCATGGACGAAATGAAGAACGCACCTTTTTCATCTTCATGTCCACAAAGGCTGTTTGAAGCAGTTGGCAGGAGCGAGAGCACCATTGGTTTTCCAACCAAGCAACATCTTCCAGGATTCAACATCATCCAACGCACTTCACATGACGTTATTACACCCCCCCCCACCCCCTTCTGTAAACAACAACGGAACTTGCAACGTAGCAACATCTTCCAACCAAGCAACATCTTCCAGGATTCAACATCATCCAACGCACTTCACATGACGCTATTACACCCCCCCAACCCCCCTTCTGTCAACAACAACGAAACTTGCAACGTAGCAACATCTTCCAACCAAGCAACATCTTCCAGGATTCAACATCATCCAACGCACTTCACATGACGTTATTACAGCCCCCCCCACCCCCCCTTCTGTAAACAACAACGAAACTTGCAACGTAGCAACATCTTCCAACCAAGCAACATCTTCCAGGATTCAACATCATCCAACGCACTTCACATGACGTTATTACACCCCCCCCACCCCCCCCCATCTGTATACAAGAACGACCTTTCTGGTATAGCATCAAGACTGAGGGTTCCTCGAAGCTCCGGGGAACCCCCAGCCTTGAGCCTATATATATATATGACGATATCTTTATCTGATGATTATCAGGAATGAATATGGACAAAAATGGAGGCTAACTAGCCAAATGAGAGGTTAACCCATCAAACATGGTGGATTCATCCAGTGCATGATGATCAGTCATAGATGTGTAATGATTTTTCTGTGTATGTATATACATATATAGAATCATATATATATATGTCATTGGGTGCGATTGGCTTGAAGGACAAAAAGTCTAACTACATAATTTATTGAAACGACCTGAAACGACCCATCAAAAGTGTGACATTCAACCTAGATATCACAATTTGATACAATTTGTGTATCTCGATGATTGCAGCCATCTCCGAAATCCGCAATTGGTGGGGGTGTCACACTGATCCCCAATAAACACTTCCGGACTGTGGAAACAAGTAATCCCTTCACCGTGAAACTATATTATATACCCCAGAATACTCATGGTTTAGTATTGGCCCTGTACATTTTTAGATTCACCGTGGTATTTGATATTGGGATGGGATTAAAATTTCATAAGGTTTTGTAGCAGATGTTCACATCAAAACAACATGGAATATCCAGTGCTACCTTTGGTTACCCGGTTACCCAAGGGTCATGACCCATTTCTTCTTGGTCCACAAGACTCTGTCGCTGGAAACCCCATCATCCACTTACCTGATCATTCCCTACCGTTAATTTGAGTCAACCACATCTGGTTGGTGGTTTCAACCCCTCTGAAAAATATTAGTCACTTGGGCTTATCATTCCCAATAATTCCCAATATATGGAAAGTCATAAAATTCATGTTCCAAACCACCAACCAGACACCATGTGAAAAATCATGTCAACCATCTCCAAGGACTGAGAACTCACCGCGGCGCCTCAAGTGCTGACCAACGAGAATGCTCACCTGGGTCCATGACTAATCCATGACGACTGGATGATTTGGGGTACCCCTATTTTGGGAAACCCAAACTAGCATATTCTAGGCACGAAGATACCAGAGAAATAGGTTTGCAGCTTGATATTTTTGCGAATGAATCTTCTTTTGCCAAAAGTGATCGACTCTTTGTGTCTTTGGGTGCCACAACAAGGCCCTACAGCCCTTCATGTTGCTGGGAAAGTTCGGAACCTCACAAGGTGGACCCAAAAGTTCGTTCAGTCCCAGTGACGTCAGCAGTTCCGGTGGCCAGATCTAACACTTTGTCGTCGGGCCGCAGCTGCAAGCAGTCCTGCCGGTTGCGGAAAGCTCGTAGCTGATAAGGATCACCTATCTTAAATTAAGTCCTATCAGTGAGGTTTCCCATGGCTTCATCAGTATGGTAGACAGGGGTACTAACCAACTACTAAGTAGGATGACCCTGTAAGCATGGATGTGGCAAGTGGCAAGTGGCAACAGCGGTGATAACATGTCCCAATGGAATCCATGTTTAATAAAGTGTGGACAAAATCTGCAACACGGGACAAAATTGGTCGCGTGAATTCTTGGGTTTGCCATAAAAATGTGATTCACTAGTAAACTTGAGATGTTGAATGTTCAAAAGAATAATTTCTTAGTGTTAAGAGGCCGGCTTCAACAGAAAAAGTTGATTTTAGCAAAACAACAATCAAAAACAGAATCACCAAAAAAACAACTCGACACGAAGAATCACCAGGAAAAAAAACAAAACAAGAACAAGAAAAAAAAAAACAAAGAAAAAACAAAACCTGGATTTTCCTAAGTTTAAAAAAAAAAAACAAATATACTATTTTATTCCAGCTTATTTTGTTTTTGGTCTTCTAGTTTGTGGGTTTTTTTTTCTGTTTGCTCTGGTTTTATTTATTTATTATTATTATTATTAGTTTCTTTAAACTATCTTCTCTGTGCTGTTGGACTCTTAATCTTAGTGAACATACTCAACAACCACAAGCCATGTCGCCAAGATCTTGGGTCCCCGAGTAAGCCGAATCACTTGGCAAGGGCTTTGACCAATCAAACATGGGGTACCGACCCACTGTTGTTTGGTCACAACATGTCACAAACATCTGATTTTTGGGAGGAAGCATCAATTTGATCAATTTGATCTATGAATAACACACAGTTCATGAAGAAATGTGGTAATTGCATGGTAATGGCCATTCTAAATGAAAATCTTAATGGCAATTACCATCAATCATCAATGTTAATCTTTGATATCCATTGCTCATCTATGAAAAGCATCTATGAAGATCATCTTGATCTATAATGATCCAGAATTATATCGTTTCGATCGTATCATCCAAAAAAGAACATGCATCGACGTGTTATAAACTCCCCAGCTTCAAAAAAAAGGGGCCGTGGCGCGCCCTCCTTGACCATGGTATTTCGCCAATGTTGGTCCAGGCCGAACGACATCCTGCCGCTGGGAGGGGAAGTTTTTATGGTCAGACCTTGCCACATCTTCCCCGGTAAATGTGGCCTAGAAAATCAACCGTTTTCCAGTTAAAAAATATCACATTCTGTCCAACATTGAAGGATTAACCATTAAAAGGAAGGTTTTTGTACATGGTCCTTCCTTTTCCAATTAAGAATATTACGAGTAAGATATTCTATGTCCAAGCCATGTTCGATGAGACCGAAGGCTGATGTTCATCCCACATTAAAGGCAAGGGGCACTCCTTGGTGAACAGCGACCCTTTCGGGATTAACCCTTAACTAAGCACTCCTTGGCGGATGATCATTTTCAACCGCTAGTTTTGCGGCTACCAAAACATGACCGTTTGAGTTACTGAGCCCTTGGTCGATCGCTACCATCTCCCCATCGCGGTCAGTCCATTTGTTGGTGGAGTCATATGCGAAGGCAATGCGGTCGAACATGTTCCTATGGAGCTGCCAAAGGGGTATCTGATGATCTTAGGTGCTAAAAAGCTAGATGAAGTCGTGCCAAAAATGCGATGAAACATGCTGAAACTGATTGGTATCAGACATCTCTAGTGACTTGGTGGTTTATTGCGCTGAATGCCCAACTATATATGAATAAATCGTATCATTCGTAGTTCTAAATAGTACAAGTACCCTCTGATGCCCTCTTGTAATTTAACATAGCTATTTGAAAATGGCCAATTGATAGTTGATGTTCCCATTCTAAATGGTGATGTTCCATAGCTTTTTGTATATTTACCAGAGTGTAAATCCCGCTCATCACCATCAATCACCATTAAATCCATTAATCTCCATTGTTAACCATGAAAATCACCATTGTCAACCATGGCTTTTCCACATCTACGTCACTTTACCCTAGGGATGCCTACAACATACGTTGAACTTCCAACGCACAGCATACGTTCTGACCCGCCAGGAGTCCCTGAGCCCATGCGAGGAGCTGCAGGACCTTCCTGCACAATGTATGTTCAGCCGCCGGAGACGGGGAACATATGGGGATACAGTTTATAGATAATATATTGGGAATGTATAATATATGGGGATACATCTGTAGTTGTGGTAGATATAAAACACATCTATAGTTTAAAGTTGCATGATTTGTGGTAGATATATCATGATATATCTATATGTTTTTACAGGCTTAAAGCCAACTTATCTGCATGGATATAGAATTTCACCAACAACAATCGGGAATGCCATGGGAAATTAATTATATCTAACCAACTACAATGGGAATAACATGGGAAATTAATTCATCCAGATTAAGATGTAATTCACATAAGGCCATAAACATCCCGGAATATCCTAAGATCAGTCAATAAGTAGTTGCATTAACTATATCCCATAGGATCCATGTATGGTATGCTAACATTGGGGGGTATATTGATGGTAAATGTTACCATATATAGCATACATGGATCCTATGGGTATTGTATAGCAAAAAAAACGTGCTAGGTTTATGGCATGGGCTGAATCCCACACTAACATTTGTACACCAGCAAACTGCCTCGATGGTGCCAATCTATCGAAGATGATTTGAACATGGCACCAGGCATGCTCTATGGGTCTGTTGGAGTTTTGCTAGAATTTAAGACTTCTAAAGCTGGTTGGTATATACATAGTTCAATTGCCAGCAAAACATTGAAGGTTGTTTTAGATTGTTTTAGTATAGATTAATAGTGAATATGAATATGGATGAATATTAAGCAAACCAACCATCTCGATCAATATCGGCTCATATGCCTAATGTTGTGAAGATATGGATTATGACAGGTCAATTTGCGGTCATTCGATACAGATGAGCGAAAATGGTGCTCAAGATCGGCCAATCTGGCTGACCCAAGATGATTGAAGGTGCTTTATATGGCGAATATGACATTATCCAACATTACGTAACTATATTATATACCTAACTAACATTAACCTAACTTAGCTGGTGGTACTAAAATAGTCTCTTTTCCATTCTTTTCCTGACCTTTTCTGCATCTTTTTGGGGACCACAATCCCATGGCACCTTCGACTCCTCTGTGGCGTCGGAAACCCCGAAACTTCCGGCGGATTGCGCCGTTTGTTGCGCGGGCTTCCCCGTGAGCGATGCGCCTGGCCGCAGGAGTCCGTTGGTTCCCGCTGGGTGCCCATCAAGGGTCTGTTGGGACCTGTGGGTTCATTAGTCATGAGTCCGCGTCTACACACGAGTCCGGGTGTCCATCCTTGATTTTCTTTTCCCCATTCCAGGACATGCTTTGAATATTCACAGAACGTCTTTTGGGATCGTTTCGGAAAACCTGCAGAAACTCACCACATCTGGTCTTAAAAAGCAATCCGGTTCCAGCTGTAAATTGGTGCGTATTATATATAACCCCATCTGACCATGTAATCATTCTATATAGATGTATCCACCATAAATCCTAGCCAGCCTAAATAGTAGTTATCAACCACCACCACCCTGGTCGGTCGGCAACTTCCCAAACGCAACGCCTTCCACCCTGGTGATGGTGGGAGTTTCAAACATCACCTGAACGCTGCTGCGGAATCAAAGAATTCGATGAAGGAGAATTCTAAAGGAAACTCAGATACAAAAAGGATTCTACCATTGATATAGGTTTGTCTGAATATACCCAAAATCTAATAGTTCATCAGTTGATCATAATCACAATGAGTCATAATGTTACTTACCTGTTAGACTAACCATTTTAATTTTAGGGGATATTCCCAATGAGATGATTTGCACCTTTGTAGGTAGTACTTTTGGTTGCAACTCACTGTAGAATCCCTAGGATAATTCCCCTTAGATGACTTGTAGACCCTACGTCCAGCTACTACCTTGTCTGCGCACATTATCTTCAGCTACAAGACAGTGATTTTGGTGACGGCAAATGTAAAATTCAATAGTAGGTTGAAGGGAAAAACCAATGGTTTCCGGTAAATCTTCCCTTAAACCCAACCATTCATGGGCCATGGATGGCCATGGGCCATCTAGGACGATTTCCAGAATGCCATGGGATGACCGCGCCAAGCTTCGGCCAAAATCACCGCCATGGGCACCACTGCAATGGCCCCAGCGCAGCGACAACAGCTGCCAAGCAGGGTCATGGCTTGCGGAAGGTCAGCAGTTCACCAACATTGACATTCTGCTGGGGTCTTGGTGCTGTTTCACTGGCTGTTGGGTTGCAGGCTGCTTGGAACGTAGATGGGTAGCGCACCCCTTTTTTTATGAGTGCACCTCAACATTATGATTTTTCCTTTCAAAATTCATGAACAAGTGCGGTTTTATCGTTTTCTTTTTTTGTGAGGATGTTTCATGTCTCATGTGTTGTTAATTTTGAGAAATCATGACAACTCCATTGTTTGGGGGCCTTGTTGAAGGTCCCGAAAAATCTCGTGATATCGGAGGAAGCGGCGCCGCATGTTCTACATCCATCTACATCCCCCAAAGAGATCAAACAAAACATTGCCAGGATGCTGTAGATGATATCTGGTTGGTGGTTTTAACCATAGTCAATGGGAAGGATGACATCCCATATATGAAATGGAAAATAAAATTCATGTTTGAAACCACCAACCAGATATTTACCGCATTGGATTGCCAGTTCTTTCAACTTGTCAATTAGACTACGTACTGGTAGTTGTAGCTTTCTGGGTGGTTTCAAAGCATCCCAAAGATATGTGGAATATTGGAAGCATCAGCCCAAATATGTGTGAAACAAAAACAAAAATCAACTTAAATGTTTGAAACCACCAACTGGTTCGATAAATGATTACATATGTTTACATCGTTTTCGAGGACGCAGTTCGGCAGTTCAGCAGTTCACACCACGAAAGACACGTTTTCGGCAGCGCGCCTGACGTTGAGAAGCGCTCAGGGTCTCCCAGAGCTGTTGAAAGGCGGGATTCTGCTGGCTGATGGCCTGAAAAGCCTCCGGAAACAGTTGGGGAGTGCAACAAAAACCTAGGGTTCACCGGTTCAAAAACGATAGACTTAAAGAGCAAAATTTGGGGTTCAACGTGGTTCTTCGAATGCTGGGGGTTCTTCAATGGCCAATTAACCATGGTTTTGGGGCCCACATTTGGATACTGAATTAAGCAACGACAAGTCAGGGTGCTTTCGTCGATTCGTCACCAGGTACGGGGATTGAACTCTAGCAAAAGTTCGCATAAGTTGGAGATAAGAACACTGGTGAATCATCCAAGAAAGCTGGCGATATGTTACCTTGATGGCATTCAGAAAATCTGGACTGGCCCACAGTGATGGCCAACTCTTGCAATGCGTGCTGGTTTTGAAACCAGTAGAGGTGCAGCCACTGAAATCTGCTGAGCCCTGCTGTAATCAAGCATGGCCATTGGAAATCAATCCCCTATATAAATTGGAGGTTTTACAGTAAGGGGAAACTCATTTATTTTCCCTTGCCATGTTTGATCACCAATGGATGAAGTAACGATAAGTAGGGAAACTCTGCTTCTTTTACAAGAAACTCAGAGGGGACAACCCACCAACAAATGTAGAAATTATATACAGTATATGCACTGCACCGGTACCTTCATCAGGTTGAAAAAAAAGAAAACACTTGGATCTTCTGCGCAGTGGGATTGATGTTTGATCTGCTTCAGATTTTTCGTACACTGGGAACAGTACAGTAGATATGATTACCAGTACAGTATGACCATCATCATAATCATCATCATCATCATCAAAATCGTAATAGTAATACCCTCTGGCTATTTAACATAGCCATGGAAGCCATGGCCCTAATCGAAATAGATGGAATTTACCGTTCTTAAAAATGATGATGATTTTCCATGGCAAACTGTGAATGTCATAACCAGATGGAAAATCCCATTAAATTCCATTAAACCACCATAAATCCCATGAAATCACCATTAAATCACCATTAAATAGCTCTTAATGACCATCATCAATCATTCATCCTCATATCTGTCATCGCTGTCAACGGATGGCGAACAATAAAAAATCATCATGGCTTACGTATCCCACTTATTTAAAAAAAAAAAAAAACAACAACATGAAAGCCATCAATGACTCCCATCACCACATGTTCTTGATATTAATGCGTGTGTATGTGTGTATGTATAACAATATATATATATAATACACTGCAAAACATCTTTTTGTAAACAAACTCATTTCCACGCACTATACATTAAGCCTTCAAGCCTTGTCATTCTACCAACACTATACTATTTGCCGAAACCCATGCCGTTCGGCTTGCTGGCTTCAACCCCTTCGGAACCTAAAATCCGTCTCATCCATCGATCATACATGTTGATCATTGAAAATATATATAATACAGTATAAATAGAGGTATGAATGAACCCGCCCACCAACTACTAATCAGTAGCCAACATTATTGTGGTTGATGGATGTTGATGGATGTTGATGGATGTTGATGGATGTTGATGGATGTTGATGGATGTTGATGGATGTTGATGTGTCAATATACACTCATTCTTCTTGTTCAAAGATGTTCAAACATCTCCACCGCCGCTCTGGAGCCCTTTGGCACGCACTGGGACACCGAGCATCATTGTCCTCTGGTGGTGGCACCTCTGCTGCTTGGAGAGAGGGGATTGGTTGGATTGGTCTATATTTAACGATGGTAAATATTGATCAATGGATTCATTTATTAATGGAACATAACTATGGTAAATCAACCAAAAATTGCCAAATCAACCATTTATAAATGGATTTACTATCTGGTTGGTGGTGCAATAACCATCTTGAAAAATATGAAAGTCAATGGGAAGGATGACATCCCATATATGAAATGGAAAATAAAATTCCATGGTTTGAAACCACCAAGCAGTAATTGATGGCAAAGCCGCGATACCATCAGATTCATTCAATTCATTCCAGCCAGAATTTACCAGTTGCTAGAAAGTCACTATAGTTGATCCCATTCCAACCAATATTCAATGGATAAGTGGTGATACCGTTACTGCCAGTCTCAAAGCTCCAATGCCATGGCGCCTCTTTGGACATCACCGTCTTTCCAGTTGCTGCGAACCTGGGCGCGAACGCGTCACCGCTTGTCCGTTCGCACCGGTGACCACCAATGGCGTGTCCAACATATCATTCCACTGTCATCCCAAGAAATGCTGCTACCCATGGCTAGTTGCTAGGTTGATCAATGATATTATATAATATTATATACCCCTTGATAATTCAGCATAGCTATGAAAATTGCGAACATTTCTAGATGAATTACTTATCATATCTTATAGCTATGTCAGCTATGTGCCGGCTGGTTTTGATCATGGAAGCTACTTGCGGCTACCCGGTGACCCAAAACGCGCCATAGCTATATGCTGGGAGATCATGGATCTTCCAATATCATTTATAGAATATTTATAGTGTAACCGACTTAATATGATAGATGGGATTTATATAAACCAAAAAAAATACAAATACCCCCCCAAATTACCATGTCGATGGGAACATGACGATCAATGCTGGGATTTATGTTTCAGACAAAGCCAGATACAGGGTTTCTGGGACGACCTTAAAGAAGACACGCCAAAAATAGTGTCGCCTGAGTATGACCAAGAAAAGGAATATATATATATATGGTTTAGCGGTACCACCAGTCTCTACCAAATCATGAGTTGTCCCAGCGGAGGAATCACTTCCCTCACCAGTCACTATAAGAGTAAAGTTGATTCCAATCTCATGATTCAATGGAACATGCTGAACATGAGTTAGGATTAACTGTAACTATGGTTAGGATAAGTCATCAAATGCTCAAAATTATATGTGGGACCAAATCTTTTCCCAAATGATTGGTATAGAATATACTATACGTTAACCGTTAACATCCAATTCACCAAATGCATCTGGGCAGATTACCGGCCCGGGTGATTTGTCCAATCCAAACTTCAAACCATGATTTACGGTCCAAGTTCGGCGCGGGTTGTTCCCATAATTGATCTAGAATCTAGATCCATTAAAATATACTCAGGGAAAAGCAAACGTGGCCATGGAAACAGGATACCCTCTGGTAAACTAACATAACTATGGAAAATCACAATTTTTAATGGGAAAACTCACTATAAATGGCCATCTTCAATAGCTATGTTAAATTACCAGAGGGTAGAACATCATCCCACTTTCAGATGGTTCTCCCATGAAAAAAACCTCCGTTGAAAAAGGCATGTTTTTGGAGCACAAAAAACTGAGCCACTGTTTCAGCAGTTGCTGCTGCGGATACATCTCCGGAAACCATCCGCGGCCTCACAACATGCGAAAAAAATGGTGACCTTGCGACCCAGTCGCTGAGTTCCGGGACTTGGCAAACAAAAAAAATATGTGGATCATGATCTAAACGGATCCACAACATGAAATTGGGCCAGCAAAGGATGGTGTCAGAAATTCGGCCAGAAGTGCTCCAACCTGGATGGCAAGTTGCTGTGTTGATGTCTTAGTCCTGGTCGCCAAACAAATGGCCCTTGACCAAAAAATCCAAACGACAAAAAGAATCAAAAGATAGCTGTATCACTATCGTTTTTCCAAGGTGCAAAAATGATAAATCCTCATCCTTTCCCTCTAATATTCAAAACAACAAGAAACCATGGTGTAGAATTGTATGCCTTCATTTTGGCCCCAGTATCTTGGTATTTAATAGCAATTGGTGGGATGGTGTGTGTTTTTGGCTTATCCAAGTTGGTTTCCAGCTTTCCAACTCAACAGCTACTGGCAAGTCTCGGATTCTCCTAAAACTGGGTGAATTATGCCACTTACGAGCCATGATCAACGATCAAAATCCCCATGATTTCCGCATTTCCAGCTCACCTCAACTGTTCAACACTCCCCAGGATCCACGGGGAAAACAACGACCTTTGCGCGCTTCCAGCTGCTGCAGCAGCCGCAAGTTCTCCCGCGTCATCTCGCTGGCCGCATCCTGACGGTTTGAGCGAATCTTCCACGCTGTTTTTGTTGGTCGACTGGAAACAGATTTGGGTGAGATTCTTCAAAAAAATGGACCATATGTTTTTGCGATATATGTATAGTTATATAATTTTATATCATATTATATAAGATTATATATAATATTATATGTAATATTATATAGTGATAGATGTTGAGTGATTTTTGTGTTAGCTGTGGTTACTTCATTAGGGCAATTGTTTCAAGGAAGATTCGACCATGCCCTGCCCTGCCGTCCTTGCGACTGGGTTTGAAGTAACGAAATGCACGACTCAACGCCGCTGGCTTCAACCTTGAGCGTCCGACCAAAGACCGGCACCCAAAGACTCACAACAAAAATGGACATGTGATTTGCAACTCTTCTAGTGGGAGTCTGACTTATTTTTGCTTTTGGGGGGTGCTATAACAATATTCATATATATATATATACTCTGTATATATATATATATATGTAAATAACATTAAATAACATTAAATAACGATGTACTAAGATTGATTACAACGTCTTCTTCTGAAGGTGGCAATCCTGTCTTCGCGACACCACTTAACGGAGCACGAAGATGCAGGAAGCACGGAGCACAGGCAACACTTCTGCAAATGGTACCATATTCATGCAGTAAAGCCGGTAATCAATGGAAAATTCATGGTATTTTTGAGGGATATATATATATATATAATTCTGATAAAACCCTATCCCAAATTTTGGTGAACGAAATTAGATATACCCCGCACTTTCATGCTGGCTGACTGCGATGGATTTATGGCATTCATAAATAATCATATTCCAACCCAGTGATATATTGGATAAGATTGGTAATGAGCCGTTTATGAACTGGGACGCAATGGGTTTCAACTCGCATGTATTGGTAGATGATGTAAGAAGCGGCCCCCAAACCATAGGTAACGTTGGTTCATAACTAGGCTAACAGTTGGATTTACAACGCGTGTATGTATGTGTATGTATATAATTATATATATATATATGGATGAGGTTACAAAATGTTATAAACGATACCCTTTCTTGTAGCATACTATGCTGGAAAACCTGAAATATAGAGAAGTGTAGAAGTTTTTCACAGAAGAGTATATAGGATATAGATTCTATAGATGATAAATAATGATACATATAATATATATATATAATATGTATATAATATGTATAGCCTCTGGTAAACTAACATAACTATGGAAAATCACCATTTTTAGCGGGAAAATCCACTATAAATGGCCATTTTCAATAGCTATTTTGACATAACCAGAGGGTATATATCTACAGCAAATCCAGGGCATGTAACCCACGGTCCATTGTCGCCTTTCTCCAGGTCACCGGACCCCAAGAAATCACCCAGCTCCTGTCCCTGGCTGCGCGGTTCCGCGATGTGTCACTTCTCTGCCGGTGAAAGTCCAGTAACTGCTTGGTGCTTGACCTACCAACCAGGGGTTAATATAGCTGGTTAATGATGGTGCTTAAGCATAACCATATATTTACCTGGTTGGTAACCATATATTTAACCATATATTTACCAGGTATATTAACATGATGTTAAATATATGGTTAATGATGATGGTTAATGATGATGGTTAATATACCTGGTAAATAAACAGTTGGACCCTGAAATTCACCCATGTTTAATGGTTTCACTAGTCTTCCAACCCCGACAACTGCCAGGGTCTATGTTAATCTACTGGAGGGTAATATACCTGGTTAATATATGGTGAATGATGATGGTTACTATATGGTTAATGATGGTTAATAATATTCTGGTTGGTGGTTGACCTACCCCTCTGAAAAATATATGTTTGTTCGTCAAATGGGATTATTGAATAATTGTTCCCAACTGAATGGAAAAATCATCAAAATGTTCCAAACCACCAACCAGGTAAACTTTGGGGGGTGCTGTAATTGTACAGTATATAGATATCTGTGGGGAGAGAGAGAGAGAGAGACATAATTACACATCTGTATTGTGTTTATCTCATATTAGAATATATAATACGTCCATTATTATTGTTTATTTTGTGTCATGTGGCCCGTGTCTTACCCATGCAGCTGGGGTCCACTCTGGAATGACATGGTTGATCATCAGTCTCCCCAAAAATGGCCATTTCTGGTGTCCCCCTCATTTTAATCTGAGACAAACACGTATCATATTAAGTTGACCATCATCTTTATGGTTACTATATATGGTTAATGATGATGGTTACTATATTACTATATGGTTAATGATGGTTAATTTCTGGTTACACATCTCAACAACTACTCAATGATATCCCCAATGATATTGGTGGACAACTCGCATCGTCTTTGGAGAGGCAACCTGTCCGATAAAGTGAGAAGAGTAAACTTTCGTGTGTAAAAGGAAAAACAGATTGCCTCAAACATCAAGATAGCAGATTACCCTCTGGTAAACAGCCACATAACTATGGAAAGATCCACCATTTTATAGCTGGGTAAATCAACTATTTCTATGGCCATGCTATCAATAGCTTTTTGTATGTTTATAAGACTGGTATCAAACAAATGGCCATGTTGGGAGTGACCTATAAAATCCTAACCATCATTGATGTCGTGTCGTTGTGAAATGTGTCGTTGTCATTAATGTTAGCCACATAATTTTGACCCATCAGGGTTGGTGAAATCCCCAGCAATAAATTACTGGTAAAAAATACAATGATGATTCCAATATATTCAGTTATATTCCAGATTTACCCTCCTGTAAACGTTTCCATATTTTCTGGCTGGTGGTTTTAACCCCTCTGAAAAATATGACTTCGTCAGTTGGGATGATGACATTTATATGGAAAGTCATAAATTTCATGCTCCAAACCACCAACCAGTTGCCATATGGCAGTGTGTCAAAACCCTATCCCCCTGGTGAACATCAAAATAGCTGGTAAATGGATGTTCATTCCCCTAAAAATGGTATTAATAGGTATTGATCCATAGCCATATTTGTTTCAACCCCAAGCAGTGAATGTAGATTTTCCGGGAAGCCACGGGCTTTCCCACCATGAATCTCGACCGAGCGCCCGCGCCACTTCATCGTAGCATTTCTGAGACCAGCTGCTACTTAGCTCCTGGTTCCAGAAACCGACCAAGGGGTGACAAACAAAACCACATGGCGGTGTCTGAAACTGGTTCGTACACTGTAATATACATTAATATACATTAATATACCCCCCATGTGCATCGATTTATGGCATTTGCAAAAGAGAAAAGAATGATTAAGCCATTGATTTCTTGGAGTACGAGTACCCTATTGTTCACACCCACCAACATATGATAACGATAAGCCCAATGTTGTGGTTGTTGTTGGATGATGAACCTGGACTCACCATGAAGTCACAGAAGGTCTCACTGCAGAACCTCTCAAATTCGAAATGTCTACCCGGCCTTGTAAACATACAAAAAGCTATTGAACATGGCCATAGAAATAGTGAGTTTTCCCATTAAAAATGGTGATTTTCCATAGTTATGTTAGTTTACCAGAGGGTAATTATCATCTCTATCCATATCTTTGCATGCTAAAAAGATGTTCCACACACCAGCAATTTTCTGGTGCCATCATGGGTTTGCTTCATCCGGTGTTGGGGACGGTCAGATAGGACCTTTTTTTTTCAGTTCCAATCCAAGATACAATGTACAAATAAAATATAGGGCATATTATACAATTATATATATAATATTATATATATATATATATTATGTTGAGCTGGAAAGTATCTATCTATTCCTATCAACATTGCGATTTCTGTTGGTACTAAACATGACAAGACTATCTGTTCAGCTCGTTAATTCAGTCAACTGAAACCACCCAGTCGTCTTGATTGGATCTCGTCATGTTGGTTCCCATTCTGGGGAATAGTTTTCTGATAAACCATAATATAGTGATAATATATAGTGATTACTATATAATCACTAATATATAGTAATATATAATATATAGTAATTAATCCCCAGAAGAGATAGAGGTTAGCAATTGATCACTATTTGAGTGGGATTTTGAATCATAAGTTCTATCTTTTTTGGGGGGTTGCTATTTCAGGGGGATTGCCCAGCTCAAAGCCTTCGTTGAATTCCAGGAGTTCCCAGTCACGTTTCATTAAACACGGCTAAGTCCATGAACCGAACGGTTGATCGCCATGATTTATGAAGCGTTGATTACCACTAACTACCATGAAATTACCATTACACTTATACTATCTTATACCATCACCATGAAATTCACCAATGACAATGATCATTCGATTCATCACCATTTACCACTATTTCATCACCATTCTTAGCAAATATTACCATTAATTAATTAGCATTGTTCATTAACCAGCAAACCCTCTGGTAAACATACAAAACGCTATTGAAAATGGCCCATAGAAATAGTGGATTTACCCAGCCATAAAATTGAGATCTTCATGATGTTCCATCGTTTTTTCGTGTTTTTTTCTATGTTTACCAGAGGCTTTGCTGGTTTTTTTATACCCACCAGCCATCAGCCTCCCATCCCATCCTCGTAGCTCACCCATCTCCACATGGACGGATCCAGGCGACCTAAGACCTACGCCGCGGTATGTTTCAGCTGGATGAAATTCACCGATTTTAAGCATCCAAAATCATCAAAAACTCAGATTCCAAGCATTTTTGCAACCAAATTTTGGGATTTGACAAAGGAACAGCTGGGGATGTTTTTAAACATCCAAAGTTTGGGGATTTTCACAGGATATGACAATAAATTATAAGATGCAGACTCCAAGCAATATATATGTAGATATTCTACGACAGGAAACGACATATTAACATATATTAACCAGCAATCGAATTTATGACCAACAAAAATGAAGTTTTCCGATCGGTGCCTGAGCCACCCATGCCCCTGCTCAACATCAGGGATCGTCTCAAATATTCGAACATGTTTGAATAAATAAACACGTGCTTGAAACCATCAAGCAGACCTTTGGAGGTTCTCAATAGGCATGGGCAGAAAAACTGCCCAGATGGGGAGACTGCAACCAGAATCAAGATTCTTGGAATCAGAAATAAGGATGTTACGTGATTTTAAAAACCAACAAGTCTACCAAGTTGAAAATTTCACCACGTAGAGGTGCTTAAACATGGGGATAGAACCAGTGCTTTTTTAAACGTGTGAACTCCAATGCAACAAAGTCTCAAGATTTTGGATGTTCCCCGAAGAATTACTGGTTGGTGGTTGACCTATACCCCTCTGAAAAAATGTGACTTCGTCAGTTGGGGTTACTATTCCCACATATTCCCAATATATGGAAAAATAAAAGTCATGTTCCAAACCACCAACCAAATTTTGTTTGAACTGCTGTCTCAAGAAACAACAGTGCACCCAAATTGTGCTGATCGGATCCATAAGTCTGATCAAATCTGGACATCAACAAATTCTCAAAGAAATCCCCAGAGAAATCCAAGCAGAGAGCAACAAAAAACCATGGCCGCCATTGCTGGGAATCGAGTTCAACCCTGGATAAGTTGGATAAGCCTTACCAGTGATAATCTGCAACAGCCCAGGTTGTTAATCTGGGGTTGCCATTAGTGTGGAACAAATCCCAGTGGCACCTTCGTCAGGTAGTCGTTGAAGAGGGCCAGAACCTGTCACCGATGGTGATGGTGGTGCCATCCCCCGACATGGCTTAATCTAAATCCAACTTTTGACCATGGCACAATTACTCACATTTATGTGCTTTTTTAACGGCTTACTACATAAACGGTGGATTGGTAAATTTATCCAATCATTGATTGGCCGCATTTCAATGACAAATAATATTTCGATTACTGCAACTTTAACCATATATGGTTGGTGGTATACCTACCCCTCTGAAAAATATGACTTCGTCAGTTGGGATGATGACATTCCCAACTGAATGGAAAGTCATAAAATTCATGTTCCAAACCACCAAACAGATATATATATATATATACATATATATATATGTAATATATAGTACATATACACACTAGAATGGTATATAACTAATAACTAATGGTATATAACACTAGAATGGTATATAACTAATTATATATGGTGCTTGTAATCGTTCATTTCTTTTGACCACTGCCTGGCCTTGGCATGCTCCACCAATCCGTCGTCCCACTCCTGCGCATCTTGTGAACGGGAAACGCTGGAAAAATGGAGGAAAAAATGGTGTAAACCTACGGGAAAAAATGACTACTGGAAAACACAAATAGTTTATTTTATAGATTTACATAGATTTATTTCATAAAATTGAGATTGTTGTCCAATATCATCCCCAGATAGCCGGAAAAAATAAGGACAAAATGGGTGATTTAAAAAACACAACTGAGAATATGATTTTAATCTATTTTCATTGGATTGGATCCATTCAAGGGAAAACATGTTATATATATATAATATACGAAGCCTTCATTTTGGAGTGATTCCCTGTCAATTCCCCTTCATTTAATTTTGGGATAAAGTATAAAACAACGACTGAAATTGAACCCACCAGACAGCCATGTCAGCTCCAAAAAAATCAATCCAGGTTTTGTTTTCCAAGTTGTTCAATAAACATTCAAATCGATCGATCATCACTCATGCATTCAACATCAAAATTCAAACATCATCAACATCAAAACTCTTGAGCACCAGCTTCAACCTTCGAATTTTCTACAGGTCTCAGGTCGAAGCTGCCACAACGTTGTGAAAACACCACGGTGCCACGCGCATGGATTTCGCGATCCCAGGGATCACCATAGGATGATCATCCGTCAACAAGTGCCGATGTGTTGGATGGGTCAAAATTTATTGGGCACCACAACTAATTGGTGGAGTTTCCAAGCAATCTGACTGTGGTTCCATAATGGTCCATAATTTTGGTTTGGACCAACATGGACCAACTTTTGCCAGTGTCAAATTGGTTCCAACTGCTCCGTTTCTCCGCTATAGCTATAAATATCTAATGGTTGGAACTGTATATTTCAGGGTTATAGTGGCCACGCGATAAATCGACCAACCAACCAACCAATGGTGGAACATAATTTGTTATTGAAACAGTTCAACCCAATATAGGATGGATACCAAAATTATATTCCAGTACCCTACCAACTGGTTGGTTTCATACCCCCATGTTCAACCCCAATTTGTATCCAATGTCTTTGAATGGTTTATCCGTTTATGTTCCTAAAACCCACATGGTTGTTTAAATCCTATGTCCCTTAAATATGCTTAAATTTCAATGTTTATCGGTGAAAAAGAAGTGGTTCTCTGCTGGTGAAATCCATGGCTTTTCGTCGCGGTTTCACCGACATGGGTCAACACCTGGAAAACCCCTTGCTTTTGGATGCTCATCCCATCCAGTCATATGGTATTTCAATGTATTTCATGGACAACTTGATCTACCCTCACATGTCAGGGTGATCAATCTATATAATCTCCGGTTAATCAAACGTAGATCCCCGAACGACCAATCATCGGGCTGCATGGTGAATTTTCTAGGAAGCCAGCTTTGATTACCGGAGAATAAGCCAATATCAATACCCTCTGGTAAACAGCCACATAACTATGGAAAATCACCATGCTATCAATGGGAAAATCCACTATAAATGGCCATTTTCAATAGCAAACTGTTAAATTACCAGAGGGTAGGTTTTGACCCGTCAAACCTTGCCTTGTGGCTCCAGGCAGCGGAGAGCAAGTTGCGGTGCAGGACCAAGACCTCTTTCGGCTGCGCGTCGTTCGACGTGAAACGACGGGGACGATGGTGGGGAGTAAATTGTTTTAACGGGGTTAAATAAATGGATGTGCATTTGTCTATTTTCAGAGTGTATGATACGTGCATATTTATATATGTATAGTGTGTGTGTGTGTGCGTATATTATCGAAGTATGCAAAATATATTCGAAATATTTGCCATATGTTTGAAAAACACAAATATTGGAAATATATTTGAAATATTGGAACTAAATTGCGATATGTCCAATAATTGAAATATGTGCAATAATTCAAATATTTTAAATATTAGAAGTATTGGAGACACTGGAAGTAATTGAAATATGTATTTTAGATATTGGAAATATAATGAAATATATTTCAGACTTAAACAATATATTTGAAGTATTTAATGTCTATTGATGAGTTTTTAATGTTTGAAGAAATCGAAAGCTTAGACAAACACACTACAGTAGATCATAGCGATGCATGTTGCCATATACTAGTGTATATATATATATATGAATGATTATGAATAGATCATTAAGATACATATAAAATAGATCATTATGAATAGATCATTATGTATTAAATAGTGTAAATTTAAACCACCCATTCTTTATATAGATACGTATGATCATGGGGAGTCAATCATGGGGATTATGGACAAGGCCCTTATCTTGACCACCAAGATTAGTGGAATCATGGGGTTGACCAACAAAAATGGGGCTTCTGAACCAGGGAATATGTAGCAACCCAAGAAAACAAGATGCAAAAATGTGGTACCCGGCCTGGTAATGACTGTTACAGTTTGCTATTGATAGCATGGTGATAGAAATAGTGGATTTACCCATTGATAGCATGGTGGATCTTTCCATAGTTATGTAAACGTTTACCTGAGGGTAAATAATTGAAGCTAAAATAGAATGGTAAGTCTCAATAACGTGTCTTGGATAGGCTTTTGGATGGGAAGTGTTACTAGTTTGCATCGAAAATCATGTTTGCACGGTCGGAAAAGCAAACCCCCAAACAAGGGAAATATGAAACGGATTATATTAATTCAATGTTGCTGAATGTGACTATGCAATGCTACAAGCCAACCATTTGCTTGGTGTTTGATGCAATTTTACATACCCCCGTAGATGCACACGAGTCAAATAAGTTGAATCAGAACCCTAAAACATCCTGAAACAATGGTAAATTGAACGTGTTCTATCGCTTAAATGTAACTTAAGAATTTGAAATAATAATGAAAAAATGGAGAAATAACAAGGGATCACGACCATAACACATCGCCAAACTCAGAACTCATCATGCGCAGAAAGTTGACGCCGCTTTTCTCATCGCATCGCTCAAGGCTCTGAGCAAACTCTCCTGCCAATACTTTGCCTCGGTGGGACAGCACTTGGAGGAAGCAACTGACGGAGAGAAAATGGTTTGGAAAATTTAGGTACAGTAAACCTTTCAAGGTAAAACCTAGAGTTATGTTTTGGTATTTTCCTGCTCACCCAAGGTTTATTAATTTTGTTTGGGTTCCGAAAGTTATGAGGCAGTTGAGAAGCAGTTACAGAACTTGGCTTTGGGGGTGGCTTTTTAATGGTTTTTAAAAGCGAATTGTCGTCCCAGTTTTTTTCTCCAGTTCTCGGATGTCACTCCAGGGATCTGCCATAAGAATTGGCAAGGCTATCTATTGAAATCCTTCGGTAAATACTCTGGTAAATGCAGGTGTTCAGTATATTTTATGGATAAGTGGAGGGTCTAGGATGGTCTAGATATGTATTAGTGCATTACTAATTACATCTAATTACTATACTCTGGCTGATGAATTTGAGGGGTTACCCACAGAAATTGACCATCTGCTACGTCAAGGAGTCGCCACAGCAAGAAACGTCCTAACCATTGGGGATGGTCTATCACCATACGGTCAAGTTTCACAGCCATGGGATATGATGGGCATATATATTCTGTAGATATATTATATATATTATTATATATTATGTTATGTTATATTATGTTATGTTATATTATGTTATGTTATATTGTATTAATTATATTATATTAATTATATTATATTAAGTATATTATATTAATTATATTATATTAATTATATTATATTAATTATATTATATTACATTATATAAATTATACTATATTATATTATAATATGAATATATATATATATATATACGTGTATATATATATATCTTAATGTGCATGATATTATATGATAATACATGGATATTGGATGATATTGGAATAATGATTAATGATTATACATTATTATTATATATATATATACTATTATATACCGTGTCATAGGGCTGAATCAGAAAACCATTTGGGGATGATTCCCCCGAACAAGAACCACTGAACCAGCAGGACCTACTACGCGCTGAGGTTTACTGTACTGCTTGGATGTGCGGGCCCCAGTTAGTACCCCATGTATATATATTAGTAATCCAACTAACTGAGGATATCAACCATGATTTATTCCTAAGATTGTACAACTGGATTATTTCAGTTATTCGGTTATTGCTCACTTTCTAGCTGGGACGCACGTCCAAGTATGACTGTTTCAAATGGCAACCCCTCCTGCCATGGTGCAGTACTGTGGGTGCGCTGCAAATGTTGCAAGCGCCTCAGCATGGCTCCAATGGCTCTCTCTGCTTGAATGGTGGCAGCAACCATTTCACAAACGCATGGGTTTGAAGATTGGACAAAAAGGAGATATAATCATAGAATCAGAATCATAGGAAGTAATGGGATGTAAAAACGGGATATAATGGGACACGATACATGTGTGTGTGGCTTTGGCTTAAAATTATGGAGAAAGCACCCAAAAAGTTGATCGTTAGTCATCGTTATCCTCACGGAAATTGCCGAATATTGTAGGTATGCCAACCATATCCAAACAAACCCACATACGTCCAAGAATAGGAACCGCCAACATCCATCAAGTTCAAATCTCTTGATCAAGGGTCATTGATGCATGGTATGTTTTGTGGGCCAAGGTTCTAGGAAACATGCATGGCTTCCAAAAAAAAAGGTGCAGGGACAACCCAAGTTGATTGAACTTGTCTGTTAAACCCCTGTTGGTTGATGATTGGGGGATTATATAGCTTTGAAAAATAGGGTAGCCCGTAATCCACTGCATGGTCATCATGTTCCTTTCCAAAATTGCCGCGTTCTGGCATACCTCATTTTCATACTAAGTTGGCTCTATATATCCCATGATTTTCCCCACTATATCCCCATGTTGGATGGTTAAAGACATCATTTTGCTGTGCATTTAATTATACTTAATGATGTCATTAATCATTTCATGCGGTAAACTTTACAGTACCCAATAATTAACCTACCATTTGGGGATGGTTTGTACAACCCAATTATTAAATTATGGTCAAATTAGGGATGATTCAATTTTTGGCTTTCCCACATGACCAATTTGTTTACCCATGTGAAGCCCGGAGGTAAATAGTAAAACCGCCCCAGCTCGAATCTACTTCAGGTAGGCATGGCAGCTATGGGCAGCCGGAAGGCCGTCAGGAGACATCTCCATCGCCAAAAAAGTTGCAGCTTACAGGATTGAACAGCAGCTCATTTACATGAATTTACCACCTTTTTGCCCCAGATGCATCTGCGCGCTGATGCTGTTCATCGATGCCTCCCATGAATCCGACATGGCCGACATAGCCCGAGTTAGGGGATCAATAATGCTTCCTTCATTCCCAAAACATGTCGAAAAGTATGTCGGAAAATTGGGTACCCGTAAAATCACAGGGGGTATCATCGCGTTCCCGAAAATTCCAATGTCGCGATTTCCACAAATGATATAACCGAATTTCAGATAGACCCCAGTATATCCGGTATCATATTCTTGGTGATCCCATGAGTCTCCCAGATGATGAGCTATGGAAAACCATGGTGGTCTTGACAGGCTTCACTGGCCATGGACTCCACTATGTTAGATTCCAGTCGTAGAACATGAATATGTTGGTTGATCATATGTAGAAAATCACCATCATAAATCCAGCTATGTGTGGTTTATCTACCCTCTGGTAATTTAACGTAGCTATTGAACATGGCCATTTATAGTGGATTTACCCATGAAAAATTGTGATTTTCCATAGTTATGTGGCTGTTTACCAGAGGGTATCTCCCAAAATGTAGAAAACCAATGAAAACCATCTCCCCATGAAAGTGATCGCCACTCAGCGAGTCCTTGCCATATTTAAGCCCGACCTGCGTCAGCATCTGGAAGAGCTGCGGGAGGGATTGGAAGAGCTGAACCATTGGCAAGACCTGCCCAGGTGATCCAGGGTGAAGATGGGGGTTCTTAGACAAAAAAAATATGATGAAAAGATGATGAAAATCCCCATGATATCCCATGACAATCATAAAAAACCCAGGGATTCCATTGGGCATAGTTTTTGACCCCCAAAGCCAATCATCAACAGGGCTCTCGGAGGCAGAAACACGGCCGGCGAAACGGCCTGACCCAGACCGACCCAGGTCATCCCAGCGACGACCCCGCCTTGAAATCCGTCATGTGCCACCAAAAGACGCCTCGAGATCGTGTTGAATTCAGATGGATCGAATACGAAACCGTGGCTCTTGAAGAGAGTATTTAATATACATTTTAACATTAGGGGGAAGTGATTCATAATTATTTAATAGATCCCCACTGTTTCCCATTTACCCTCTGGTAAACAGCCACACTATGGAAAATCACCATTTTTCATGGGTAAATCCACTATAAATCACCATGTTGAATAGCTTTTTGATGCTTTTTGCATGTTTACCAGAGGGTAGTTCCCATATAAATCCCATATAAATCGCGGATGAAAAAACGTTTTGCGCTGGTTTTTCACCCATCCATCCCTGGATCTCAACGTCAAGCTGCGACTCTCGAGATCGTTCCAATCCTGGTACTTGTAGGGATAGAGGTCATTCCTGAGGCTGATGGTCAATGGGAATTCCAGGATCCTAAATTGGAGGTACGGTACCATATAAGGCCATATTTTGTGGAGATATTCCCTTACATAGGCCTTATATAGGCCTTATATATGGTAGGTACCTCCAATTTAGGATCCTGGAATGGTCATTGAGATGGTAGCCCAATGGATCTAAGTCTAGACATACCCGGTATGGGTTATGACTAACATCGCCATGGTTTTTCGATGGCCCTAATCGAAATAGATGGTTTACCGTTCTTAAAAATGGTGGATCTTTCCATGGCTATGTTAAATAACCAGATGGTATATGTGACATATGGATACATATGGTAGTTTCCGCAAGAAATTGCCATCTTAATATCTAGCAAACAGGAAAATGATCCATAACCAATACTAACAGGAAAACGATCCATAACCAATGGAATACCAATGGAAGGGGTACTTCATTTTCAGCCAAACCAAAGGGTCCATGGATCTGACTGCTGAAAGAGGCAGCAGTCAACCCCTCTACAGAACGACCAAAACTGTTGTGCCCATGGTAAACGTGGCTGTGTTCCAAACAGCAACTTAGGTTATGAGTCAAAGACATGACAGGTAGGAGTCTTCAACAGTGGAACCCATAGTCATTGCGAGGAGAATTTAAAATCGGCATAAACTTGGGTAGGCATATTCTCTCAAAGCATTAACTATATAATTACACTATATACACTAACTATATACACTATATTGCACTATATTACACTATTACACTATATATACTAACTATATACACTATATTGCACTATATTACACTATATTACACTATATTACACTAACTATATACACTATATTGCACTATATTACACTATTACACTATATACACTAACTATATACACTATATTGCACTATATTACACTATTACACTATATACACTAACTATATACACTATATTGCACTATATTACAGTATATTACACTATATTACACTATATTACACTATATTACACTATATGATATACATATCACTATGACTATATCACTATTAAATCCCTTTATGATATGGATTAATGATTGATGAACGTCCAAGGACTGGCTAAACGAATTCCCCTTGTTTTGTCCGCTATCCCATGACAACACACACATTTTGCATGGCGCCCCCCGGTTGAAAGTGGTTCAAAGTAGCTTCATGTTCACGTATCCAGCAAGCATTGCCTCTATTTCACTCACTCTTTACACATAACTACCCCTCACCCTCCGGTAGTTGAACACAGCTATCGCAAATCGCCATTAAAATCAGAGGTGTATCATCTACTTCAATGAGCCATCTATACCATAGTAAACTGTCACAAATTACCAGTTAAATCACCATTTTTGGTGGTTGAATCACCATTTCGATGGTTAACTCGACCATTGAAAATGTGGTGCCGTGAACATCCTCCAAGGCGCGGCGGTGAGAAGATGGTAGCTGTCCAGCCCCTGAGCCCAAAATTAAAATCGGCTGCATGGAAAATCGAGAGGAAACATGGGAAATTTTCAATCATTTACAACCCATTTAGGATGTGATTTTTGGTGATGATTGAATTTTATTTCATGTTTGCCACATTATAGTTTTGAGTGAGCAATCTAGTGGAGTCCTGTAAATTGTCCCACCAATTCGAATTTTGGGCTTAAATTCGATGGTTGGCTCGCAGAAAATAATATGGAAGATCTGTTCCTTAAACGTTGCGTGGCCGAGAATCTTTGGGGGAGAATATGGGAGAATCATGATAAAGCATGAAATGAATCTTTAATATACCATCAACTTTCAGGGGTACCTTCTTTTTTTAGACATGTTGTGGCTTTGTCTGAAAATCGTGTAGCCAAACCCAGTGGTTGATGGTCATTCTCCCTATGAAATGGCTATAATTGGAGGTATATATGGTCTCGTGTTCCGTGTTCCTACCCCCCCCAATGGTATGGGTCCCCAGGTAGCACCCCCTTCCCTTCTATTTGCAGGCTATTGGCAGCATTTCTGAGGTCCAGCCTCGTATTTGCTAGGTCTTTGCAGCATTTCTGACTACCAGCCTCGCATTTACTAGGTATATGCTACCTTTTAGACGACCTACGTAGCACACATACTCCCTCAAAGCACCTACGTGCTACCTATAGTCATATATATATATATATACATGTGCTATGTATCTACTTCCTATTTACTACCTGTGTACTCTCACAAAACTACATATGTTTAACATATACCGTACCTACCATACATTCCAATGATACCATACATACCATACATACCATACATACCATACATACCATACATACCATACGAACTTTGACCTTACATACCATACCTATCATACCTATCATACATACCACACATACCATACATATGAAACTTAATTGCCACACCTACCATACATACAATACCAAACATACATGCCATACACACCATACCTACCTTACATAGCAAACATTCCATACACATCATAGTAACCATACATACCATACAGACCATACATTCCAATGATACCATACATACCCAACAGACTTACATACCATTCCTACCATGGACCATCCGTACAATACCAACCATTCATGCCATACATACCATACCTGCCATACATACCAAACATACCATACATACCATATCAACCATACATGCCAAACATGCCATACATATCAAACATATCGTACATCAGATAATTACATACCATACTCACCATACCCACCAGGCCATGTATATGGTCCTTGCGGTCCCTGCCATCTGTGACCCAGAAAATGACCCAGCTTTGCATCATAAACCAAGAAAATCTGGGCGCTTTAAAACATGTTTGTCCCAAAAAAAAAGCTAAAAAATGGCGAAAAAAATGGAAAAAATGGTGGATCCTACTGATTTACTCAAGAGGAATTGACAATTCTTTACTTCTATGGTGCCTTGGAATTGAATGACTCCATGTTCTGCAGACCCAACCGAATGATAGTGTTTGATACACAAATTCCAAATACAGGACAAACATAGCAATTGTATATTATATATAATATTCATATACTATATATATATATATATGCCAAGTATGTCCCATGTTATCACCATACTGGTTTACTAATCGCATCGCCAACAGTAACAAGAACTTGAGCCGGAGAAGCGCCTGTGGTTCGTGCCCATCATGGTGTAGGTGTACATCGGCCTTGGCCGTGTGGCAGGACCCCATGGAGTGACAACTAGCCATGGGGATTTTTGCCAGGTTTACAAGTTGAAAAAACACATAACTAATACATAACTCAGGTTGTAAGGTTGATAATTCGCCATTTTTCTCAGGTTTCGCAAAGGCTTTTCTGATCTTATAAGTACTCAAAAATGATCCCATAGTTGTCCATACCCTCTGGTAAACTAACATAGCTATTGAAAATGGCCATTTATAGTGGATTTTCCCATTGAAAATGGTGATTTTCCATAGTTATGTTAGTTTACCAGAGGGTAACTGGAACTTGACGTCTTTATTCCCCATTTTTTTTCCGGTGCCGCGGGGCGTATCAGGAACGAAGGTGGGGAAAGCCATGTTGATCCAGTCGTAGAAGCCCATCCTGTGGATGACATGATGGGATCAATCACATCATGGATATTCCAACATCTGTGTAGATTATTATATGTATATATATATATATGTATATTATTATTATCATTATTATTATTACTATTATTATTTATTATTATTATCATTATTATATTATTATATATATATATCATATACATGTATATAATATGTATATAATATGTATATAATATGTGGAGATATGTGGAGATATTACGAGAATCTGATGATCAGCTGTCGGGATGTGACAGAATGGTGTGTTATTTGTCGGGCTTTACTTGTCGGAACGGCACGGCACCCAGATGGTATTCTGGTTGGTTGGTCTTGCTGGTTGGAGATTCCCCCCAAAAAAATGGCTGGTTGGTGGTTTCAAGCCCTCTGAAAAATATGAGTCAATGGGAAGGATTATCCCATATATATATAATTAATTATAATTATATATTATGGAATTATGGAAAATAAAACATGTTTGAAACCACCAACCAGATGGTCATCATAGGAAATCATAGGAACAGATATCGTGAAGAAATGTGAAACATGGAAGATCTGCACCCAACGATCCTTAACATTTTTGGCATCCTAGTCTGCTCAACGTGCGCCATTCGACATAGCCGGTATGGCCAGATTTGCGGTATTGCAGCTAGGTACTGTGCTTAAATGCAAAGATATTCCCAGATCCCCCAAGTTCTATCCATGTCTATCCCATTTCTGGTGTCTAAACCCCTGGTGTCCCATATCTTCAGTAAATACCAAGCATCGTCTGAAGCCAATCGTATGGAAAATATAGGCCTGGCGACCAAGCCATGGAGCCCATTTTGGCTTTCCAACATAGCTTCACCAAGCAGAACTGTCCCAGTCATTCAGCGAAGAATTCAAAAACATCTACCCTCTGGTAATTTAACGTAGCTATTGAAAATGGCCATAGAAATAGTGAGTTTTCCCATTAAAAATGGTGATTTCCCATAGTTATGTGGCTGTTTACCAGAGGGTAACCTCTCCCCCCTCAAATATTGAAATACATTGAAATACATTGAAATACCGCCTTGGAAACCTAGGTTTAGTCTTGGATCTATTCATTTCAAGGATGCAAAGGGATTTAATCTTCAATGGAGGGGACCACTTGGTTCACAGCTTTGACAAGGATTTCCCACATGTTCACCACGGTACTTTTTTTGTGGTATGGTATGGTATGGTCATCCATCCCGGAATAGCCGTGTCATGAGTTTTTCACAATGCCGGCGAAAATGGATGACCCTCCCCCAATGTGTATATCATGGTATATATCATCCAACTTTTGATTGTGGCTGGTTATCCATCTCAAAAAAATCCTCACGAATATCATCATATCAATCATATCCCATCTAAACCCCTATTGTTAATGGTTTATAATATGTTATAATCTCAGTCTATTCCCATTCACATCTAACTACTAAATCAGGTGAAAATCCAACTTTTCCCCACGTTCTCCACCCCCACCGTGCCACAATGTGCCACACCTGCCCGATGAGATAGCCAATTGCCGAAGGTCTTGTCGCTCAGACTCTTCACTTCCTGGAACCTCCCCAGGTTGAGACGGGGCGGAAGTTGGAACAAACCTCTCAAAATAGTGGTACATTACTGTTCTATCTTTTTGGGATTATTGTGGGAATCTCATTTTGTCATTTTTTTTGGAATATTCAGGGATATGTTTTGTGAAATCTATATTGTGTTCATTCACATAATTATCTAATATTATTTAGGGATTATCAGAGTCTATTGATTGTGGGAATGCTTCATGGTAAATTTCCACCAGGTTTTTGGCACTTTTCTTCTGATCACATTTAGAAAAACGATACCTCGAGACCACAAAAAGGGTGTAACGAGATGGACAGTGATTTACGTTGGAGAGTTCGCTGATGGATCACAACCTAATATCCATTTTGCCAACAATTTTAGTAACCCCGCAAAAAGTGCAATGTATCTCAATTCATCATCGTTTTAGACTTGGACTTTACCTATCATTTTTGGAAAAAGAACACACCACCCCATCATCCCCTCCGTTGGGTCCCCGGTGACCCCAAAAAAAAAAGTCGCTCCGAGGTGCTTCAAATCGAAGCCATTCAGATAGGCCACTGAGTTCAACAGCAAGCGCCTGCAAACCCCTGCGTAGGCTTTAAGTTGTTTACTTTCCAAAACAACAAACCCTGAAACCCTAAAACCCTAAAACCCTAAAGCCCAAAACCCAAATCCTGACAACTTAAAGTCAAGATCACTGCGTACTATAGAGTTTTCATTCATCCTCTGGTGATAAGTATATCATATTGTTTGGATGTGTTGTTTGAGTGTGTGCGAACCCAGGTTTGGAGGGAACATGTTTTAGCTGGTTAGTTATATAGTTGTGTCTCGGATTGAAATAGCAAATAACATCAAATAACCCACCGGACTTACCAAAAACCAAGTGACTTTCTCCAGTAAATCTGGCTTTGGACGACTTAAACACCGAGAATCCCGGTTCAGCTTCAGGGCTCCCAGTCCCTCAAAAACCAGGGCTTGCCTGTTCCAAAAGAGTACCGGTCCTGAGACGCAGGATAGCAATTGAAGGCCATCAAACCACCGGATTTGGACCTAGTTCAACATTGAAGGGTGATTATAACTATATAACAGTATATGAATTATATATATATATAATGTGTGATATATAGTACATATACACATTAGAACGGTATATAACTAATAACTAATGGTATATAATGTATATAAGACTAGAATGGTATAGAACTAATTATATATATGTAGATATATACATATATATAATGTCAACCCTGGATTAATGACTATTGGAGGAGTACCCCCCTAATTAATAAACCATGGTTTATTAATCCGGGGTTGACATTATATATATATATTATGATATATATTATAAATTATATAATATTAATATATACACTTAGAATTACGATGAGTTCATCCACCTTAAGCCCCGCGATGCCGCCAACGATGCGCCCAGCGACGCCGATTCAGCAGAATCTCCGTGGACTTCGCACCGGAATAGGTCACAGGCCTTGGCAAATCATGGGGAAAATCCACCACCGTTTTGGATGGAGGTTTTAAGGGGACTATAAACCTAGGTTTGAATGGGAAAAAATGTTTTAAGTTATAAGTTATAAATTTATATAATTTATATATATTTATATAGCTTGAGCTGGGAAAATCACCCCTCTGTCGTTTCTTTCTGTTTCTTGCTGTGACTGAATTCCAGGGTCAACCAGGGATTTCCCAAGGGACCCATGGGATGTCGATGATCCACTGAATCCACAGCCAATCGCTGATCATTTTAGCTGCCCGGCCTGGTAAACATACAAAAAGCTATTGAAAAAAAACCATTTGTAGTGAGTTTTCCCATTAAAAAATCGAGATTTTCCATAGTTATGTTAGTTTACTAGAGGGTATCACAATTGCACTTGGAATACCGGACCAACGCATTTCTGCTTATGCTAGGCGGGGCCTGAACTTTTGGATCAAGTATGCAATGTTGAGCCACCAATGAACCATGTGTTTTTTCATCGCTCTTTCCTTTGCAAACCTTGGATGCCAGCCCATACCAGACGTTGATGCGTACCCACACTACAAACCAACATAGGAAATCCAAACCATTGAACTGGTCCCTCCACCTCAAAAAAACTCAAACAATTTAACAAACAAACAAACAAACAAACAAAGGCATGGTATAAAAATGTATAAAATATATTGGATCTATTCATGACATGGGACCAGTATTGCGGGTTTTTAGTACGTATTAGGATCATTCGGGGTATAGGATTACCATCTACGTCCGAGCCGCTGAGTGTAAAGGGATAGGGGTCGCACCGATGGAAACTTCAGAGAGGTGTGACTGTAGATCCTGAGAAAGGCGACGGAAAGTGCCTTTTCAATGAGGATTTAGACAGAAACATACGGACTTCAGTGGCAAACATGTTTGTGCCGAACTTACCGGTTTAACCTACTTGGGTTTGCTGGAGAATGATGGATTTGCACCCCAAAATGGTTATTTCGATCGAGAAAATGATGATATGACGGAACGGTACCTATTTTCCGACAAACACAAGAAGCGCTGGGGAAACTGTGGATCGTGCGCGTGTCTCGGTCTGAAATCAAATGAGAGGGCGGGAAAAAGAGCAGGAACCTCACAAAACGTTTCGAAAACTGTAAAAATTCAGATGAAACAATCAAACATGGTTTTGGTGTGTAGAATGTATCAATGTGTTTAGTTTTTCCAGGGTTCCGAAGGGTTTCGCAACCGGATTGGCTGGACACCATTCATGTATTACAACCTGGCCTGCTGGAGACAAAACATTGTAATCCATCTTTGCCGATTTTCCAAATACACGTGGTGTGAAATTCCTTGGGAAAGAAATACATCCAGAAGAGGAGAGCTTGAAATTCTTTTTCAGAGCAACGGTCATGGCCGGTGAAACAACAGACTGGTGTCCGACGATGGCGTTATTCCGAGACTCTGTAAGGACAGGTACGGCGCCTTGGTGGCAAAGGAATTCCGCGGATCCTGGGGAGAACCGGAGCACCAGATCACCATGGGTGAAACATGCAACTTATGTATATCCATATATAGGTAACAGAATGGTCATGGATGTCCTTAAGTTGCATGGTTAATTCCATTATGTTATAACATGATTAATGAAACATATATCTGGTACCTATGGACTATGGTTTCTGGTTATCTCATGGTTAATGATATACAACTCTATATATATATAAGAACATCTAAGAATGTAACTGTCAACTAGAGAATCTTCGCAAGGACGAGTAAGATAACTGGGTGTATAGACGAGTTGATTCTCGCGTGTACAAACGAGGTACCGACCCCAAATAAGTATCACTAGGTGGAAAAATATATGGGGTTTTCTTTAAATGGGGTATCCCAGCATGGATGTTTTATAATCGAAAATCCGATCTATAAATGGATGATTTGGGGTACCCCTATTTCAGGAAACCTCGATATTATGTATATATATATATAGAAATCATATATACAATCATATATAGATCATATTATATTATATATATATCATATATTATATATATATCATATATTATATATATATATATCATATATCATATATGTAAAATCACAACGAAACGGCTCATATTATACATCAATATACATCATACATAGTTCACAAAGATGAGATCAAATCAGCCTTCAAAGGTCAATTTGGGACATCCTTTGGCTTCACCCAACCTGGTAACCTGTACAGTGGAGGAATCCCAATGATGTTAATTAATGATGTTTGTTAAATCGGACCTCTGCTATATTTTTACATGGTATAATCACATCATATCACATCTTACATGTCTTTGGGCTTTTTTTTACTACAGACCGTCTGTATAATGATCATGATATGGGGATGGGTCAAAACCCTATCCCCCTGGTGAACATCAAAATAGCTGGTAAATGGATGTTCATCCCCCTAAAAATGGTATGTATAGGTATTGATCCATAGCCATATGTTTATATCATGTCTACCCAACATCTCCAACCAACCACCGGTTGCACAATATGACAACGGCTGGAGCCGTCCTGGCTCAGCTCCTCCACAAAGGCCTGATAGAGGCTCTTTTGCTCCTCTCCCTGGGCGCAAAAAACAATCCATCGACTGAAAAATTGGTGGCGGATATCAGATGATACCATCTGGTTATGACTAACAGTTTGCCATGGAAAATCACCATTGTTAATAGGACAATAGGTAAACCATCTATTTCGATTAGGGCCATCTATACCATGGCAAACTGTTAGTCATAACCAGAGGGTAAATGGGGCGATGTTGAAAAAATTAGCTCACAGCAACATTTTTTTCCACAAAATCTGTCCAACCTCGTTGAGCATGAAGGCGATGTGCACGCCAAAGTAGCCTGAAAAAACTCTCCACTGGAATGGTCATGATTCTAATGGGGAAAATATGGAGAAAAATAAATTTCTATATATATATATATACGTAGTATATACTATATATGAAAATTAATAGGAACAATAATCAGAACATGTTAGGGAAAATAGAAAGGAAAATATGGAGGCAAAGCCAAATGAATCGAATTTGGGAGTTTAGGCCAACCAAGTTGGGGGGTATTATAATGGTACACCACCACGCAATCATGTTGACAGATCCAATACTAGACTTGGGGTGCAGGGGGATATTGAAGATTACGTGGGGGTATGTTTGACTATCAAACGGTTTTAAGCTGAGCATTCAATGCGTACTCGTGAAATTCGCATGTATAATTTACAAAGGCATTGGAGCAACACCCACGGAATTGTGTTTTAAAAAACTCGGCAAAACCAATGGTGGCCACAGCAAGCATGTTACTGTTACTGAGAAACAGTCAAATCTAGTCATAGCTGATCGAGTTTGGGGCACTGTGGATCAGAATCCATGTCCTCCACTTAACCGCCCTTGAGGCACCCGGCCAATCACGGCCTTGCCGGCTCGATGCATCCTGTAGGAGTTGACAGATTGACAGTATGGATTTGTTTTACCATGACCAAGCAGTGAGTCACTGAGATCCAACTTCTCGTTTCCACTGTGTTTTGAACACGCATCTGGATCTGCTGCAGCGCGAAAAGTTAGGAGGACATCTTCCAGATTCACCATATTTAGTCAATTTTACTTATCTTTCAATAGTGGAATTCCATGGAATTCCCTACCTTCAAGTGAAAAAAAAAAACAAAAAAATGCCGAAACCACTAAACCGCCAAGCATCGAAAGGCAGGCAATGGCTGGTTCGCTGCAGAAAGCCACATCGCTGTGTTGGAAGTCCTGTTGGAAACAGAGCCAACAGGGACTGTTGTTGACCCATCAAAGGAACTAATGGAACTAGCTTGGAGCCATGGAGTGTTTCGATGTTTTTTGGGTGTATAAAATGGTATAAAATGCTATAAAATGGTATAAATGCACCATGTTAAGTCACTTTTGGCCTAGGGGCCCTAAACACTCGAAATCCTTGCGCCGGTGGCGCCTTTAAAGAGCGCGCCATCCGAACGCCCCGTGCCTGGTCTTGGCGCAACAACGCTTGCAATTCCTGCAGCGAAAAATCATGAAAAATCAATCCATACGCTCTGTACTGGAAGACCTGGTAGATGATGTAGATGAAAAATCTTGGGGGTTCACTGTGTTCACTGTTTCACTGTCACATTTTGAGTGATTTTGAGTGATTTTGAGTCATTGTTGTGGTATTCCAGCAACTAACATGACTGTTTGATTTCTTTGGCGATTTCTTGGAGTGTTCAGCAACCAAACCATGGGGCATTGAATCAGCCTCATGGGTTGATGGACAAAGCCCTCATGGGCGGATCACACACCTCACAGATGATCAGCTCATGGCTTAAATCTTTAAAATACCATCTGGTTATTTAACAGTTTGCCATGGAAAATCACCATTGTTAAGAGGTAAACCTTCCATCCATTTCCCATGGCTATGTCAAATAACCAGAGGGTATCTTAAAATGCTGGGAGCATCTGGAAGCCGTAGTGACAACGCTCATTGACAACGTAGACTCGTAGACACCACGACCATCCTATCATCGTCACAACTCATCCACGATGGTCGTCCTCTGCAAAGTCTTTGGCGTTGCTCAAAGAATCTCGGTGCGCCTCACCTCATGGCCCAATGGCGCAAGGCCCATCAAGGCCCATGCCATGACTGGGTCATCACCTCTTTTTCAGCCATAGGGATATAAGATCGGTATGACCCAGAAAAATGTTACGAATAGTTTAGTTATGATAACCAATATGTACAAAAATATCATGTGCTTGCAAAGAATACCAGGATTTCAACGTTTCAACGGCGAGATTTTCCATGTGCACAGTTTTGTAGCTACTCCAGAAATCATCCAAAATAGGCCCTAAGAATCCTCCGTCCCAAGCGGAAAGTAAGCTTCCAATCTCCTAGAACTGGCAACGTCTATAATACTTGCTTGGAGGAAGTGGCAATGGACCATCCAATGATGAAACTCCCAAGTATATACCTCCATTTCGTACGGGGTCCATGGGTCCATTGCCATCTTTGATGACCTCAGGGTATCCATCTTTCTTCGTTCTGGCATCTGGCTGAATTACCCTCTGGTTATGACTAGCAGTTCGCCATGGAAAATCACCATTTTTAAGAACGGTAAACCATCTATTTCGATTAGGGCCATCTATACCATGGCAAACTGTTAGTCATAACCAGAGGGTATAGTCGTCACTCTCCAATTTATAGCCAAAATTGGATGATGAACCACCAGTGACTCACCGCGATCTCACCATCAAGCCAAAGGGACTCGCAGGACGGGTGCCTTGCCGGGGATGGACTACTTGATATCTGACATGGCCTGGTCGATATCATGAAGCAATGGCCATGTCAGGAACCGATTTATTGGAGGTACCGATTCCATATATAAGGCCTATATAAGGCCTATGTAAGGGAATATCCCAGCAAAATATCGCCTTATATGGTACAGTACCTCCATTTTAGGATCCTGGAATCCCCATCGAATGAATATCATGAATGCCAATGGTTTATAGTATCATTAGTATCATCAATGGCAATGTCAGATCATAAACTGGTTGGTGGTTGACCTACCCCTCTGAAAAATATGAGTCAGTTAGTCAATGTCATTAATGGTTTATAGTATCATCAATCTGGTTGCTGGTTGTAACATGTTTTAACCATCTTCAAAAATATGAAAGTCAATGGGAAGGATGACATCCCATATATATATATATATATGAAATGGAACATAAAAATCATGTTCCAAACCACCAACCAGCAATGGTAAGGTCAGATATCTGGGTTTATAGTGCTAGTTAATGGTTAATAGTGGTAATGTAATTATAATGGGAATGTGGGCAACCACGCATGAAAATGGGTGATGACTGGGGAAGGTTGTTTTTTTGGGGTTTACCACACTGGACCCTGCCATAGGGATAAAGGAAGACAAAAAGGACTAATTCTGAAGGTCTAACTGTTAATTTGGGCGTCGTAATTCATCCATGATGCCGGTATATTTACCTAATGACTAGACGATTTGGCGGTGTAAATAATGCTGGTGTGCCACAAAAATATCATATGTGGATGGTAGGGTACACCTTCACCAACTTGACATGTTAGGTCATTTGAAAGCTCAACACGGATATTGGATGATTGTTTCAAATCGTTTAAGCTGGTATTGTAGGGTATCGTATTACAACTATTACAATTACCATAGTGAACATGGTATTCATTGCTCAGGTCCTTAGGTCGCTGGGTGTAGATGGCATGGTGATCTCAATCAACCAAGCTATGGGACGACTCGTTGTAAAGATGAATTATCCTAAAAGTATCACTTACCCTCTGGTAAATTAACATAGACCCTGGCAGTTGTCGGGGTTGGAAGACTAGTTTCCATTAAAAATTGGTGATTTCCAGGGTCTATGTTTATTTACCAGAGGGTATCCATGCAAATGAGCCTTTGTTTGAAAACCGCTTCAAGAATTGAGAATCAAACATGTGCCGTTCTCGTGTGCGCATCATCTTTTGGACTTATCACAGCTGCTGGAATCTGGCACACCCGATACACCAAAAAAAATAGGTTAGGACTGACACATAAGAAGCACTGAGCCGAAGTTAGTTTAGATTCCCCAGGTGCAAGCACTCAGTATTAATCTGCCCAACCGAGGTTAAAGTTAAAGGTTCACCATGGTATACCCAGATCCATGATGAACCAAGTTCATCTGGTTTTTCTTGTTGGCAATCTGGGGCGCGGTGTTGGCAGGAATGGACAACTCCAATTCTGGCAATTGAACTGGTCCACTGGTCCCGAAGAAAGAACACTTGAAAAAAGTTCTCAAACCAACAGGTCAAGATCCTTCTGCGAAATCAATGAAGCTTACCAAGTAAATACAGTATGTATTACATATGTATAGTTTACTTGTGTTTACTTCATTGCTTTCTCTATCGTTCTTGTTTGCTGGTCCTTTTTTTTGTTACTTCCATTGCCCTCCAAACAATCATCGCCTCACCACATCCTGGACATCTTGGACGTCCAAGACGGACGGCCGATTCCCAAGCGGCAAAAAATGGTTGGGATGGCCAACATTAGAGCAGTTGATCACAGAAAAAAAAGGTGCTTGTTATACCAGATATATCCAGATATCACGTTGGAAAATACCAGATATTACACGGTGTGTGGCTGTGGCTGTGGGCAAGCAGGCGCCAGGCTTAGAGACTGGGTTTTTTTTTAGAACAATGCTCAATGGCTGGAGAATACAATCAGCTATCAAAAGAAATGGTTTGTTTCAACCAATCCCAAAGGGAAACAATCAAATTGGAGCTAGCGAGTCAGTTTGTCAATTCTTCTTGTATCTATTTGAAACCACCAAAAAGTCAACATATTCACAGGCACATGACACCGAATAGAACTGCACCAAACTCTCGAATTCAAACAGGCCGGTATCAACATAATTCTGTCGCCGGATTGGTGCTGCCAGAAATGGCTTTGTCTGAAAAGTTACGGCGTAGCGGAAATCCCCCCCAAACTTCGGGGAAAAAAAAAAACATACCCCAAGAGCATAGCCCTTGAAACGGCTAAAGATTTTGTCATAAGAGGATTCATTGGTCTGGGGGTCTAGAGGTATGGTCAAATCCGAAAAAAAGAAACTCCAATGGCCATGTAAATCATGTAATCCCTTGCCCGTAATATTCCATAATATTCTAACGACATTTTCTTCCCCAAAACTATAGCCCAACTTGATTGGTTAAGGGTTGTGGCTTATACGTGAACTCCCGGCAGGGATCCACCCAATGCCATTCTCTGTATGTCTAGATGATTTTGTTGATGATTTGTTTGGGATGATTACTTAATGAATTATTTAGATGAAGTATCTAATGAATTATTTAGATCAATTGTCTAACTAATTATTAGTTCGTCACTGTTGACAATCATTGCACAATCATCAAGGTATTATCGGAAAAGACTGCCCTAATCATATCTAATTTGATATTGACTAAAGGCCCCCTTGGAAGACCAATCCGAAGCTTCAAAATTGCAGGCGTCCATAAGTCTTCAACGCTCGGCGAATAACCACAGTCCCTGCGTTGTCCAGCCGAGATGTTGATGACGGTGGAGCGAAACAAAATCTGAGGCTTTTGGGTTCTGCTTGGCAGCCGTGGCCAAGGAAACATCTAGATTTTGAATCCAAAAAAAAAAATAAGAACTCGCCCATATCATGAATATATCCAAATATATCCAAATGCTTGATTTGAACCAAATATTTGCACATGTGGATACATTATGGTTTTTCTATGTTTTCCTACTCCAGGTCCAATTCAATTGCCATGAGTTGGACCTCCCATGACACGACATGCCCGACCACGCCAGCTGCTTGGTGGCAGAATGCATGTTAAATGCCCCAGAACCCAAAATGTATCAGAATGCTATTAAATGCCATTCAAATATATTCAATTTATATTCCATTAAATGCCATTAAAATCCATCAAATCACCAGTAAGTCACCCTATTATTCCATTTATTATATTATATTACCAATCAATGGTATGGTCAATTTTATATATTACCATTTATACTATATTATATCACCATATTATATTTCCATATATACTATATATACTATATCACCGTATGGTCAATGTCTCCTTTACAAAAACGGCCACGGCCACGGCCGCACGATCCCTGGACCTCTGAATTCGGCGTGCGTCGAGAAGTTCGACCCAAGGAATCACATGGACCTGGGCGGAGAATGTTGCTATTCAAACGGGTCAAGGAAACAACCACTCGATGTGTGTAGATATATGTATATATTATATATATATTATGTGATTTATATATTATAAATATAAATATATATCATGTGAATTATATTATATAACATTATATATCATTATATATAATATTATATATATATGTGTGTTTCATTGCTTTTCTAAGTAGTCCAGCTGTGAATCAAGTGATAAGCGTGTCAGATATTGTTCCTCTAACATGAGAATGGCACAAAAATGATATACCCGTCGGTAGTTTGACACTTTGCTATGGAAAATCAGCGTGTTTCAAAAAACCGTCAATCATTGAGCTACTGTAAATGTTCCATTTATATCCATTTATATATACCGTCCATGATATACCATTCGGTAGTTGCTGAAGCCATCTGAAGCCAGCCCACAAAAGAAGCAGGTGCTATAGCAAAAGCTCGCGAAAAATTTTATACATGCCACGGTGACGTTTCATGACGTTTCGATGTATATCATACCTTGATCTTCTGGCGAGTTCTGGGAAACATATCTGGGGAAATCACTGTGATCATCACCGTCAGCGATGAATATCTCTGGTTTGCAAGTCCCTCGGCTGGGAAATTGATATATATATATTTATATATATTTATTCATATGTCATAATATTTCATAATTGAGCTGGAACCGTGGCGCCCAGTCGTCCCCATTTGTCGATTCAGTGGATCATCATGGACGAAAATAGATCGCTCCTCCGAAGGTTTGGGGACCACCATAAACGTAATTCCTTACCCTTTACTAACTTTACCCTCTGGTAATTTAACATAACTATGGAAAGATCCACTATTTTTAATGGGAAAATCCACTATAAATGGCCATTTTCAATAGCTATGTTAAATTACCAGAGGGTAACTGAACATCCAAGTTATCCAAACAGTGTTCAGTTCTCCTTCTCATCACTCGTTGACGGTCTTCCCATGCCTTGATGCCCATGTAATTTTATCCCAAGTCCTCAATCCCACATAGAGATTTCAACATAGCGACGGATCATGGCCCGCTTATTTTTCTGAAGTACCGGATAAACACGTCGTGATTTTCCATGACAAAGTCGTGTTGTATATCAGGGGGCTTTGTGTGCCCAAATAACCAGTTGGAGGCCTTTTTTTACGACATGTGATCGCCATCAATAGACCAATCAAGTATGTAACCATGGGCCGGGTATGTCCTAAAATGATCTAAAATGGGGAATCCCCAAATCATCCATTTCTATCCATAAAAATATCATCTGAATCTTTGGTGATTTTCCATTGGAAACCATCCAACCATTAAAAAATCGCGACCGCCACGTCGCTTCATCTCTTCCACGGCTTGATCCAGCAAGGTACCTGAACGGCATTTTTTGGGACTTCTTTCTGGGTGAAGCAGTTCTCATATGTTTTCATATTAGTCCATGGATACCCGGCCTGGTAAACATAGAAAAAGCTATAGCATGGCCCAGTCGAAATAGTTGATTCACCCATTAAAAATGGCTGTTTACCAGAGGGTAATCGTAGACTTTTGGTTGAGTGCCCCGCAAAGAATTGATTTTCCTGTGAACATGGCAAAAAA